TCGACGGGTAGAGCCATTGCTGTGGCAAACAAGAGGGTCATCAGAAAATAAAATGGCTGCATTTTGTTGGCGCAATTGAGAAAACTTTGAACGTTTTTGCTTTAGAGGGAAAGAGAAAGAGTATGTTTCAGCGATCAGCAGGAGATTTGTGGGCAGTTCCGCATCTTATACCTGGCTGACACCATTAGGATAGGTCCGTCCATAAGTGGAGAATTACTATGCAGTACTCCGTAGACTAGGCAGAATACCAGCTGATCCTGCAATTCTCCATATGCAAAAGGCCTAATGTAGCTTATGATCTTCATAGAGTGGATTGGATTGCCTTGCCAATCAACAGTCGCAACTCCTCATTCCACCTCACGAGACCAATTGTAAACGAGGAATAATTCATTTCGCGGTTCACGCACGATCTCGGACATTGTTGAAGCCTGCATAAAAGCCGATTAATAGTCCGATCGACAATCTGCAACAAGTAATCCTGGATAGCGATCTTACCGATCATTTCAGGCTACTGAAACTAGCTTGACTAGCGTCGTATGTTACTAAACTCTACTGGTCCTTGATACAGGCCGATTCGTCGTCCGGAGTCTTCTCCTTGCCAGGATCCGGGTCGAGACTGTGCAGACTCCGATCTATGGGTAGTGTACGGTGCGTCCCAAAACTAGTGTCACCATCTTTACTCTTTGATTGTATCTCTAATATTGACTACCAAGATCCACTAATTCTAATTGGAAATTATTCCGTGTATCACTGGCACGGGACTGTATTGTTCTTACACACTGTACCTCAACCCCAAGCGACGCCACTGTGGGCCGAGCATTTTTGGGACAGTGTATATAATATTCTTCGGTATCATCTCCATTACTCCGATGACTACATTGTTTGAGCATAAATCTGTAAGAGATGAGTAAACTTACTGGTTCAAAGTGAGAGTGTGAATGACAATATGAAAATCCTTGTCCTTCGATGAAATGGTCGAAAAGAGTTCCCGCCCGTCGATCACCAAGTCCAACTCAAAAATACACAGCATTGAAGTCGAGACGACCGTATGTTTTATGTATCATTAGTATTTGCATTCCTGTACATCCCACCGCTCCTTCTATATCGCCTGCCTACTCGCGCTTGTGCGCGCAGCGTCCTTCACGCAGTAACATGAAAATTATCAAGATTACCACCTTTTCAGCTCCACCGCATTGAGGAGTTTTGTTCTACAGGCAGTACGGAGTAGAAAGTTTGAGACTATTTTTTATTCACCGCCTATTACCCACTAGCTAGACCGCTTACCTCGAACACGCCACGCGTTTATACATTAACTATTAGTTAACTAGTTAGTTAACGTAATTCCCGGTTAACCCGATAATCCTCTACTGTACCATCCCAAAAATCTTTAACAGGAGAAATCAACCAACACCTATTAATTCAACTAAATAATACGATTTTTACATGAAGTAATCCTATGGCCTGTCTATATCCACTGCAGGTAGAAATTTCTAACCTTGACTGAAGGGCTGGCTTTTCGGGGAACTTTGTGAAAGTCATTATATTTCGTCGCTCGATGCACCCGACTAAGCTTTTTTTGCTCAGACGAGGATGACAGTCCCATTCTCCTTCTGAACAAACTCAAGGAAGCCATTCAGGTAATCATGTTTCGGTTGTCCCACAACAAATACTGCAGGCTTGCCGTAAGGGGCTGATACCTTGATAGTCTGGCCACCGTGATACTTCCGCCCGGTCCAGACATGAGTGTACGTCTCGTTCTGGCCAGGCAGGTACACTTCCACGCTCTTCCGGCCCGGATCAAGAACTGGTGCAACATATAAGTCAGCGCCCATGAAGAAGCTCTCATAGCTAATGGCCTTGGCCTTCGTGTCGTGGGGATGGTAGATGACGGGCATTCTCAGCAAAGGCCATCCTAGGTTCTTGCTTTCTGTGTTCAGAATCTTGCGACGATAGGTTGCCAGACTGGCAAACATTCGTGAGTTGTAGGCATGGTAAGCGTATGTCGAAGAGTTGGTATAGAATTGGGCATTGACCTGAGGCACATTACCCTCGTGGGAGCGGAAGACCGCGCTTGAAACTGCGGCCAACTCTCCCCAGCGGCCCAGCAACTCTGCGGATCGATTGACAATTCCATTACTGTCCCAGGTCGTGGTATATCCACCGACTTCCATGTGTCCATGTGCATATCCAGACAGGCCCATATGACCCATGACGGTCACGGATGATTTGATTCCGTCGTTCACACCCCAGTTGGTGTTCTGGTCACCAGCCCAGTAGAGATTCATGTAGCGGTTGGCTGCCAGCGAGGATGAGCGGTGGAAAATGATAGCGTCGGAGAAACTCGAGACACTCTTTGTCAGGGAATGGTGCAGCTTGGCCCAGTCTCGAGGATATTCATTGTGGTAGAACAAAGGGTCGATGCTGCGATTAGCAAAGCGAGTATCTGTGAGCACCGGGGTGTATTCACCAAAGTCACCCATGTAACCAGACACATTGGCGCTCCAGACTTGGTCAATCAGGACATCTCGGAACCATGAGCGAGCTGCCGGATTTGTGAGATCAAGAATTCCTGCCTCGATGCCCGGTCCGCTGGAGACGATCGATGTGTCGTTCGTTGTCGCGTTCTGGATCATGTAGCCTCCCTTTGTGGCCTCCGAGAAGAGATCGCGGCGATAACCATCGGGCTTCGTGCTGACGTTTGCGAGGAAGGGGTTGATGTAGGACAATGTGCGAACATTGTGCTGGTTGCGCAGGTTCTGCACAAATTGTGGCCAAGATGGGTAAAGGTCTGAATCATATTCCCAATTCCACCATAGGCGGGAGATGTTAAGAGTCATATACGACACACTCTGGGTATGGGTTCCAGACCTAGTAAAAGTCAATATATGAATGGTACGAAATATGCCAACGGCCGTCTTACCAATCCTGAAGCCAGACGGCAGCGATGGGACAGTCTTGTCGGAGTCCTTGCTGGACAATCCGGTTCACCTTGGCCTGGCCACCCTGAATTCCAAGGACAGCACCTGAATCCACCCAGGTCGGAAGCTCCGGCATCCGACCGGTATATTCCGTAAGCATGGTAATGCCATTCAGCATATTGCTTGCCAGCATAAAGTAGCCATCGACATGTGGAGCAGCATATCGCACAGTAACCGCATTGGGATTCCGGAAATCAAATTTCGTGTAGGCAGTACTTTCCTCCGTCAGGTGAAACACCTTCGAGTGAGATGAGATGTATTGCGGTACTGCGCTGTAAGTGGTGAAGTGATCGCCTCCAGCGAAGAAACTGTCTGCACTTTCCAGGCGCGTGGTGGGCTGGTCTCCACGGCCCACGCCTTGTTCTCGCGAAAAGATCGGCACCGACTGGTTTTTCAATGAGGCGAACGATGCCTGGGCACCCAGACCGTAGAAATCTTCGGACGGCGAGGAGCGGTAGGTTAAGAACAGCTTGGTCTCGGGGTTATCAGAGGTAGAATCCGAGTTCACGTCGATGTGGAAAGCGATGCGGTCAGGGAATTCAGCAGGCACCCAGAGCGCAAGAGAAAAGGGGGCTGAACTGTTGCCACAGCCAGTAAGAAACCCTTGGATCACGGCGGCCTGTTTGCTAGCACTGCCTGGCCATGTCTTCTGGGTGAGACGACCAATGCGCTGCCCAGTACATTTGCTGCGATCGACTTCGTTGATCTTGAAGTTACCGCTGGAGCCGATGACTTGGTCGGAACCCGCACTGGCACTGAGGAATGGTTGATTGGCAATGGTCTCCCAGATCGTGTGATCTCCGCGAGAGACGGCGAGGTGATTGGCACTTTCATTGATCGCGAGGCTGAAGCCACTCCCAAGATCAAAGGGTGTCTGGGTTGCAAGAGACGACGGAACAGACGCGGCCGCAATGGCTGTCCAGATCCATGCCTTGGGTATTCCCAACATTGTGGGCGCGACAGGGGTGATATTGAACACAAAATGACTGGACTGGTTCAGGCCAGGAACTGAGTAGAAGAACCAGGATTAACCGGCGGTGAACCTGTCATTTAAAGAGACTCTGCTAGGGTCCTCGTCCTCGGCATGTCGATAAGAATCGGTTGACGATGATGCTGCTGCTGCACGTCATACTCCGGAGTCGAGGCTGCCGAACGCAACCGGAGATGTGACCAGGGACCCGAGAGGACAACCGACTAGGCCAACGGTGCCTGGGTGTAAATGAAGATCAGCTGTTGTGATGAGAAGTCGTTGGCTGTTTACCCACGCAGGTGGCGCCATTTTGCCCCACAGTCGTCGCCTACGCTCGGCTCGTGTCGATGTCTCCGCTGCTTGTTCGGAGAGTTGCCGACCGACCCTGGTGAAGGAATTGCCGCCCCGCAGTTAAGTGATGAGTGATGAGGTTTCTCGGGGAGCAGCCTTGGAGCAGCCGTGGAGACCAAGGAGATTCTTGCATTGGAATCTCAGTATGATGATTCTTTACTACGCGCGGGGAGTAGCGAGTGTCACCCTGTTGGTGGTTAGTTGCTGCCATTTCAAGTAGACTTCAAGCCCAACGACGGAAATCCCTCAAGGCTCCCCCCTGTGAACGATTACTCACGGATGAAGATTTTATGTACTCAATTGCCCGGTTCATGAACCGTGAGGGTTTGCGGGACTCCGCACTGAGGCTGCTCTCCACTTTTCCTGCAATCGGCTCCATCCGCCTCAGTCCGGAGCTTTGGACGTGAAATGGCGTCATAGAAAGTTGTTGAAATGGTAGAGGGGGTTCAATATCACACACGGTATAAGAAGGATCAAAGTCACTCCCAGGTAGACCCAATTTACGAGTTGAGAATTTGCTAGAGCGACACATTTCTAAGTACCAAAATCCAAGAGAATCCACAATTTCATAGGAATATGTACGGAGTATAGGAGCTCGAACACTCTCCGGCCCATGGCCAGTGCGAAGAAACAAGGGCCGGACGAGCAATATATTCGAGTAGTTGCAGTGGAGCCTGCGGGCTTTTTTTCTTTTTCGTGTCTTACCACGAGGGCGTCGTGCCCCACGATGTAGGGACTTCACTCATCTCGAACTCAATCTTCGTTGCATGAACAATTTGACCATGCTGCAAGATTGGCACGAATACTTGCTTCCCATCCACTTTCAAGCTTTTAATATAGGGCTTGGTGGGTGCTCCAGGGGCACTAATGACGAGAACCTTTTCTGGCTGGTCGGTCATGACACCTCCTGTCGATGCTTCGGAGGGCAGACGGATGGATATCTTCTCGAAGAGAGGCGTGCCAACCACGTACTCGTCGCTAGCCGGGTTGACAGGATAAAAGCCCAAAGCCGAGAAGATATACCAAGCGCTCATTTGACCGAGATCTTCATTGCCACTCAGCCCGCCACTGGTGGCATTGTAATTTGTCCAGGCGATATTTCGAATTTCCTCCGCGGCTCGCGAGGGGTAGCCGAGCACCGAGTAAAGGTAAGGAACATGATGGCTTGGCTCATTGCTCTGTTCGTTGTGTCCTCCGTGGAAATGGGCATCCAACCTGTCACGCATAGAATCTCGGCTACCAAAGAGTTTCGCAAGTCCCTCCACGTCGTGCATCACATCGAATGTATACACCCAGTCGTCACCTTCTGCCCAACCCCAAGTGTTGTTGGCCCACGTGCCATTCCCATTGCGAGCCTGCATGAACCGAGTGTCATTATTCCAGAGGTTGGCGTAATTGCGACTGCGGTCCCGAAGCGCGGTGATGATTCCTTGCTCAGCTCCAGCGTAACTGCCAACGATAGAGCAAGCGTAGTCATTGAATGCATAGTCCAGCGTGCGACTCGCAGACTCGGCCCAACCGTCGTTAGACACCCAGCCTTGCCTCACGTAGGCAGTGAGTCCAGCTCGAGCTTCGTAGGAGGTACCTGGTTCTCGATCGTAATAAAGAAGTTCTGTATCGTGATCCGGCGGTGTATATGCATCCTTCTGAACCGCAGCCCATGCCTTGGCAATGTCGAAGCCACGGAACCCGCGTTGCAGTGCATTGGCCAGCACCACGTCTGCATTGGTAGCAATCATGATGTTTGTCTCCACCATATTAGCCCACATCGGCAACCACCCAGACCAATCGAAGATGCGAAGCAAGGATCGCATCATGCTATTTACTCGCTCCGGAGCGAAGAGGGTGAGAAGGGAATGCTCTGCCCGGTACGTGTCCCAGATGGACCAAGACTGATAGTAGGAATCATTTTGCTGGTGTACCTGATCCGTATAGCCCGAATAAAACACACGTGTGCCTTCTTTGCCGTTGGATGTGGGTTCCGAAAAGTCACTGGGATATTGCAGCGCGTGGAATAGAGATGTGTACCAGACGGTTCGAGGATCATGGTCTGGATCGGTGTCGTTGACCCCATCAATTGTTACGCGGCCAAGTTTTCCTAGCCATTCCTGCTTCACGTTCTCAACGGTACTCTCAAACGTCGCGTCGTCCGGTATCTGGATGTCCAAGTTCTTTCGTGCTTGTTCAACGCTGACATACGACACTCCAGTGCGCACTTCGACGCGGGACACATCTCTCCGGAACTTGACATAGGCCCCTGTGAAGTTACCATGTCGTTGGTACGCGTTCTGAATGATTTGGCGACCGTTGGTGACTCCAGCCTCCGCGAAAGGTTCGGAAAATCGGGAAACGAAATATCCCTTGAAAGAAGATGCACGGTCAGGGCCGAGCAGATAGTCCTGTCTCTCGGTATTATATCCATATATCTCTCCGCGCCCGGCATCGATTTGAACATCCCCCGTCCAGTTTCGTCGAGAGACTTCGATGAATACCCAGGGTTGAAGGCGTCGACTGTCGGGAACTTCGCCACGCTGCTCAAAATCAATCCGAAGGTGTCCAACATGAGAGTCTGCAGAGAGAGCAACCTTGAAGAAGAGTCAGCACTGCTGTAACCAGTAGTCCGACCGGGGAATTTCTACCTGGATTGAGCGTTGGTATGCACCTTCGTCAGAGTCATTGCCGCTTAATGGCTCCGGTTGTATCTCACGCTTTCGCGTCCGTCCATTTGCACCTTGATCAAAATGTTAATTCCACCGCATCCTAAAGACCCTCCGTGGGAAGATGGAGGCGATTTCATACCTTCTTCCACGGTTTCTGGGACCGCACCTGCACCCCCAGGGACAGGACCGTCGCCGGCGGCCTCTGCCGTGGCATTCCAGTCCTGGTCCATCACTTGTGTCGCGTCGAGCAAAATTTCATACACATAAGCCGTGCTATGCTCATCCTTCTTACGAAATGACAGTCCTCGGTTTTGGAATAGCGGTTGCACCTCTCCTAGCCCGGGGGTCAGCACCACCTGGCCCGCCTCCCCCATCCAAATGGCCGGCTGGTGCGTAGCTTGGAATCCATGTATCCGGCGGTCGCCGTCTCCGTAGGGGACCTGGGAGATGAAATTCTCTCGAGTCTGTGGTGTCCAACGGGTCATGCTGAAAGGCGGCGCGACCGATGGAATCATCCCCCCATTGTCGTCCGGCGTGGTGCCATAGGTTCCGATTCGTGGATTCACATGGCTGAGAACGCCCGCATCGGCATGATAATTAGGTGTATTACGCTTGTGTTCGATCCCAACCTGACCTAATGGGTGGGCAACCACAGTTCCCACCAGAAAAAGCAGAACTGGCAGAATGACGGCCATGCCTAGGAACACAGAAGGCAGCCAGTAGAGAGCGGGGTCATTGGCGATCGAGGGTATGTAAAGGGTGAAAGGGCTTGGGGGCCTTCTTCGGTTGCGACGAGGTCAAGGGGACGGTCATTTCAATCACGAGTTTGTCCGAGGAGGTCTCGAGGTATGCAAGGATTCCCTCAAGCGGGACAAACGTCGGACGGGAGCAGGTGGAGGCGGTTGCGATGTACCCCCGCATGTTGATCTTCATCATTATCAGACAAAGCCAGTTGGTTTGCGGGGGTCCAGACAAGTCAGGGTTACATTCGTCGCGGACCGTCCATCCGTCAACAATCCATCGATCAGAAGGGGTGGGGATTTTTCCACCCCGAGATGTTTAAGCCGCTTCATTGCCGACCGAGAAATGCAGGGGCATGGAGCTACCATCATGGAGAGAGGCAGGAATTTAGCAGCAAGGAGTTCGTAGATTCAGGGCGGTCAGCGGAGGTACCTGATGAATCGAAAGTCTTCAGTCAGGGACATGACCGGACGGTGGGTATTTGAATGAACTATGATAGAAGAAAGATTTTGAACGGGCAATTGCTGAATTGAATAAATTGTGGAGTTTGTATACAGACCATGACATGGTAATGGAATATCCATCACTATTGAAGGCCATGGGAGAGTCGAAGGGTAAAGCGTGGTGTAAAAACGTCGTAGATGTACTTGTGAAGTATATAATTGTCTCGGGTGGGTCCATTGAACCTTAGGACTCCCGGAGTCGACATGATATCCAGTGGAGAGTGGTCTAAGTCTCTTACACCATTAAGAATCGATCCAGAAGATCTCGAAATGTAATCAAGAAAGGACTTCATTAGATGGAACCCCTTTCAGTTGTTCCGTCCAACCGTCAACATCGAAAAATCACGTGCTAGAAACACACGTGATGAAAACAACGAAGAAGGAAATATTTTGGAAAGTAACTATCATTCATGCAGGTTGACCTTAATGCCCAGGAGAGAGGAGTAGGACATGGTCGTAGTGTAATGTCTGGCTGGGCTTTCCACTACGATCACCATAGGGCTGAAGGACTCTGGGCTCTGAAATTAAAAATAGACATCGAATTGCCTCGGAGACGAAGCTAAGCCACACCCGCGATACCTCTTTGGGCAAATCCGCCACACTACAAACACAGGCGCATGCGCGTCCTTCTTCCCATTCCGCGCGGACAACACAAAAGACAACTCTCCCCCCTCCCATCAGAACTCTAGAAATTTGAGGTCTGAATCCAACTCCCTCTTCTCTAAAGTATACCCTTCTCGATTCACGGTCTTCCTCTTGTGCGCTCTTTTCTTTCCATCGGCATGCCCGCTGTGTATTCAGCCCTCGGTGGTCGGGCCGCCGACTTGGCCCCGCACCTGATCAAGCGCGGTCTCACGGTGAATCACACGCAAGCCATTACTCTGGGGATTATGGCCGTTTACGTGGTCGTGATCGCGCTTCTCTGGAATTTGCCCTACGTTCGATGGTCGCTGTGGCCGTTCAAGGTGAGTTACTCCGCCTTCCCTTAAAACCTACATGTGGATGCTTAGATCTGACAATGTACGAAGATGCTGGTCATCGCCTTTCACGAATTCGGCCATGCCATCACCTCGTGCTGCACGGGTGGAAAAGTCAAGTCAATCTCGCTCGATCCTCACGAGGGCGGCGTGACCCACATGCAAGGAGGCATCAGCGCCATCACCCTGCCGGCAGGGTATCTGGGCTCATCCATCATCGGTGCCTTGTTGATCTTTGCGGGATTTGATATTGTCGCCAGCAAAATCGCAAGCATCGTTCTTGGAGTCTGCTTTCTCCTAACTCTGTGGTGGGCGCGGAGAGATTGGTTGACCATCGGAACGATTCTGCTCGCAGTAGGTCTATTGGTGGCATGTTGGTTCATTGCTCACGGCGAGGCCTTGAGATGGGTAGTAGTAAGTGCTTGAACCGCGAGGAAATTGTAGGCATGTATGCGCCGCAAGAACCGGCATCTAATTGCGCTCACTAGCTCTTCATCGGCGTCATGTCTGCCCTATACAGTGTGTGGGATATTGTAAGTCTTCCAAGGATCAAATTCGGCCAGACCTCTAACGTTCAAACTGTTCAGTGTGATGATCTCATTCTCCGCAAGGTCAATTCCTCCGATGCTAGCGTTTTCGCTCGCAAATATGGAGGCTCTTCGCAATGCTGGGGTGTCATCTGGTCCATCATATCTCTTCTGTTCATGGCCATCGGCATCGTCGGGGGGATCGCAGCCTTTCCCCAATCATTCAGCCAACAAGAAAGCGACTCCAAACACTTCATTCCCACCTAGTGGAAACCCCGTGTACCTCAAAGTGACGTTACTAATGACTGCAATGCAATACGTGATTGATTATATTTCAAAGAACATGAGATACAAGGACCTTTGAATTGCCAGGAACGCTTCGGCGCCTCAGGCTGTTTACGCACGATACCTAAGCCAGGGCCGCTCTTACTGTGACAGGAGCGAGTATTTTAGCGGAAGAACGATACGAAATCTCACGTTAATATTATGAATTCTTACCCTCCGAAAAAAGTGTTGCCTAGTTGAATCATTATCAAATCAAACCAAGGAGGCCATAGATGAATGCTCGATATTCCGAGATGAGCAAGCTCATTACTTGCCGACTAGAATATGAGACTGAATGAACTCACCTACACAAGCAACCTGGCCCCCGATCCTCACGACGGGAGGTCATATGGTAATGAACCCAATGCTCATAGGTCCCACAGGGAACTAGATGACGCCGCTCAAGTCTCAACAAAAGGTACGAGACCCAGCATTGGCAGCTCTGCGCAGGAATACGCTCGGCTTGATCCCACACTATTTCCCTATAAGATGCAGGGATACGACAGATGAAGTGCTTTGTTTCAAAGCTCCAACTATCGATTCTTTTGCCGGTTTCTATTTGAACCACATAATTACCTGGGTAGCCAGTAGAGTGGAACCATGTGCATCGATCCGCCCCTGGATGACCCATAAGAATCATCCAATGAATGGGCGCATCAGGGTCGCGCCGCTTGCAAATTGCCACCCAGATATTGTAGGAGCTTCGATCGACTGAACTCATGTTTGTTGTTGGTATGTTCGAGTGGGGTTGAAGGTGGTTTGTAGTGAAATAATTTTGAATGTCCAGAAAACGCTGAAGGTGCACTTGCTGAGCGGACTGTTGATTAGCAGGGGGTTTTGATCGAGAGAGATATCGATGTTCTTATAGGTAATGCTCGAGAGACTCCGAAGATTGAATTTAGCATCATGATGATCCAGTAAGAAAAAGAAGATCCAAATCATTGTTCATTTGATGCTTTTTTAGATCTCTCTTTATCACATTGTCATTGACCCCGAAACTTCCATTGTTGGCCACAATGTGCTATTCTCGAATGAAAGCGCGTTTTAGGACACGTGAAAGAATCTGATTGTATGATTGTGAAACAAAAGAATTGTTGACATATTAACTGATCGAGATCGCAAGGTCCGTCACTTAAAAAAGATACAGGGTCAAGTACGGAGAGTGTTTGTACCTTCCGAGTCCGGAAGGCTCGCAGCATTAAATATCGGAAACAAGTAATCGGCCCCCTGATGCCAGTACTAGTTCTTCAATACCAGTGGCTTGATTAACGTGGCGAATATTTCTCAGTATACGTTTGAAAGCATAATTACGTAGATGAAGATCTCGGTTAGCATTGCGACAGTCCGGATATCGCTCACCTTATGCGAATAAAGATCCAGTTGACAGCAATAATGCGATATACGGGAGTGATGAGGTCACCGTGTCCTATCGCCTTTACACTAATGCCAACGATTTTTAAGCATCGGTGCTCAAATTCAAAGGGCAAAGTCAATCAATTTTTGTTGTAATTTTACTAAGTTTGTATTGTATAATTAGAAGGAGACGAATGAAATTACCCCAACGGCAATCTAGCTTGAACGTAAACAAAGGGTTTTTCTTATTTCACATTACTTTAAGGCAAGAGAGAGCCCGGGGTGCATTAAACAATAAATATAGAACTTATTACGGTTGAACAACTACCTAGGAGTAGGAATGACCAGCAGCAGAGCCAGAGTTTCCTCCAACCGGCAGCTTCTCGTGGTGAACACGCACTTTAGCTCCAAGGCAGCGACCCGGATGCCAAATACAAAAGAGAAGAGCCACAAGCGCGATAGGCGCGAATTCGAGGCATGCAAAATAGACTTCATGTGTTGACAGCTTCCCTCCCAGACCCTCTGCTGTCTCAATGAGACGGAAGATTGTACGCATGTAGACCATGAGGGTTGAGACCGTGAAAGAGAGACAAAAGACCTGAAGCCTATGTTCCTTAATTGCATGTCGAGCCCGAAATTGGAATGTTGCCATCAGCAGGACAAAGATACTCATAGCGAATACTTGGTAGGCAAGACCTGCTAGAAGGATATTGTTCGCAATTGTAGGATCTTGACGTCGAGACTCCTTTACGCCCACGAGGGTGGCGCCGGCAATTTGCACGATCGTTGAAATTGCATCGGAAGTAATGAAAAACCCCAGGATGACTGCTGGCCGGAGAAACGAATACTTGTTTCCCAATCTGGAAATAAGGGCGGAAAGGACGGTGTATATTCCAGCCGCGAGAAAGACCGGTGCAGTGACGACGAAGAAATAGTTGAGGACAAAATAGATGAGGTTGTACGGGTCCTTCTTGGCTGATAAGCTCCTTGCAATGTAGCCTATGATCTCAAAGACCAAGCCCGTGGAAAACGTCATCCACCACCAGCTGCGATATTTCCAATTTTGCGCAGTGTGGGTTATCAAGTGAAAAAAGAACCATGCTGCAGCGAAAGCCGCGATAGCGATAGATGGTGTGTACCCGTAAATGATGATGCTGGTATCGTTTGGTCCTCCAGGATTGGCGAAGTTTGGGTCCACATAGCCAAATGTCCGTGCTGTTCAGGATTTAGCTTCCGGAACGCAAATCGGTGCGCTCGATGGAATGGATCAACCTACCAACAATAATTTGTATAGTCATCCTGAGCTGAGCTGCGCGCCGTGACTCGGCTAAATGGTCGATGATAATTATTGTCCCACAGCAAATGACAACTCGCCTGGCGGCTTTGCGATTGTGAATGAAAATTGACCTATCTACAAGGAAGCATCTCAAGAGTATTTAATGCTTTGGGCTTCCAAGCCTCGCCTCGTAAGTGGCGTCATGCAGAAATATAGCCGAGGGAGCTACTGTTTGCCCAGAGCTTGAACACGCGTCTGATTTGTCGGGACCGAATATGTATGTCACTCCACTTGCCATCCTCCGGGGTCTTGATCGATTCTCGATCACCAATCACCGAGCGGGAAGGTCCGGGAGATCGTAGAGGTGGGGTCCGAGCAATGAAATCAAAGGGAAACACAATCGGGATCCTTCTCCCGATCAGGCATCTCCCATTCCACGTGGCCCTCGCTTAAATGTGCAAGCGCTTGGCTCACTGCTCTATCCGGACCTTTTTGTGGCTGTGGACTTTGATCATACATATAGCCAGATTGATCGACCAATCAATCCGTCCACCCCAAATTCAATCAAGCCGATCTACCTTTCCATCACGAGCAAAATTGCAAACCACATTCTACTCACTACCGGAAGGTTCCACGCATGGTGGGATTTGTATACCACCAGCGCTCACACGATTAGTCTTATCACAGCAGGAATAGTGACGCCCTGGAGAATTATAACCCAGGAAGATGGAAATAAACTAGTGGAAGACGGGTTAAGAGTCGTACGGACTAGAATATTGGGAATTACATTCTGACAAGACAGACGAAGACACGCTTCGAGAAGTCGAGTAATTCTGTTTTCGAGCCCACGGAATAACCTCAGCTTCAAACCTGGCTTAGCACATCTAAAACCTGTATATGTAGCAGCGTCAGTGACAAAGCGAAACCTAGAGTAACATAGGGGCATCTTTGTCCCCCATAATCTGTGCATTTCCCACGTACCTTCTGTTGAGTGTATTTGTCGCGGGGAAACAATTGAAACTGATTCAATTTAATTGACCAATGAGATTCCTGGAACCAAAATACAGGACATACAAACCGCACTCTGATGTTGAATCCTCTTACGGCCCAGTCATTTCACCTGATCCCACCCGTCCTGTGATTTAATTGATATTACGATGGAGTCCTCGGCGGTGATACTATTGATGAGTATTTCAAATGACCCGCTGACGGCGGCCATTAATGGGTATAACCTCCTAGTTAGTTTTTAGCTAAGCTCCTTCCCAGTGGGCAAGTTGAGTCTTTCATGGTCAGCCCCGTTGCACAAAAATGAGACCGTAAATTGTTTTAAGCAGCGCTTACCAGGTTCCGTGGATAGGTTCAGTGACAACTAAGAATGATTAAATTATCTTGATACCAAGTTCAATTACTAGCATGGCACTAGTTAATTTACCTCGTTAGTCAGACTTCGAAATTCAACGAGCCTCCCAAAGCAGTCATTCTTCGTGCGATCCTTGGAATGACAATCTTTGTGCATATATAGGCCTGGTCCTTTATCTCGGTCCCAAATACCATTTCAATAACGGCATAGTCTAGTTAGTAGGCAGATAATGATCGGTGGACCATTTCTAAGCATATGATCATATTTCAAATTTCCCTGAGCCGATTCGAAGCTGGCTGACTGGGGTATGGCCACTTTCCCCTTAGTTAACTATAGTCCGCCGTAGATAGCTGACCAAGTCTGAGGACTTTTCTGCCCGCGATCCAAGCCGTACTTCAGCCATAGTTATCAACGAGTCGTACAACGCTGATATTATGACCTTTCTGGTGCCCTTGTATCTGAAAAAATTCCTCACTGTATTTATAAGGTAGAAAGTCTCCATAAGTACGGAGCGTTGTGAATCTTTTCCAGGAAATTGTAATAAGGGAAGTAGTGGTGATTAGCCACGGCTAATCTAATATTTATCGAGGAAATCAACGATCCTGATTCTTGACTGCATACACGTAGGAGTATAAAGGGAGGATTAGTTGCTCTAGGGCCACCCGAATCCTGACATCGTTGACTAATAGCTAGTCAAGTTGAAATATTAAGAAATCAAGGAATCTTGCTGATTTCGGTCTATCTCCTAGTACTTTGAAATCAAACTTCACGCCCACATGGTTTGGAAGAAGATTAGGCGGAGGCTAGATGATGATAATCTTCTTAGCTGTCAATGTTCTAAGAGATCTCCGATGTTTACGGGTACCGTATACTAGTGCCCCTTTGTAATAGTGTCGATGATTAGAGGTATCCAGGAAATAAAGCTCCCCGTCGCATAAAGTAAATAGCCCCTTTACCATGTGTAATTTACTGTGAAGATGTAGCATTTCAGTTGGATATTAGACATAGGTGACAATCGCTTAGGCGGGGGATAATCAAGGAGATGAGAGCGGGGTTAGCAAACGCCACTGCGTTTCATCAGCAGCTATCTTGCTATTGTTACTGGTCGGGGCTGAAAGAAGAGAGAATTAGTTTCGAAATTTCAAAAAAGGAAGCAGAACTAAGTCAACTATCTTAGGATCTCAGCTCTGCTCCGTATCGAGAGTCGTAGTAGAAAATCAACAGTGACGCGACGTACAATAGAACACGAGACCCCGAGGTAGATGAAATTTTGGGGGCGAAAGGGTCTGCCGTCACGCTCAAAGATCTAATGCAACATCTCAAATTTTGGAGTGTGATTGGCGGCATCACTGCTACTTGGCAAAGCGATGGGGAAAGTGGCTGCGTGCCCCTGATCACTTCAGCCACGAAGTTCCATCGGAATGTCACCCCGAAGATAAGATTTACTGTAAAGTTGCATTTAATTCGTCCTATCCCCTACTGCCGATTTAAAACAGTCTTCCTAAGACCATACTCCATCTTGTATTTGATATCAAACGTCAGTTGACCCTGCTCTGCTCATTCCTACCCATTTTTAATGTTACCTATCATTAGGGCGATATATTCCTCTTGTGGTGCATGTCATTTGAACGTTGCATGGCACTGAATATTTCACCCTCCTATCCCTGACACCATATCTTCAATTACTACTATTCCCCCTGACCCTGGAGTAACATCGGTCGATGATATACTGATTTTCGTTAGTGATTCTATGTTATCTTCCTTTCAGAGAAATTAAAACCGCTAGGCACTGGAGGAATCAACGTCACATACCACCAAAATCTTTAGTTTCCTTTGCTATGCTACTCTCGCCTCTCGGCGGACAAGTCTCCCGGATGCAGCATGTCGCTGGTAGAAAAAAGGTCGGGTTATATAAATCAAGCCTAGAAAACCCTCCGAGTCATCGCTACCAGCAGCTTCAGCTATTTCTTTCAAGAACCGAGTGCCTTTTGAATTGTACTGCATTCTGATTTTCAATTTACCTTCCGCAGAAATGCCATCTGTATTACGCTTCCTGGGGTTTGCCTTAGCCCTGATACCGTTTGTTTGTGCTGGATTTGATCCTAGCTCATCTTCAAACATTGCAGTATACTGGGGTTCGATCAAATTTCTAAACTGATGCTTCTATTGTTGAAAGCAATGCTAACACTCTAGCGATTAGGCCAAAACTCATACGGTCAAGGTAGTGGTTCATTTGCCCAGAAGAATCTAGCCTCTTATTGCTCCAGTAGGTTTTGTATGAAAAAACGCGTTTGACATGTATCGAGGCTGAATTGATGAACCCCGTTTGCGTCCAGATACCAATATCAATGTGAGAATGAATGTGTCTTTACAAGCAACTCAAACTGACTCGCTTACTAGATAATTCCTGTTGCATTCATGAATGGGATTACTCCTCCTATCATAAATTTTGCTAATGCCGGGGATAACTGCACTACATTCCCCGACAACTCCAATCTCCTTAACTGTACCCAGATCTCGTATGTATCTATTTTGGCGCAATTTCTAGCCGGTCTAACTTTTGCCTAGGAATGATATCAAAACCTGTCAAAAGACCTATGGCAAGACCATTCTTTTATCACTTGGAGGCGCTACGTATACACAGGGCGGATGGTCTTCTACTGCTGATGCTCAAAACGCGGCACAGAGTGTGTGGAATATGTTCGGCCCTTTGACTGGGGTCCAAATTGACCGTCCATTTGGAGATGCTGTCGTCGACGGCTTTGATTTTGACTTTGAATCGACCGTTAACAATCTTCCAGCATTCGGTGCTAGGCTTCGAAGCTTGATGGATGCTGCTGTTGATAAGAAATACTATCTGTCTGCTGCACCCCAGTGTGTATTCCCCGATGCTGCGGATGGCACAACACTTGACAGCGTGGCCTTCGATCTTGTCCTCGTCCAGTTTTACAATAACTGGTGCGAAACATCAAATTTTCAAACGGGATCTTCGACACAAACGGCTTTCAACTTTGACGTATGGGATAAGTGGGCCAAGAGCAGTCCCAACCCCCTTGTGAAAGTTTTCTTAGGCATTCCGGCCAACACTGGCGCCGCTGGCGCCGGCTATACAAGTGGGGCGCAGCTCAAGGCAGCTATTGCTTATTCAAAGCAGTATAGTAGCTTTGGAGGAATCATGATGTGGGATATGTCGCAGCTGTACGCAAACAGCGGCTTCATTGAGCAGGTTGTTAGTGATCTCAATGTCTCCGGTCCTCCCACTATTACAACAACTATGGCTACTGCTACAGCTCCAACAACTTCGAGCTCTGGCCCTAGTTCCAGTGAAGGAACTCTTGTTCCTCAATGGGGCCAATGTGGCGGACAGGGATATACTGGCTCGACTCAGTGCCAGCCTCCGTACAAGTGCGTCTCTGGTGGTCAGTGGTGGTCCTCCTGTCAGTAGGGGGAATTGTCGTCGTTTCGCCGGTCTGATATCGTCAAGGCATGGACTATAACGTGGGAGGGTAAATTTCCACTGTCCCGAAGGATATTTGATTGATGTTTGCAAATTAATTCGAATAACTGGAAGCCGTTCAATCCATTGCGGAGATCATGTACTCACATGTACTCACTGGGTATTAAATATCTGTTAGGCTCACTACTGACGGTATTAAATCCTGTTATTCGGACAAGAATATTAGCAATACCCCGTCTTACCTACAGCTGCGTATGAAATTAGATTCTCTACCACGAAGGACTATTGCAATCAAAACTTGAGCAGGTTTCATACGAAATGGGCAGACGTATTTGGTACTACGAGCGGAATCTCCGTCGAGCCAGTAAAAAGAACCTAGATTAAGGTCTTTCTATCACCCCCGGTGTCAAGCACAGCCTCACCTCCTAGACGCCGGAGCACAAAATGAGCCTCTTGCAATAATTCCCATCGACATCCCATCAATGCATCCCTCACAGCCCGGATTAAGCCAGAGATCTGGTTCGCGCCTCTAATGATCGGGTTCGAGGAATCAGCGTGCTGTATTGCTCTTGTCATCCGAATCATGTATTCCTCGGCTCCGGAAGCGGATTCTCCACCCAAGACAGGGCCTTCTGTAACCTGGCCGTAGACCCAGAGTGTCAACACTGCAATATACAAGCACCAGGGTCGCGGTGCGACATTGTCTTCGCGGGCTAAGTAGCGCTTCCCGCTGAACATGGTTTCTTGCACTAGCAAAAGCGCGTACCGACAAGCGCTACGAGCGGCTTCGGTGTGAACCCAGCGCTGCAGGCGTGCCAGCGTCTTGGTCGTATTGGTGTTGGCAGAGGAGATCCCGGAATCGGAATTTGACTGTGGAGAAGGAAAGGGAAAATGGGGATCCATGGCGAGAGCATGAAGATCGAGGACACTGACGTGCAGAGTAATCTGTGCCACACGATGTAAGGGACGGGCTGCTTCGAGGCACAGTGACGGTTCGAGTGAGAAGAGGGATGTAGACCAGGTGTCAAGGGCGGCTTCGATGGTATTTGCCCAAATGGGTGTGCTGGTACTGCTACTGCCCGGGCAGTCGGGCTGGTGAGATGAATTATCAGCCCTCCCATACGCATGGAGTCTGCCCACTTCAATTCCAAGTGTTAGACGTGAACCGGCCTGAAGGTGGGTTTGGAGGCTCATCAGCCCGTGTAAGAGCACGAACCGTGCATACTCGCTACAATGCGGTGGAACTACATTCTCACGGAGCAGGGACTTGAGAGTCGGCAAAAAGAGCGACGCAGTCATTTCAGGTCGAGTCAGTCCTTGCCACGTCTCTGCAGAGGTGCACTCCCATATCGATTCAAGGCAGGGAAGGGAGATTCGCATATCGACCACGGAGAGCACGGGAGAGTGTCCGAATACGCAGGCATGCTGGGCGTCCATGACAAAAGCGAAGAACGCGGTTCGACGCCAAGATTCTTCGCCTATCCAGCGGCGCCAACTCTCTTGCGGGGGCTCATTGGGGTCAGATGGATGGGAAGTGGAAGCTGCGAGGTAAAAACTTCCTCTTATCATCATCTGTTCGCGCGAGATGGAGTTTCGTTAGCTTAGACTGCATTGAGAGAGTTGTAAGCAATTAAACGCAGAAACACACAGTGAGGATTGTCCCATGGAATATATGTGCCATTTCATAATTCTTCCGCGACGAGATCATCTTCCCATAAGCTTGCACCAGAAGGAGGGCTTGAAGGCACCAGAGAGGGATCGGTGGCTCAAAAATCCCGCTCTATGCAGTGTTAGTTGAAAACCGCAAGTTTAAGAAAACTTTGAATCTTTAGCGTACATTGAGTATCGTCAGTCGCAAGATATTATGCACCTGCTGTCCCATATGGAAAAGCATCTCATCTACTGCCATTGCCGAGCCTAGATCCAGAATTGCAATAAGAAGGAGCGGGTGACAAGCCAAAACTGAGAATGTTGCCTGGTGAACAATTGGAAAATGGGGGTGGTAGTGCTTGAAATAGAGACTGAGAAAGAATTTCAAGTTGTCAATCTCAAAAAATGGCGATTGAAAGACTTGCATATCTAGCTGGCTGACTGAGTCAAGCATATTGGATCGCGCAAAAGCCCAGTCGTTGTCTTGGTGCGTGCCGGCATTCATATCCACGAAAATATCGACTTCTTCTTCATCCGCAATTTTGCCCCTACTTCGGCTGTCTGAATCATGGAGCGTAGGGAGCTGAATCTGAATAGATACATCAGGCTCGAATTGTGGCGGTAGGGGAGAGTTGACTAGGTCACTGTTACCCTCCATAGGCTCAAAGAACCAATCTAGACCATCTTGAAGGCTAGGAACCTGATCAATCCCCGTCCAGAATGAATTCAATTCATTATCCTTGGTCGGAAATGTGATCTCTTTTTCTAAATCAAGTGGCTCATCGGGGATGATCCCCGAAGCATTCTGCGTCTGCATCACACGAACCTGAGGCCTCTGAACCAACTGTGGTAGGCCGGCACGGTCCTCAGATGAAGCTATTCCGGCGGAAGAAGAGGAAAAAACGATGCCTCCTGTGTTTCTGAAAAACATGCCCTTAGCGTGGCGCAATTTATGTCGGCGATATAGATCCTGCCGGACAAATGATTTGGGACAGAGGTCGCAAGAGAATATCTCTGCGGGTTGGTCTATAAACCAGCATGAGTCAATCATGGCATAAACTTCCATGAATGTCATAAGTTGAGAGTCCTTACGATTGAGACGATGGCGTTGGAGATGCTCTTGGCGGATAAACGACCGATCACATCCTGGTTCCTTGCAGCTGAACGGGCGCCGCGTTCGCATCGGTGAGCTTTCCATGTTAGAGATAATAATCTTGATCTTGAAAAGACCCTGATTGAGAAAGACTCCACTAGTATTCGTATGGATGAACAGCATGTACTACAACAATTTATGGGGATGAACAATCAATTATGAGAGTTGCTGGCCATCGGCATAGAAGTTGTGGGGCGCGCGATGAAAGCTTCCCCTCTTTTACTGCACACTCTCCGCCAATCATAATATATCTGAGATGGATACAAATCTAAGCGATGTCTTCGATTTGAATTCGGAAACCAGAAACAGTATGGAGTGTTATCAGGCGATGGATGCTCCCACCAATGACCGACCAAAGTCGGATTGACCGGATCTAGCGAGGCTTGATTCTAGCTACATAGCCTTGAATCAACAATCTCCCTTATCAATGACCATTCCCCAAAATCTTACCACCTACGCGCTCGCTCCAGTGGGTTCCCCTTTATCAACCTCAACGTAAACCGTCTCCTGACCTGCATGCGGAGGCGCATCTTGAATCGACCACACAAATGGGACAGCACAGATCAAAGCCAGCACCACGAACACCCAATCAACGGCAAACTCCACATTGTAGTTTGTCTTTTCCGAGTTGACCTTGGATGCGATCGCGCTGCCCACCGCCTCGGCGCATTTGAACGCCCCCACGTACCGTGCTGCCTGCTCAGGGGACTCGTGCGAAAGGTAACCAATCGTCCAGTAGACTAGCGTTTGCCAGATAGCGTCAAAGCTACCGTAAAAGAAATACAGCAGGAATGGACCGGCGTACTTTCCTCCAGACGAGATTAGGTCCATCTCATTCAGGGCGTAATAGTCGCTGTTGGGCCCGCGCTTAAGCTGGGCGGCCAACCCGCCAGCCCACACGACCATCGAGATGAGCGCATTGATGGCGAAACCCCAGATCCCACGCTGGCGGCGGTTCATGTACGGGTTGTCTAGGAAAAGACCGAATAAATAACTGGACACCATCTGAGCCAACCAGTACATTCCACCGTTGAAGCTGCGCGTGCGAAGGGTGAAGAGTTTTGCATTGTAGGTGTTTTGCTGATAGTTATAGGCGTCTAGGATGGCCAAGGGATTAGAATCAAATAAAAAAACAAGGGAAAACAACAATGGAACTCACAGTTGGCAGCCATCCAGAATGGGATGAGGGAGATCACTCTCCAGTCACGTAGCACCTTCAGCAGCCCCACGAACTCCTCCCAAACACCAGGCTTTTTGGAGACGGCAGCGCGGGAGTTATCCTCTCGAATGACATTGTACGGGTTGAGTAGGGCAAGTGCACAGAGACAGCCCCCGGCCATGATGCACATGAATGCAATATACGTGGCATCGGAGACCGTGCCGCTCGCAGAGCTAAAGTTCAATCCAAAGGAGATCATGGAGCCAAGAAATCCACCAAGACTGTATAGCTCAAATTAACACCCCGGAGACCAATGAATCTTTTTCAAAACTCACTTGAAGATAATCCAAAAAATTCCAATCATCCTCCCATGCTGCTGCGGTAAGGGATACCCGGTCATGATGGAGCCTTGTGCGATCCATAACAACGAAGCACCAACCCCCAAGATGGCACTAGCACCGATTACAAAACCCTGGTTTGAGGCATGGTTGTAAGCCAACAGCGATCCGGCGTAGAGCACGTATGGCAGCCCGCCGATGAAAATAGTCCACTTTGGGCCCAGAATATTCGTCACAATGGGAGCCACGAATATGTTTCCTACTGCGCTCACAGAGGCGAGCGCGATGTGACCCTTGGCCGACGTGGTGGTGTCTAGTTGACCGGCTCCTCCAATACCAGAGAGAGCGTTGTACATGCCAGGGCATCTATTTACAATCTTTAGCATACAGCGCTTATCGTAAGCTCAATAAGTCTTACCCGAATGCGACAAAGCTGACTATCACAATCTGCCAGAACGGCGAATTGTATCGAGTGTAACAGATCTTCGAATCGCTGCTGCGATTAGCCATGGTCTGGTCTTCTTCAACATCTGCGCTGCTTCCATCCATCGCTTTGGCTTCTCCTTTGTCCATTGTAGATTGTTTGTCTGTAGGGCGTGGAGGTGCCGTTCCAAAAGTGTCCCGGAACGCTACTAACAACCACAGTCTCGCCGAATATATATTGGTTGCCCCGCCCTTGGTGAGACGCTCGGATAGCAATATCCCACGCAATCCACGGGATGGGGAAAGGTTATCAGATAAGGAATTCGACAGCTTTATTTACACCGAGTCCAAAGCTTTATAGTCTTGAGGCCCTCAATAAGCAGGCGGGCTATGTGGGATGGTGATTAAGTGTTTCAGATCATGCGAGTTCATTGATAAGCACAAGCAGTTACTCAAATTTTGACAGTATTTCTCTAAGGATACAACGTACTTCGCTAAATCGTTTGAGCAAAAATCCAAGCAAAATGCTCTCTTTTAACACCAGAGTGTTGGCTTTTGTCTCTATCGCAGGTGCTTCAATTGACTTCACAAGTCTCCCACCCCATCCACGATTGATGTTCACCGACGATCGGGTCCAAGCGGTGCTATCAATGAATAAAACAGACCTATACTACCGAAATGTTCTTGGATATTTGGAGAAGACGGCAAACACTGCGATTGAGACCCCTCTAAAACTGTCCTCATCAAGCTTATGGTCCAGCACCATTCGGCTGAATGTGGGTGCGACAGCAGGAATGTACCGATTGACCAATGACACTGCCTACTCTGATTGGGTGATTGGAGCAATTCTGACGGTAACCGACCTCCCCGATTGGGATCCATCAAATTTCCTCAACACGGCAGACATCACTATGACGGTTTCCCTGGGCTACGACTGGGTGTATGATGAATTGACCGAAGCCCAACGCGAGGCGATTGAGACGGCGATGGCCGAGAAGTCCTTTGTGCCAGCTCTCAACTCTTCTATCAACTCATGGAGTGAGCATACAAATAATTGGGCACAGGTGACACATGGCTGCTTGATCATGGGCACTCTGGCCATTGGAGATGTCAATGAAACTTTTGCAAATCAAATCATGGATTTTTCGGTTCCAAAATTAAAAGTCTCCTTGCAACAGTATGCTCCTGATGGCGGCTGGATTGAAGGCTACTCCTACGGAACCTACGCTGGCATATTTTTGGGTCTTATGATGGGCTCGCTGGACAGCGCACTGGGAAGCGACCTTGGTATCTCGAGCCTCCCAGGAATGAAGAATCTGGGCAGTTGGTTAACCCATGGGTTTGGACAGTCAGGAGGGTTTAGCTGGGGTGATGGAGCATGGACATTTTCGAACGCTAACAGTTTGTGGAGCGTCGGGTATTGGGCAACGCGGTTCAACCAGGCCGGATGGTTACAGGGAGTGTTATCGAGATTCACAACCGCTGAAGCGGCAACGTTCCAAGCATTTCTTTTCTATAATGCCACACTGAATACGACCAGTATTCTGTCCGATATGCCCCGCTATGAACAGTTTGAGAACGTTGCAGGAATGACCTACCGAACCTCGTGGACTGATTCCAACGGCTGGTTCTATGGTTTTATGGGAGGATACAACGGACGCTCCCACGGCCATTTAGACGCTGGATCCTTTGTTATAGACTACAAGGGGTACCGATGGGCTGAGCTTTTAGGGTCTGATAGTTACAGTCTCACAAATTACTTTGCTGCGCCGCGACGTTGGACATACTACCGCTGCCGCTCAGAAGGTGCTAATACCCTGAGCATTTCGGACACAGCTCAGACTGCACTGCATTTTGCAAATCAGATTCCGTCCGCAAACAACTCTTTGCTCTGGGCAGGTAGTTTTGACTCGTCCAGTCGCTTTGGGGTCGCAAACCTTACAGAGGCATATTCCAACGTCACTTCCAGCGTTCTTCGCGGAGTAGCGGTACTCAACGATTCGCAGTTTATAGTTCGCGACGAAATTATTGCGCCCGATGCAGTGGATATTGCAGCTAGCTGGCATACGACTGCGGATATAAGTTTGGGCACGGACAATCGTACTGCGACTTTAACACTGGGTGGTATCACGATGAAAATGACGTTGCTTTTGCCCTTGAATGCGCATCTTGAACTTGTCGACACAAATCCCTGCAATGCTTATAAGGATTGCTCAGAGATGACTAACGATGGAATATACAACGTTGCTGTCCGCCTGCCGAGCTTGACCACGGAGGCCACAATTCTCTTGGCTCTGGCAGAGACCGGGACCACGATCGAGGAGTTTAATCACTCGCTTACGTCTTGGTACACCTTGTGTACCCTAGACTGCTGGAGAGGAGAAAATGTGGAGGATCCTTACTGGCTTCATGATGCTGAAACATATTATTAGGTAGCAAGTTTTGAGATAGCTTTAGTGAAATCCAGATCACTGTTCTTACTAGATGAAGACCCATTGTCGAGTCTGAGCCGACTCATACAAAGCACTGTAAAGCCTCAGCAATTTTTCTGCCATGTTCTCATCGCAATATTGCTCGTCCCGGGCAACGCCCTCCACTCTCCGAAAAAAGTCTTCCATCTGCTTCTCGAAAGCCATAGCTAAATTGACCTCTCTCTCGGAAAAGACCTCATTTCTCCCAGAAAGCCATCCCGTTTTCTTCTCTTTCAACAGAATACAACTCCCCGGACCGTCAATGTTCAATCTCAAGGACCCTTCTACCCCGTAGATTTCCACACTCCAGTCTCTTAGATATCGACTACCTTCCCACGCCGAAAAGTCTAAATGAACGTTGAAATGCTCATACTCTAGTATTGCAGATGCAATATCCTCATGGGTCAGTGTTCCAATCGCGTGCCATGGATTCACTTCTCGCCCGTCGAAAAGTCCAGGGACCCACGAAAACCCTTCATGGGGTGGCTGTGGTGGGAGCTTGCGAATCGAACTGATGAGCTGTGTCGGCAAGCCAAAGAGATCCACGGCGATCTCCACAACATGACCCCCAAGACTATAGAAGAAACCACCAACATTATGCTGATCCGATTGCCAAGGTTCCGCCCCGGCGCCCCCTGGACACCCGCCGTGGAACCGAGCCATTGTGATGGTCCCCAGCAGGGACTCGCGGACTACCCTTCGTGCAAATGCCACGGTTTCGAGATAGTGAAGCTCCCAGCCAACTTCAAATACGATAGTGCCTTTGCGTTGACGAATCTCCTCTGCCAGTGGGTAGAATTCAGTTGGCTGTGCAACACCAGGCTTCTCAACGAAGATGCCTCTTGCCCCACTATTCAGAGCCAAGCGGATAAACTTTGCGTTCTCCCGATCGCGACCGTGAATGATAACGACGTCGCAGTGGAGAGCTAGCAGGCTGCCAGGGTCGCTATACCGTCGGCATCCGGCATGGTCTTGCATGCGTCGAGCAACCTCATCATCGCTGTCGTAATAACCGAGAAGTGTGATATTGGCGGATTCTTGGAGATACTTATAGCGTTTAAATATGTGAGGGTGACTTGTGCCTAATAGAATGACTTTGATTTGCGGCATATTGTTTAGGTCTGGTAAACCTTTTGGGGGATTTAGGTGATTGATCGCCCGGAGATGAATAATATTCCAAGAAATCTAGGCCTTTTAAGTACGTTGACAGGTATTGATGCATCCCTCGTCTGACCCCTCATCCTCCCACGTAAGCCAGATTTGCTCGAGAAACTAAGATCTATGTGGCCTGCTTCCTTGCAACAGTGGGAGACCTCGAAACAGATGTTAGCTTTGCGTGACACAACCCGATGCCGTAGAATTATACTATCTAGTCTTCTCTTCCCACCGAACTCCACCATGAATCACTAGCTGGGGTAAGACAGCACTTTTGAATAACCTCCATCCACCAAATATGCCTGGATCCCGGATCAGCACGTAACTGACTGCTCAGTGAATAGACAATTCAAATACATACCCCACCCGTTGTAAATCCTCCTTCTAGAACACTCAAGAATTCAACCCACCTATCCTCCTCCCGAAGAATTTTCAGATTAGCCTATTTAATCTGTCCATCCAAATTGAGATATTGGCTCTACATACCGCGCAATATCTTCACCTCTCCCAATCCTGCCCACCGGGTGCGCTTCGCTCAGCGCACCGCTCTTACCCGCGCCCCAAGCTGGCGCATATTCACTTTGGAAATCTCGATCTAGATCACCTCGTAAAGTCTGCACATCCGGCAGCAGACTCTCATTCCGCTCCGACCGCACATCTACCATGCCAGGGCTCACCACATGCACCCGAACCTTTGGCCCTAAACTCACGGACATGGCCATACTGAGACCTTCAATCCCAGCCTTAGAGGCCGCGTAGGCTTCACCATGCTTGCTCTGCTGGGTCGCCCGGCAGCTGGACATGTTTATGATGACGCCGCCACCAGAAGACTTCTCAAGATAAGGTATGGCTGCCTGGGAGATGCGGTATGTCCCAACCAAGTTAACGGAAAGGATCTTTTCAAAGTCTGACGTAGGGACTTGGTCCATTCTGATCCCTGCGCGCATGTATTGGCTCTAGATCACTTTTAGTACTCTGGAGCGGTGTTATTCTGAAAGCTTGCGAATCCCAGCGTAACTGGATGGGTACAAACATTGATTCCTGCATCTTTATTGATCTCACGCTGTGTTAGCTGAAACTTCTCATTATGCAATTGGTGACAGCGCCCAGGGAAGGAAGGAGACCAGCCTGACTATTTACTAGGATATCGATGCCTCCAAACTCTTGAACACACCGCTCAATGGCTTTGGTGACTTGTTCCTGATCGCAGACATTCATCTGCGCCCACTGGAAATTGCCCCGCTTATCCACGGGGACAACAGAGGGGAGATGTGCAGTGCAAGTATCTTCGAGGAAGGCCTCGTTATAATCAGTTAGGAAGACCCGGTAGCCTTTGAGAAGGAGCTCGCGTGCAGTGACTCGTCCGATACCACTTCCCGCGCCCGTGATGAAGAAAACTTTTGACATGGCTGTAGTTGATTATTTTGAATGGGGATTCAACAGGTAGACCGTCTGTTTCTGCGACCTGAGATTTTAGAGATACGAATCATGGGGTGATGACATCGACAGTAACGGCAGAGGGGTGGCAGGTCTCCTACCCCTCTCCGAGAGGAAACTAGCCCATTTTCATCGAAATATGCGGGATCAATCGATGACAGGGTAATGTGATAGGAACAATTGTCAATTCCTCGCTATCCCTCGCAAGAGGTGGGATGCCTCTGATGTGCGGGGTATGTGGGAAGGGAGAATTCGAGCTTGCCCCCACTCGGTGGCTGGACTACCAACACCCGTCCCGCAAGAAAGCAGGGATACCAAAGAGAGATGGTATAGATATGTAGCCCTGAAGCGTCCTTGATTTTACCGAGCAGGCAGCCAAAATGACCGAACCACTTGAATCCATTGATGGCGGAAAGGCCTGGTACTACTGCACCAAACCCATGGTCCTTGGCGAAGCTCCGATTTATCGAGCCAGCGACTCAACACTGCACTGGGTGGACTGTCTGTCCACGCCCCCGGAGCTTTACATCCTCAAGGTAGACCCGCAAACCGGCGATGCCATCGGGGAGGCACGTGTTCTTCCCCTCGAAGATAGCGTGACTGTTGCATTTTTCCGCAAAAATCGACCTGGTAGTTATATCGCCGCATACTACCAAGGCGTGTGCTTCTTGGACGAAGCCACGGGTCGCTTCGAGGTAGTCAAGGAAATCATCCCAACCGACCAGCGTGAAGAGCTTCGCTTCAATGACGGGGGAATCGACGCAAAGGGCCGGTTCTGGTTGGCCGAGATCGATAAGCGAGCGATGGCATTTGGACCTAATCAACTTCCAGCCAACTATGGAACACCCAGAGGCCGCCTATGGAGGTACGATCCAGATGGCAGTTTGCATTTGATGATTCCAGAGGGAATTGTTTGCGGGAATGGGCTCGCGTGGAGTCCAGATAACAAGACCAGTACGTGGTTAATGCGTCGATTCTGGTAGAGAGAATTGAGACTGGCTCGCTAAAGAATGGCAGTGTACTTCAATGACTCGGTCGCAATGATGGTTTTCGCATTCGATTTTGACCTGGAGAGCGGCAATATCTCAAACAGACGACTTCTTGTGGACAGACGCTCGTCATATGGGGAGCCAGATGGCATGGTGGTCGAGTAAGTCTCTAACTTACTTTCTGTTGCCCAAATCAACCAACATGAGGCATGAACCATATCTTGACATCTGATAGCTCCGAGGGAAATCTTTGGATAGCTGTGTTTGCATCCTATCGAATTATGGTCTTTTCACCGGAAGGCAAGCACCTGAAAGACGTTGTGGTGACGGCCAAGAACCCAGCCTGCACCACTTGGGGGGGAGAAAATCATGATATCATCTTCATAGCCAGCGGAAAAGATCGTACAGCCAACCCAGAACCTAATGATGAGGGCGGACATATGTTCAAGTATCATCCTCGGGATACACATGGGTATCCAAAGTACGAATTCGGAGGATAGTTTAAGTAAAAACGTGAGATATATTTTGCTCTGTCTTGATGTCTTATAGCCCACTACAACCGAAGTCGTGATGATGTCGCCTTGCGACTGTTGGAAACACACGAATATCCCTGAAAGAAAGCCTTGTCTTGTTCTTCTGGCTTGAAATATGACAGATCTGGATCAATTTGGCCAACGTTCACCCCAACTACTGCTATAATAATGTCACACTTTCAGAAAATAGTTTCTGGAAGTTGAGATAGCGAGGAAAATACCAAGGACGGCACATTTCTTGAGATGTACTGGATCAGAAGCCATCCACCGCGTGGTTTTCTCCCTGCCGGAGTGAGCGCACGTATTGTGACATCGGGCCCCTTACTTGCCCCGTCGTTGAATAGTAATGTCCCTGGTCTGTCCAACAGTGAGAAGTGGGCCGCCCCCGCTGATCTGCGTCCCGCCTGTGCGTGATACTTCCATAGGCTGGTAGTGGACCTGTTGATTGTTGATAATGTATTGGTTATAGAAAGGGACATATTCAGGACTCCATTTTTGTCTGACTGTTTCATTGAGGGTTTAGGGTGGGAGGGTGGAAGCCTCGACGGACATGATGCTTTAATTGTTGTAAATAGGATATTGAACTACGAAGATAATCAGTTGAATGGCATGTATTGAGACTGAATGGGTATTTCAATTATGATTATCTTCGAATTTTCTAAGGTGCAATTCTTTCTGCCTTCTAACACTTAACGATCATCCCACCCTTTGCCCCACGCATTACGTGGGATCGAAATTTAGTGTGGCGCCAGTGTAAGAATCGGGCTAACACGTAATAACCTTGTGGACGTATATAAGTGTTCACCTCCACTCATACAACAGAGTTGAAGTCAACCAAAAATCCTTAAAAATGGCGGAAAAACGCGCGATTCTCACTAAAAATGCACCCCCACCCCTTCCTGGGATCTACTCACAAGCCATAGTCGCCAATGGATTTGTGTATTGCTCTGGCTGTGTACCCATGGACGCCCAAACAGGCAAGATCGTTGATGGAGATATCGCGTTGCATACTGTAAATATTTCTTTCTCCCGATCGACATAAGGAAATACTGACGCGATGGAATCATTAGGAGCAATGCATCAAGAATGTAACGCACATTCTCGAAGCTGCGGGTTCGCACATTGATAAAGTCGTTAAGGTCAATGTTTTCTTGTCTAACATGGAAGACTTTGCGACAATGAATTCAGTCTACACGCTCTATTGGGGTGATGTTAAGCCTGCCAGGACGTAAGCTAAGACTCAAGCGCCCCATACTTTCAACCCGCCTTAGAGGTATACTGACTATACCTGATAGTTGTGTGGCTGTGAAGACATTGCCCTTAAACTGTGATGTGGAAATCGAATGTGTCGCCATTCTATAATTGTACCCTTGAGGTTTCGATAGAATGTCGGGCACTTGGAGCTGCTGGCTCTGCAGGCATGCCAAGAAAGTACCGTTGTTTGTTGGAGGCTTCTTTAGCGTGATCAGTTACGAACCATGTCCACCAGGGCAATACCCGAATGCACGCGGTCATCAAGATATTTTGCAGGAGTCCTCAGCGGCAGAACAAGGCTGATTCCTCAAGCCGCAACCTCTGGACTGCCCAAGTTAGCTCATTATGAGAGGCCGCTTTTGATGGAGCCTGAAAACGAATAAAAACTCGCAGTCATAGGACATAGGGAAGAATCCTTTCTATCAGAACTAGCTCTCTACAGCATAAGAACAACCTTTTGAATTGTAAATAGAGGGCGTAGACGAAGGTTGTGACGCCCATATTCTGACTGGAGGCTCGTCTAACCCTGATATTCATATCCTTGATGTTCTTTGCTTTCTAAGCGTAGATTTTGTGTGATGTCACGGCTAACTGGCAGATTTTACCCTGCAGATATGGATGTGAGCTTTAGATATATCGAATGGAAGAAAGGCGATTACAAAGGGCACTGGCTCATCAGTTACTTCAATAACGCTATGGCTTTTGCCATCGGGTACGTTCCTATCATAGGGCCATTATTGGCTATTGGGTGGAGTGTTGCCTACACCGCGATCGCCCAGCCGGATGAATTTGCAGATGAGTTGCGGGAGCAGATCCCCTCGGTAGAGCTTCTTGAGGGGTTCGTGACCGAAATCAAGAAGCTAGCAGAAGACGGAGAGGGGGTGGTGCAGGACGGAATCGATGTGAAGAAACTCAGTGGTGTCGAGACAAAGATATCGAACGCCAGTCCCCTGGACGACAAGAAAGATGCGGTACAGGCAAAACCGGCCGCCGTTGTGGAGAAGCCGACTGGTGAAGATGAACAGCCCCCCACGCAGGAGGACGACGAAAAGACTCTTACCCAGGCAGATCGGATTTCTCGAATGATCAGCAGGATGAAGTCAACATCCGATGCTGATACCAAGAGATTGTTTATGATGAGCTACAGTAAATTGGACCAATTGGGCTTGCTAACGGAAGAGATTCTCCACAAACTTGAGTGCGCAGAGGACCCTTTTTACGAACCTCCCGGTAATGAACGATGGGATCATGAAGGAAACTTCATTGAGGAGCTACCCAGTGCCGACGAAAGATACGCCAAGATAGCGCGAGGTTTATTCATTCAGATGCATGGAAAAAGGCTCGACCAGGCAATGAAAATTTGAGATTTGGCCTGATGACAAGTATGGCGCTGACAGGGACTTCATGAGACGAACTGCTCGTCAATATATGAAGCAAAAATGAAGCCAAAAATGGCTTCATAGGCTCTACGTGTCGAAGACACTCAGATGCAGTCATGTCAACGGAAAACGCGTCGCGGGCAGCGGATGGACATGGTCGGTGACAATATTTGATGTACCCAGAACCTGGAAACTTCAATATGAGTGTTCTTATGAAGGAGCTCTTATTCTTTCATTCCTGTCTAAATTGCTGACGGATCATGATTCTCGCAATCCTCCAACCATCTTAGTGACGTACCGAGTAAAGCAGAGGCATACAAGGGTGGACTAGGCGACGCGGACTAACTATGCTACTCAACGATGAACTGAAATCAACCCCGGGCTAACAGTCTTTGCAAATCTCATCTCCAGCAATCCACTCCCCCCATCGCATTTTGCTAGTTCCTCATTCATCTCCTTCCCTCGACCAGGCTCTGGCCTTGACCATGGGCCCATTCCGACAGGCAATGAGCCAATCTTTGACCTGATACTCAAAGACGCGATGGCGACCAAACACGTTGCTGCTGGATCCCTCCCCGAGACGAGAATTGTTACAATGACTCGTCTGTACATCGCATCTCACAAACAAGGACGCAAGGGCGAGCATGAGTTCGTTCATGGCCAGGCTCTTCCCGATACAACCTCGCATCCCGAGCGAAAAGGGGTTGAAGGCCGCTCGGACTTGTTCCAGCTCCAGGGCGGCTTCCTCCGACGATAATGAGGTAGAGGTAGAGCCATTTGCAAGCCATCGCTCCGGGCGGAAGACGAACGGGTCGCGGTAGTACTTGTCGCTGTGGTGGATGCTGTAGATTCCCGTTCCCAGCTCGCATCCCTCGGGGATGTATTTGTCCCCAATCGAGAGACCACCGGGCAGGACCATCCGCCACAGCGCACTGCCCACCGGCGGGGACATGCGCATCGCTTCGTTGATACAGGCGCGGAGGTACTCACAGGAATTCAGGGCAGGACCCAGACGGACATCTTCGCTGGAACGAAAGGCGCTGCGAATTTCCGAGACTACCTTCGCGTATGCGTCCGGGTATCGGGTGAGATAAAAGATCGTCGCACATAGTGAGGTCGCGGTGGTGTCGGAGCCTATCGTTGTTTCAGTGAGTCTCATGGAAACCAGGGCATTCATAATCAGATCCAATAACCTACCGGCTACGACAAAGTTGATGCTCTCTGCATTCAGCTGGTCTTGTGTCAGACGCTGCTTGGTTTCGTCGTCGCGAGACTGGAACAGGATGGTGAACGCGTCGCCGGTGATATTGGTAGCCTTCATGCGGTCCTTGAGTAGCTTTCCGACAAATCCCAGGAAGACGTTTCGCGCCCTGATTGCCTTACGGAAAACGTATCGGTCGATTTTGCGCCAGGCCAGGATGGGTGCTTGGGAAAGGATGCCGATGCGGAAATTGACCAAAGAAATGGCCGGGATGATGAAGCGGTACTTGGAGCTTTCTTGGAGGTTGTACGAGATGCCGTAGATCACCGATGTCATGACGTCGAAAGCAAAGTCCCCGACTGAGGTCGTTCTTGTTAGAAGTGACCAGGACTAAGTGGATACGATGCTCAACACTTACAATAGTCGCCCATATTGATGGACTCAGTCCAGCCGTCCGAGCCCGTTTCGTTTGACAGCATCCGGTTGATCAATTTGTCGACATTGTCCATTATTCGGGGTTCGTAGGCGCGGAGCGCCATGTCGGAGAACCCGTGGCTGACGATACGCCGCTTGCGTTCGTGTGCCTTCTTGTCGGTCTCTGTAAATGTGCTGGCCACACGCATAGTCATTGTGTGGTAGTCGGGGGACTTTTGAATCTGTTTGGCGCTGCCGTAGATTTCTGTGCATGGCCCCGTTAGTTTGGCCCATCATCAGGAGGAGCTCGATCGCTGTCGCTCGTGTCTCACCTTTGAGGCCGTCGGTCGTGTTGACCAGAAGACGATTGGGAGCATAACGAACGTAGTCACCTAAGCCCGAGAGGCCAAATTAGCCTTCGATTCGCTATGGGGTGTAGCCACTACCGCATACCGTACTTAAGGTGGCATTTCCACATGTCGAGATGAAGATCGCCCTTCACTGCGTGATATGCGCCATATAATTTCGTGAACTTGGCCAAGAATGGGCCCGGGTATTTCGCGTATGGATGGAAGGTGACCAAGTATACTGCATTGGCAATCATCTACATGTCATGCATTAGGGCTGTTGGATGTGGAAATCCTTGTTCCGAGAGACATCAAAAGCACTGACATATGCAAGGACCAGAGCGAGCACGCCCGTACCAAAGGTGCCGAGATAGAACTTGAGATTGTGCAGTACGGCTGGGGCAGCCAGGATAGGCGGCCATGGCTGAGAGTCGCTTGGGTTCACGACGACGAATGAGGACATGACATCCCGGGCGAATCCTCCCAGGAAGCCGGCAGGCTCTGCCGGTGTTTGGTTCGACATGGAGGTGGGGGATGCAGCAGTCTCTGTGATGGGACTGTAGGGAAACACCAGGGCCTAATGTGACAGTTCTAATAGGGCAGTTCTCATAGGGCTGGCTCGAGGGTGAGGCCAAAAACTCTCGCAGGGGAGGGTGGTGCCACCGGTGGTGAGGGGCGGGTCGTTCCACGCTGAGTGCAGGCACGGTTTTCAAGGGACATTCGAAGATGTTCATGTTCATCCTTTGCCGACCAACAATTGAGGGCTTGTTTCTTGTTTCTCATACTCGCTTTGTTTTTCCGCTCATTGCTTACCCCCCCCCCCCCCCCCAAAGTCCCCTGCTGCTGAGCCGTGACAGTGAACGGGTCATCAAGCCGGACCCGGTCATGATGGTTTCTCTTTCTTGCCTCATCGGCTATGGCGAATCCCTCCTTGAAACGGTGCAAGCTCATCCGTGGTCGACTATTGGCGCTATCGTCGTCCTCTCGAGCGTAAAGAATGTACCGCTGATGTGGCATGTACGTACTAGTCCCCAGCGTTGGATCAATAGTTCCCACTCACATGACTGTAGGCTCGCTTAATCACAGCCGTGCTCTACCATTCCATTGCCAGGAAGAACGACGTAGTCACTGTGGAAAGGCATGGAGGGCAGAGTTTATTTGGCTACATCGTGACGAGCTCGCGCAGCCCGCTCTACGAGTGCGACATCAACGGCCACAAATCCGACAGCACGTATTTTAGCGACCTCGACATCAACCGCATCCATCTGATCACGCGGCTGTTGAAAGGCGCCGGAGATCTGTCGCTGCGACCAGCCCGACCGAACGTTGCCCGAGAGGATCGTCCCAAGAAGATGCGAGTCCTCCTCGGTGGAACCTGCTGCAGTTTCCGTAGAGAGATCAAGCCGTATGCGGCGTACGAGATCCACTCGCGGGTCCTGGCCTGGGACGAGAAGTGGCTGTATGTGGTGAGCTATTTTGTGAAGCCGGGGAGCGCACGGAAAATGGCCTCGTTGCAGAACAAGGCCGGCGACAAGAGTGAGATGGCGGATGTAGCCAGAGGGATGGTGTTTACTTCCGCCATCGCCAAGTTTGTCTTCAAGGAGGGGCGCAAGACTGTTCGTCCCGCAGATGCACTTGAAGAGCTGGGCCTGCTTTCCGCGTCCAACGAGGCAGTGAAGACTTCCGAGGGAGGGGAAGAGCCGTGGACGCCGAGTCGGGTGGAAGAGCAGCGGAAGACGGGGATGAAGATTGCGCAGCATTTGATCGCGCTCGACGAGTTGCATGATCAGTTTGAGCAAGTATCCGAGCACCCCTTCCTGGGGAAGTTCGGTGTTCTGGGGACGATGTGCTGAAAACCATCGAGGGGAATAAGAAGAAGCGATGCTGTTGTCGCAGAGGAATGGACGGGCTCGTTATGTAAATAGAGTGCCTTGACACCAATCCATAGACACCTAGCCGAATGAAACCCCTTATGATAATATGAAAATGAACTCTTGCGCCACTTTTGATCCTAAAGACAATGTCATCTTCCAAGTTATCGGCGGGTTTCCTTTACACGATCCTTTGGTTTCGAAGGCCATTTCCAAAAAGACTCTACGACGAGAACATAAATAGTAACATGGAATGGTGATTGAAGAGAACTTGGGACACAAAATATATAAAAAAAAAAAAAAAAAAAAAAAAAAAAAAAAAAATAGCCAGAAAAACTGCGCTACTTGAGATACTGCCCATGTTGACTCTTAATAGGCCCTCTGCCGCGGCCACTTTCATCCAACGCTTTAAACCCATGTTCCAGTACACCTCCCTCCTTGTACGCCTCGAAGACATTGATAGTCTCTTTGGAGACAGGGTCATACCCAACCCCCGAGGCCTGAGTCACCATGTGCAAGACCTGTCCATTGTCTTCCAAAAGGCCCGGCTGCATGTGAATGTCTTTGACGAGGATATCTCCCGATCCCTCAACGGCATGTTTGAGGTTGTTCTCAAAGTGCGCGAAGAAGGTCTTGACCAGGGTTCGCGGAACGATGCGGTCGTCGAAGAGAGCAAAGGCATCGACTCCAAAGTCCGACACCGCGCAGTCGAGGAAGAACGGGTTGGGACTGTTTGCGACCGGCAGCCGCAGGGGCCGAACCAGGCCAATCCCGCTGCCGATGTCTGCTTTGTGGTGGTTGTATGGGTTGACGGTCAGGCCGAAGGCGAGATCACAGGCTGCTTGGGCGGAGGGTGAGAGGGTACGGATGTGTGGGATGCTGCACTGTTCGTGCGCGATGATGGTGCGGCACTGAGATTCGATGGCAAGCAGCAGGGTTTGCAAGGACTTGCGGGGATCGATGCGAATCCGGAGTGGAACAGTGGTGAGGATGGGGCCGATGATGCGCTCGATCTCTGCGACTGGGGCGTTGCGTCCGCTCAGAGTGAGCAAGAGGGTGACATCCTGGGCGTCCAAAAGCTGAGACAGGGCTAGCGCCCAAGAGGCATAAATGGCTGTAGGCATGGAGATGTCACGGCGCACAAGGTCTGCGTTTAGATGCACCTCGAGATCACATATGCTGTTGGCCTCACACTGACTAGGGTCGGTGGGGGGTGTGGCGAGCGGAGGGGGTGCGGTGTAATCAGCAAGCTGGGCACGCCAGAACTCATCCTGAACGTCCTGGTCGCGATTTTCGAGATAGCGAACAAAGCGGTTCATGGGAACCTCGGCTTCGGGGCTGGTGTTCGCATCGCCGTGCTGATACTCCCGTTCGAGGGTTGCGAAAAGTAGAGCGTACGCCCAGGCATCGTAGGTCGAGTGGCAGGCGGTGGTGATGAAGTAGCGCTTGCCGGTCTCTTGGTCAATCACGTATCCCGCCCGGCTGAGAGGAGTGCCGGGTCCGGTGGCGTCGCGGAGCTCCTGCTCGTAGTACTCAGGGATGGAGGCAGCAGAGCGCCAGGTAGCGGGCGCCGGCTTTTGAACGACTTGCATCCAGCTGCCGTCGGCCATCTGGGCAACGCGCGTTCGGAGCACGGCGTGAGCATTGGTGGTGCGTTCCCAGGCAGCCTTGAGGCGGTCAAGGTCTACAGATGGGGGAGCCTCAAAGGCAGTCATAAGGCAGGTCACGCCTGGACGCGTGAGGGAGATGGTGAGGAAGCCGATTTGCGCGGGCGTGGCGGGATAGATGTCTTCAACCGATTCTGGGAGAATTCCACAGAGGCTGGCGGCTTCCTTGAGTACCTCACCAACGGAATTTTCTTGAGGCACGAGTGAGAACGCAGGAATGATCGCCGTGTCGTCCGCTGTAATTGGCTCCATGATTGCTGCCATATCGTCGAGGACCTGATTCTGCAGGATCTTGTCTGCGGTCAGCGCGAACCCATGCGAGCGCGCAAGAGAAACCAGCTTGACAGCACCCATTGAGTCTCCTCCAATGGCAGAGAAGTTGTCCTGGCCGGAAATTTCGCTCTCGCTGAGTTCCAAGACCTGCGCCCACAGGGCACGCAAGACTTGACCTTGTTCTGTTGCGGGCTCCTGCATCTGGCCGGATCCCGGAGCTACGGCCAGTTTGGTTAGTTCGGACATACTGAGGCCCGCGCAGAGGGCGTGGAGAGCCTTGTGGTCGATCTTCAGATTGCTGGAAGTGGGGATGCGATTGACAGGGACGAAGATGCGAGGAATCATGAAGTCCGGTAGCACCTTGGCGAGCCCGCGCTGGACACCGTTAACAAGGCTTTCCAGACGGGCCCGGGCATCTTCGCTGGAGAGCAGAGTAAGGGGCTCTTGTGCTGGTGCTGAAGGTGTACTAGGACTGGTTATAGCGACCGGCACGAATGCAATGAGCACGGGGCGGCCTCTATTCTCCAATTTGACGGCCTCGCAGGAGGGAGAGACAAACCCGCCGATCAGCTGATGTAGTTGAAAGTCGATCTCGCCGAGGTCTACGCGTTGTCCATTCAGTTTGACCTGCGCATCCCGCCGACCCAAGACGTAGACCCGACCGTCAGGCTCGAACCGACCGAGATCTCCGGTGGCGTACAAGCGGCGTGGGGTGGGATTGGTTTGCAAAGCCCAGGCAGGGGCCTCGAGAAAGGCCTTGTTTGTTGCCTGGGGGTCGTGCAAGTATCCTCGTGCAACGACAGGGCCGTCGACAACGATCTCACCGACGGCACCGATGGGCATCAGCCGGCTGTGGTTCTCGCTGTCGGCGATCCATATGGAGCAATTCAGACCGCGGCCGATGTTAGCGGGGGAATCGCCATGACGTAGGCCCGACTGCCCCGTGCACCAGACAGTACACTCAGTCGGGCCGTAGACATTGATCAATCGAACAGCATCTGCCCAGGTGTTGATCAGTTCCTGGGTCAGGGCCTCGCCGCCCAGCGACAGCGTTTCGAGCTTGACGGTGCTGGGGGAGAGGAGGCTGGCGACAGTGGGCGTCAATGAGGCCTGATTGATTTTCAGACGCTCCATGGCGCCTGCAAGGTCGTTCATACGATCATGTTCGGATGGCATACAGACACAGCCGCCGCTGATAAGGTTAGCAAAGATCTCACCCACGCAAAAGTCCCAGGTAAATGCCGCGAACTGGAGATATCGTGAGGTGGAAGTTTTGCGCTGCAGGGCCGCATGTGAGGGCAGGACTGAGCAAGCGTTGCGGTGCTCGACGACAACACCCTTGGGTAAGCCAGTGCTGCCGGAAGTGAACATGATGTAGGCCCCGTTTGTGGACAGAACAGTCGGAGCCTCGTAGGTCGAGGATAGGGGGGGCAGGGCTTGGAGAGATTCCATTGTCACGATGATAATCTTGGACTCCGTTTCCGCAAAAAGATGCGTGAGTTCGGGGGTGGTGAGTAGGACCGACGCAGAGACGCGATTAAGCAGCAAGGCAAGACGTGACTGGGGATGATCCGGGTTCAACGGGGTCCAAATACCGCCGGCCTTGAAGATGGCGAGGATGGCGACGATACTGTAGATGGACTTGTGGAAAGAGAAGCCGACAAATTGTTCAGGCTGCACTCCAAGATTGACCAGGTACTGCGCCAGACGGTCCGAGTATGCATCTATCTCCGCATAGGTTAATGTCCCGTCCCAGGAGCAGACAGCTGGTGCATCAGGCCGCTGGAGAGCCTGGTCGTGCACCATGGAGTGGATCGTGCGCTCGTTTGGTTGCACTTGATCCAGGGCGTGCCAGGTCGCCATCTGCTGCATGTCTCCCGGACCGACTAAATCAATATCCTTCAGTTTTGTATTAGGTGCAGTCGTCGGCAGATTTGCTAAACAATCGAGAAGATGCTCGAACTGCCCGAGCATGCGATGGATGCCCTCGGTCGACACCAGGGTCGAGTCATACGAGACGTTGACGGAGATGCCAGTTGACTCTTGTGAGCAGGTCATAGTGATGGGGAAGGTATAGAGACCTGCAACAGTAACTGGCAGCGGTTCAACGCCCATTCCAAGATCGAGATCCAACGAGGAGGAGCCCATTGCCTGGAAGACCAGCAACGTGCGCAGGGCTGAGGCGGCCCGCGCCTCTGGGCTCACCTTGCGGATATTTTGGAAGCCAGCCTGCTGGTATGGAATCAAATCGGTCGTACTCTTCTTGATCATTGCCAGATATTCGGCCACAGTCTGGTCCCGCTCGTACGCCACACGGAAGGGGAAGTTGGCAATGGTTGAGCCCACCATGTTTTCAATGCTGGGGATGGGGGTCGTGCGGCCGCTGACCACAACCCCGAACGTAACATTTTGCGAGCCCTCGTACAGCGACAGCAGCATGCCCCAGGCTGCCTGCAGGACGGTGGCGATGGTGTGGTCTCCTTGTGACGGCATGGAAAACCGGATCTTGGAGGTGAGCTCTGCGTCCGCCACTGAGCGATATCCGACGGAGGGCAGTGGGGGGAATGAGGGAGGAGCTGCTGGCTCGAGATAATTCTTCCAGAAGGCAAGAGTGTCTTCCTCGCCCTGTTCGCGGAGATAGCGAATGAGGTGGTTCGATCCCAGCATGGGCGATTGGTTCATGTCGTAGTAGGCTTCCTGCACATTGCGCCAGAGATTCGTGACACTCCACCCATCGTAGGCTGCGTGATGCATCGTCAGCACAAAGTATCGCGATGCACCACCATCTCCGCCTTCTCCGAGGATTGCCATGCGGTACAACGGCTGCCCAAGATCCATCAGACGGTGAACCTGGTCGCGTTTGTACTGCTCGACGTCATTGGAGGCGACGAATTCAATCTCAATGGGTCGACGGAGAATGACCTGCACAAATCCTGAGGCAGTCGTATGGGCCATGCGCATGCGAGTGACGGACGCGCGCTGCATCACCGTTTGCCAGGCGAGGCAGAACTTGGGAACATCCATGAAGGGGGCTAGGCGGTACACAAAGTGGGCGCTGTAGGTACCCTGGTCCTGGATCGAGGCGACCATCATTCCCTCCTGGAGTGGAGTGGTTGGGTACATGTCCTCGATGTCGTGGATAGCCACGCCACATTGACGGGCTGCCTCTTGCAACAGGACGCTTACCGGCTCGCGGTCGATGAGGGAGAAGGGCGGTGGCTCGTGAATAAGACCACCCGTGGCGGTGGTCATGGCGTGTGCCATGTCGGCTAGGATTGGATTGTCGAAGATGGCGGCGACGCTGAGTTGAATGTTTTGCTCTCGGGCCATCGACACCAGCCGCACAGCCACCAGCGAATCACCACCGCTGCGGAAAAAGGAGCTATTGCGGCCGATCGTGTCTGGATCCACTGATAGGAGCTGTGCCCACATCGCTTGGAGAGTCATCTCTGCCTCGCTTTCTACCGGCTGCAGGGCCTCGACTGCCGATTGATTCTGAATCGAAACGGGAGTCCCGTTTAGGGCAAAGGCACGGAGCGCGCGTCTGTCCACCTTACCGGATACCAACAGTGGCATCTTATCGAGGAAGTAGCAAATGGTCGGAATCATATACGAAGGCAGGGTCTGGCGCAAATCGGCGTCGAGTGTGCCAAGAATGCTGCTGTCCTGTTTGTCCTCCGCTTCATTGTTTCCAGGGGCCAGGAAGAGGGCAATTGCTTGATTGTCGGTTCTTCCTCCGGGAGCCACAATCTCGACGGCCATTTCTGGCGCGGGTCCAAGAGCCAGGCGTACGCGGTACTCAATCTCACCTAGTTCGATCCGCAGCCCATTGAGCTTGACCTGCGTGTCCTTGCGGCCGATGAAGTCGATCCAGCCATTAGGCTTATAGCGCACCAGGTCACCGGTTTTGTAGATGCGGCGAGGTGAAGATCCGGTCTTTGTATTTGGGAACCGGGTGAGGAAGTCGGGGTTTTCGATAAAGGCCGCGGCGGTTTTCTCTGGGTCTTTCAGATAGCCATCGGCAATGATGGGGCCCTCGATGACAAGTTCGCCGCTTGATCCAACGGGCACGAGGCGGTGATGATCTGTGGGATCCACAATCCAGCTGGTGCTGGCCAGGGCAGTCCCGATGGTGCGTTCGGAGAAGTCTGGGCTGAGAATTTCGCAGATCATATTGCACACGGCCGCTTCGGTGACTCCGTAGCCATTGACAAGACGTACTTTACCGGCCCATCGCTCAATCAGGTCCTTTCGAATGGGCTCGCCACCGAGGATGAGCTGGTCCAGGTGCGGCAGCTGCTCGGGTGAGAGTACGCGAGCGATAGAGGGCGTCAAGATGGCGAGATTGACTTTGAAGTCGTTCATGACTGGGACAATCTCGCTAAGGCGCTGATACTCAGAGGGAATGCAAATACACCCTCCGTGCGCCAGTGTCGAGAAGATTTCAACGACGGAGATATCAAATGTGAAGGCTGTGAACTGGAGAACGCGTGGCTTGCGGTCGAATCCAAAAGGCCCATGGTGCGAAACGCTGGTCGAGATGGCTCGATGCGAGGTGATGACGCCTTTGGGTTTGCCAGAGCTGCCGGAGGTGAAGAAGCAGTAGGCAGGATGGGAGGGGTTGATTAGAACATTACTCACAGGGGCCTCATTCACCTCGTCAAACAGAGAGCGGGAGACAACTATCGTGGGGACAGCAAGTCCGGCGAATAAGACCTCATTTCCCGCCGACATCAGCACCACCGGCGCCTCGACGTCGTTGAGGATCTCACGCAGCCGCTCAGGAGGGTGATGGGGGTCTAGCGGACAATAGGCGGCCCCGGCCTTCATGATTCCAATCATCGAGACAATGGCCCAGAGCGACTTTTCAAAGTAGATCGGGACGATGGAGCCGGGAATGATGTTCAACTCGACATGAAGCTTATGGGCGAGATGGGAAGTCAAGCGGTCCAAATCCGCATACAAGAGGATTCCATCCCAGGAGGCAATAGCCTCAGTATTTGGCTGCCGGCTTGCCACTTCCTCGACCAGCTCGTGCAGGCAACGCTCGACCGGCTCGATTGAGATCTGATTGAACCGTTGGATGTCGGCGTAGTCATCGGCTACCATCATATCCAGTGATCGGACCTGAAGGTCGCCCATGTTGGCGTCAAGCTGCTCAACCACATATGAGAATTGTTGCAGCAGCCGCCGTGCTTGAGACTCCGATACCAGGGCAGCGTCATAGTTCAGGTCCAGTGCGTAGCCCGTGGGTCTGAATGTGCACTGCAAAACCAGGGGATAGGTGTGGAAAGGCTTAAAGAAGTCTTTGTTGGCGGTTGGACATCCCAGGAACGTCGCATGGTTGCGGTTGACCTCGTCTTCGGGGTTCTGGATGACGAGCAGTGTTTGGAAGTTGCAGGCTGCCCTAGCATCGTCTGAAAGACGGCGAATATTTTGCAAACCCACCTGCTCGAACTTTGTGATGGCTAGAGATTGTCGTTGGACGTTGTCGAGCAGGGTCTTCACCTTCATCTCAGGCTGGAACGTAATGCGCAGAGGCGTTGTTGCCAGAGTAGGACCGGCGATGTCGTGGATCGCATGGACGGAGGCTGCACGTCCGCTAGTCGTCTGCCCATAAACAACATCGTCCAAGTCTGAGTATCGCCCCAGCACCAGGGCCAGCGCTGTTCGTACGAGAGTTGCCCTGGTGATTTCAGTCCCCACGCTCTTGTTGAAGGGCACGTCGAGATGCAAGAAGGCATCTTGGTATTGATGGTGCCGTGAGACGATCGAGGCAGGGTAGACCGCTGGTGGAGCGCGATACAGTTGTGACTTCCAGAACTCGTCGGAAGCCGCCTGGTCAATGGAGCGGACGTGCTGGATAAACGTGTTGAAATGCACGGGGGGCTTTGCGTTCAGCCCATGATAGATCTCCTCCACGCGGCGGTAGATGGGCTGCACAGACCAGCCGTCGTAGATGGCATGGTGGGCCGTGAAGACGAGGATGCGGTCCTCCACAATGGCGAACCGAGATAGCGGCTGCCCCATCCTCATGCCTGCACGACGGTCCTCTTCGAGATACGCTGCCTTGTCATTGCCGCCTCTCCACCGCAGCTGGCCCTGGACAACAACCTGCATTGTTCCGTGCTGCGCGCTGGGGAAGAGCCGGGTACGAAGGATGGGGATCTGCTGGTAGACGGTCTCCCATGCCGCCCTCAGACGAGCCATGTCCACGCGGTCAGGGATTTCAAACGCGAACTGGGCCATATATGAACCATTCTCCTTCTGTGCAAGGGCAAGCAGTCCCTCTTGGAGCGCTGTTGTCGGGTAGATATCCTCAATGTGACTATCGGGGATTTGACAGATTGTGCTGGCCTCGCGGCGGAGCACTCCGATGTCGCTGATGAGTGCAAATGGGGCCAGAACCGACGTATTGCCCACTTGCAGCTGTGTTGTGGCGAGTGCCATGGCAGACAGCAGAGGGTGCGTGAAAATGGTTTCGACAGTGAGGTCGAGATGGGCCGTCCTAGCCAGAGCAACGAGGCGCATGGCCATGATCGAGTCGCCCGAGATGCGGAAGAAGTGAGCGTCGCGACCGAACGAATCAGGCGAAAGTCTCAGCACCTGGCTCCAGAATCCATGCAGCAGACGCTCCATATCTGTCGCTGGCGGTTCGACCGTCTTCTTCTTGTTATGCGCCTCCAACGAAAACTGGGAGATGTCCTCGAGGCTCATTGTTCGCGCCAGTCGTTGCAGCTTGCCACGGTCCGTCTTGGCCGATGCAGTGAAGGGCATGAGACGCAGAGGCACATAGGCCGAGGGAATCATATGCACGGGCAGTCTGTCAGGGAGGTGTTCATTCGCCCCCTTCATTGCCTCATTGTATCGCGACAACTCGCCCTCGGAAGATGCAATTTCCGGCAGGAGCTCGCCGGCCTTGGAGTACTCGACCTCGGTAGCCACGCTAAGGAAGGCCATCAGCATTGGCGGTGCAGTTCCATTCGCGGGTCGAACCATTTCGACCGCCACCTCTGTGATGCCTGGCGTTGCCTCGCGCATCCGGTGCTCGATTTCGCCCAGTTCAACACGCTGCCCTCGTAGCTTGACCTGTGTGTCGCGTCGACCGACGTAGTGGACCTGGCCGTTCGGAAGGTATCGCACCAAGTCACCCATCTTGTACAGCTTGCCAGCTGGCCGGTTACCAGCGACCCGGGTGAACCAGGCCGGTGGCTCAATAAATGCAGCAGCGGTCTTGACCGGCTCGTTGATATACCCGTCAGCAACATTGGGGCCCTCGACAATTAGTTCACCGATAGTGCCGATGGGGGCCAGCTTGTTGTGATCAGTGGGGTCAGTGATCCAAGTGTTGCATCCAAGAGCAAAGCCGATGTTGTGACCCGATGCCGTCGACGGGATGCCGGGATTGCAATGCGTCCAGATCGAGCACTCGGCGGGTCCGAAACTGTTGATCAGATACACAGCGGGAGCCCAGGTCTGGACATTCTCAACTGTAGCAGTCTCGCCGCCAAAAAGCAGTGTCTTGAGCGAGCGTAATTCCGATGGGTGCAACAATGAGGCCACGCTGGGGGTTAGGAACGCCCAATTTACATGCATGCGTTCCATTGCTGCAGCTAAGCCATTCATTCGCTCAGCATCGGAGGGGATGCAGACGCACGCGCCTACTGACAGCGAGGTGAAGATCTCCCCAATGCTGACATCGGATGTATACGCGGTGAATTGCAGGTTGTTGGAGCCGGGGCCACCATAGCGAAGGACCTCTCCGTGTCCAACAATGCTGCTCGTAAAAGCCGAGTGGCTGATGAAGATTCCTTTTGGCTTGCCAGTGCTGCCTGACGTAAACAAGATAAATGCGGGATCTGTTGATTTGACGGTCTTGGTGGGCAGGGTCAATTCGGCCCCTTGGTCGTGCTTGCTGAGCGCATGTGCGATTTTGTCTGCATCAACGGTGAAAGTGGACTTGCTGAGAAGGCGGGCCTTGTCACACCATTTGCGACTCGACAGAACCAGCTGTGCGTCAACGTCCTCGACCAGTCCGCGTAATCGCTCCAGGGGATGGGCCGGGTCGAGCGACACACAGGCGCCTCCAGCCTTAAGCACCGCCAACATTGTGACCACAGTGTAGATTGACTTTTCAAACACTAAGGGTACTTTGAGTCCAGGTCGCAGCCCTCTGGCGAGCAGCTCTGGCACCAGTGCGGAAGACTGCGCATCTAGCTCAGCATAGGTAAGTTCCCCTTCCCACGAGCGGACAGCCGGCGCGCCAGGCTGCAAAGCTGCTCGCCGTGCGAATGTCAAGTGCACCAGATCATCCTGCGGTGTTGGGGGTGGCTGATTCCAAAGTGATAACTGGGCAACATCTCTCGAGCTTACCAGATCCAGGTCCGTGAGTTTGGTCTGGGCCAGGGCTGGGTCGTGTAAGGAGACAAAAGCCTGGTGAAGCTGCGCAGACAAACGCTCAATCTCCTCTCCAGCCAGTAGATCAGAGTCATACTCGACCGTCACCTGAAGGTCTTCCGCACCAATCACGACGTCCAGACTTATGGAAAATGTGTGGAAGGGTCCCGCAAAGGAGTTGCTGACCACCTGCATATCGAGAGCGCCCCGTGTCGTGTCTGGAGCATTCTCCGCCTCTGTCTGGATCATCAGCAGCGTCTGGAAGTCGCACGCCGCTTTGATCTGCGGCGATAGCTTGCTGATGTTGTAGATGCCGTAGTGCTCGTAGGTCATCATCTCCTGTGCCTGCTCGTGGATTTGGCGCAAGAAGTCGTCAACCGTCTGGGTTTGCTTGTTGATCTTGACGCGCACGGGAACCACTGCTGTGGTCGGACCAAATACAGCTTGAATGCCCTGTACTGGCGCTGAGCGGCCATTTAAGCTAGCACCAAAGACCACGTCGTCGGTGTCATCGGCGTATCGCGCAAGTAGCAGAGCCCACGCGGCGCGGATGAATGTGGAAATAGTGTACTCGCATTGACGTGCGACGATTGGGATACAGGTTGTGTAGTGCGAATTCGCTGCAGGTCGGTAGGAGATGTCTGGGAGTCTGGGAAAAGTCATCGTAGGCGCATCCTCCATCTGGCTCTTCCAGTACTGCTCCAGGGGCCGCTGGTCGGTCTGCAGGAAGGACTGGACAAAGGTGTTAAACCCGACGACGGTATCAAGAGAAATACCGACAAACACCTTTTCCAGGTCTTCAACCATGCGCAGCAAAGACCAGGCGTCGTACGCTGCTCGATGCATTGAAAGGACAAAGTGCGGGTTTCCACGGCCAGTCGGGTCTTCAACCAGCGCGTATCGCACCAGGGGCTCGCCCACGGCGATCGGTGCGCGCTTGTCCCGCCAGAGATAGTCCTGCAGGTCGGTGACAGATGTGCCCGTCCAGCTCTCGGCGGGGCCCAGGACGGCCTGCAACAGACGGCCGGACGGGTTATGAAAGACAGAAGTCCTGAGCATCGGCGTGCAGTTGTAGACGGTCATCCAGGCACGGCGCCACTCATCAAGATCCATCGTTTTGGAGAGTTTGATGACCATCTGACCAAAGTAGGTGCCTGGTTCCTTGGCTGACAGGGCCATCAACGCGTCCTGCAGGGGAGTGCTTGGGTATATATCCTCGATGTCCTCGCGCCTTACGCCCAAGACATCGACGGCCTGGTCAAGGGTGGACTCAATGGACTCGCCGATCATCTGCACCAGCTGGAACGGTTTTAGGACCTCTTCCGTGACCTCGTCCACGTCCGTAGCGGCACGCGCTAAGTCGGCCAGTATGGGATTTTTGAAGACATCCAGCACTTGGAATCGCCAGTGGGAGGCTGCGGCCCGTGTAACCAGCTTCATGGCGCTGATTGAGTCGCCTCCGAGTCGGAAGAAGTTATCCTGCACGAAGATCTGGTCCGGCTGTAGACCCAGCACTTGTACCCATAAATTGTGCATGCGCTTCTCAGCAGGCGTGGACGGTGGGGAGTGGCTGCTCCCTGCGCGGGAGAAGGAGATCAGCTCGTTGCGCGATAGTCCGGATACCAGTCTCCGCAGCCCCATGTGGTCTGTCTTATTAGTACCCGTCTGAGGGATACGGGTGATGGGCAGGAAGATGCTGGGGATCATGTATGGGGGCACAGAGAGTGCGAGTTTGCCGTCCAGTCCGTCAGTCAGACGCTTGAGTTCAAGGCGAGCTTCGGTCGTAGTCGCAACTTGGCAGGGCAATGTAGTATCAGCAGGATAAAGCGCAATGAAGGCAATAATGGTATTTGTAGGCGGCTCATTGTGATCTGCGCTCATTTTGATCGTGTCCACCGCTACCTGGACATCGGCCGGCAGATGGCGCAGCAGATGGCTCTGGACTTCGGCGAGCTCGACACGCTGTCCACGGATCTTCACCTGCATATCGTTGCGGCCCATGATCTGCAGCGTGCCGTCGGGGTTGTATTGGGCCATGTCCCCTGTACGGTAGAAGCGGCGATCGCGTCCTTCAAAGAGTTGTGCCAGGGTTCCGTCCATTGTCCAGCGAGGCCCATTGACGAATGCGAGGCGGGTTTTGGCCTCGTCGTTTAGATAGGCTCTGGCCAGCGTGGGACCCTCGACAAGTATCTCTCCTACCGTTCCAATCGGGGCCAGCGAGTTGAAGTCACCTTTCTTTGCAATCCACAACCGCGCTCCTGACACAGCACGCCCAATGTTGGCAACATCGTCTTGGGCTGTGATGCCGCGGAAGGCTGAGCACATGATGGTCGACTCCGCAGGGCCATACACGTTCATCAGGCTACGGTGGCCCCATTTCCGCGTACATTCTTCCGTCATGCGCTCGCCGCCCATCGCCAGGAATCCGAGCTGAGGAAGCTCGGCGGGCTCGAGGGATGCTGCCACGGTTGGAGTCAGAAAAGCGCAGTTGACATCATAGTTTCGCAGAGTCTCGGTGAGGCTGTTGTTGCGATCCTCGTCGGTGATGCAGCAGATGCAGCCGCCGCGGAACAGCATTGCGAAGACCTCACCAAAAAAGGCATCGAACGCGTGGGGTGCAAATTGGACGACGCGGGAGGCCGTGTCAATGTTCATAATAGTTGAGATAGCTTCCACGCTGGTGCATGCAGCTTCGTGGGTAATCTCAATTCCCTTGGGCTCCCCGGTTGTACCGGAAGTGAAGACGATGAATGCGAGGCTGTCATGACAGCCGTACTTCATGTGAGGAGCCCGGGGCTCATCAAATTTCTGGCAATGCTGTTCCATCGTGTCGGTAGATACGGTGACTATCGTGGTGGGTGCGATAGAGCCAAGGGCCTCTGTCTGCAGCGGCGACGCAATCAGGGTTCGGGCTTGGACTTGCTGAATGACACGGTACAGACGTTCCTGGGGCACAGTGGGATCAAGCATCACACATGCCCCTCCTGCCTTCATTACGGCCAGGATTGCGACGACCACCCACTTGGACTTTTCAAAGGAGATGAGAACGGGCTCTCCGTCGTGAGGGGCGGTCTCCAAGCTGAGGAGATACTGGGCGAGCCGGGTAGAATACACGTCTAGCTGATGGTATGTGAGCACACCATCCCAGGAGTCGACTGCAGTCTTGTGAGGATGCATGCAGACAGTCTCCTCGAACCGGTGGTGCAGCATCGATGCCACTCTGGACGGCGGAGTTGCGTTCCACTGCTTGATAGTGTCGAGATCGGCAGCGCCGACGAGGTCGAGATCGAGAATCCTCGTGCCAGGATTTGCAGTAAAAACAAGATTGATAGAATGCTGTATTTGCTTCATGATCCGATCGACTTGCGTTGTGGTCAAGAGACTGTCATCCCAGTTGACTTCCACGGTGATGGCCGTCTGATCAGCAACTGTACAGCGCATACCAAATGCGAAGGAATGGAATGCGACGCCATCCCGTCGCTGCACTTCCTGCAGAAGACGAGAATGCGTGTCCGCATTGTCATACTCGACCAGGAGAAGGGACTGGACATCACACGCTATGCGTGCGTCCTCTCCCAGGCTGCGAATGTTTTGCATTCCGTACTGCTCCAGTTCCAGCAGTGCACCGGCCTGGTTCTGCAAGTCCTGCAGCAGTTTGCGTAGAGGTTGGTCGGGCTGCAACTTGACGCGAATAGGAACGGTGGCGATCGTTGCAGCCTTAATCTCTTCAATTCCCGATAATGGAGCGCCGCGTCCATTGCTAGTGTTGGTGAAGACAACGTCGTCCGATCCGACGTAGCTGGCTAGCAGTAGCGCCCATGCGGCCCGGATTTTGATGGCCGCCGAGATGGTTGGATCGACTTGATGCAGCGTGGATGGCAGTTCAAAGTGATGTTCTAAGAAGGCTTTGGGTTTGGGGATATAGCCCACAGGCACAGTGGGGAAGACGGTGAGGGGCGCAGATTCCAGTTGCTGCTGCCATCCTCTGCGGACATGGTCAATATCCATCTGTGTGAGATGCTCGATAAGGCCAGAGAGGCTGGGGCTAGCCGCCAGAGTCTCGCCATGGTAGGCGCGGTCGAAATCTCGCAAGAGCAGATCAAGTGACCACGCATCATGAACAGCATGGTGGAGAGTCAGAACAAATACAGGACCACTGACTGGGTCGTCCACAATGGCAAAACGAGCGAGCGGGTTGCCCAGAAGCATTGGAATGGCCAAATCACGAGCAAGATAGGATTCCAACTCTTCAGATGTGGTTTTCCACTGCAGATCTGGCTGGACTACGACTTGCCACAATTCTCCAGCTTCGTCTGCGAAGATTCGTGTGTTGAGACAAGGCGCGGTTTGGTGGGCAACGGTAGTCCAAGCCTGGATGAGACGATTGACATCGATGCCAGCGAGCTTGTAAGCTTTCTGCACCACGTACAAGCCCGGGCTCTTGGCTGAGACTGCCATGAGTGCCTGTTGAAGTGGAGACGTCGGAAATACGTCCTGGATCGCCTCGGTCTGTACATGACATTGCTGGCTGGCATAATTGCACAGTGCTTCAACATTATCCTTCACCAAACGGAAAGGCTCTGGACCAAGGTCAGGTGAGGGGTTCAGAACGTCGACTGCAAGGGCCATGTCCGACAGGATCGGATTGGCGAGAATTGCCTTGACAGTCAGGCCCAGCCCTACAGCATGACACGCTGAAACCAGGCGAATAGCTGTGATGGAGTCACCGCCGAGGCTAAAGAAGTTTGCTGCTGCATCTTCCAGAGGCTCTGAAATGCCAAGCACGCGCTGCCAGAGCTCGCACAGCCGGTTCTCCATGGGCGTGGAGATGGCGAGGCTTGCCTGCGGGGTGCGAAAGCCCGCAAGCTGCTGCGGGCTGAGTGTGGCCGCAAATTGACGAAGCTGCTTGCGATCCAGCTTGCCCGAGGCGGTCATGGGGAATTTGCTGGACAAGGGGATATAGATGGTCGGGACCATATATCCTGGGAGCGACTGTGCGAGCTGGGCCGCAAAGCGCATCGTCAGCCGTTGCCAACTAGTCGGGTCATTCGACGAAGTGAGACAAAGCTCATCCAGGACGGCTGTTTCGTTGTTCCTGTCTGGAGCCAGAAACACTGCGATGGCATCTGACACCGTGCCCTGCAGCCGGACAACATCCACACATGAGGCAAGATCGGTTGGAACCAGCGGCTGCAGTTGGTCCTCGATCTCCTCGAGTTCCACCCGCTGTCCACGTATCTTGACCTGGGTGTCGATACGTGCAATAAACTTGAACGTCCCATCCGGGTTGTACTGGGCAAGATCTCCGCTTTTATAGAAGCGGGAAATGCTGTCTGGCGCAAATGACGGCGGCGGGACGAACGCTTGTGCTGTCGCTGTGGGGTTGTTGAGATAGCCTGCGGCGACCATGGGCCCTTCCTGCAGCAGTTCTCCAGGGGTTCCAATAGGAACGAGCTTGTTGTAGTCGTCGGGATCAACGACCCAGTTCATTCCACCCTGCGAGACATGGATCGTGCTAGCAGCGTCACCAAGCGAGAAGACAGAAAACCCGCACATGCCGGCCTCTGTGGGCCCATAGCCTGCAATGACACGCTTCCGTTCTAGCCACAAATCGAGCAGGCTTTGTGAGATGGCCTCGCCACCGAGATACAGGGTCTTCAGCTCCGGCACTTCATCTGGGGTCAACAGCTTGGCGACTGACGGGGTCGCGTAGAGGAATTCGATGTGCATCGCTCGCATGACGCCGGTCAGATTGTTCATGCGCTGTTCCTCTGTAGGAATGCAGACGATGCAGCCGCCGATCAGCGCAGTCATGATTTCATAGATAGAGTGGTCGAAGTTGAACGAGGAGAACTGCAGGACCCTTGTGCGCGCCGGGATCTGCATCCCCGCAGAGTGGGCCACAATGGCCGAGGCAAGGTCGCAATGCCGCATGACGATGCCTTTGGGTGTTCCAGTGGATCCAGAGGTGAAGATGACCACTGCCGTTTCCGTGTGAGCGACGGTAGGGAGGTTGTCACTTACCTGGTGATCGGGCAGGGAGTCCAGCAGGGCCTGGTCAATGGGCAGGACCGTATCCACTGCCCCCGTCATCTTGGCTACCCAGCTTGGGGATGATAGGATGCATTTCGCACTGACTTGGTCGAAGATCTTCTGCAGACGTGCGATGGGGTGCGAGGGCTCGGTGCCGATGTACGCCGCGCCGGCTTTGAGGACGGCGAGTTGGGTGATTGGCACAAACTTGGAGCGATCAAATGTCAAGGGAACACGGCTTCCAGGCCCTAGCTGGAGATCGTTCTTCAAGTAATGGGCCAGTTTCGTGGCAGCCGTGTCCAGCTCGCCGTAGGTCAGGTCGCCATCCCATGCGTGCACGGCCAGCTCGTTCCAGCGTTTGCGACAAGACTCCTGCACCATCTTGTGAATCGTCGTCTGTGTGGGCGTGGGGATGGGCGGAGTCCAGCTGGAAATCTCCGCTCGATCTTCAGGGCAGCAGAGGTCGAGAGTGTCAATGGTGGTGGTATGCCTGTCGCAGAGCTGGCGCAGCAGATGCGAGTATTGATAAACGATGCGGTTGGCCTGGCGAGGGTCGAGAAGGTGCTGGTCATAGCGAGCCGAGACATGAATGGTGACTTCGGAGGTAAATTGAATGTCCAAAATGAGAGCATGTTGGTGCAGAGACGGTCGGTTGTTGGCCGTGTGAATTGCGACTACGGTTCGTGGCAACGAAGTTGGGGGAGTCCGTGTTTCGGCCTCGTGCAGCTGCTTTTGGACGGTCCCGAGCAGCGTTCCGACGCTTGCTTGCGGCTGCCAGGCCACCTGGAGCGCCCGAGGCTTCGCTGTTGAGCCCCGGTGGACGCCAAACCGCACCTCGGTGGTCAGGGAGGAATATCGGCTCAGGAGCAGCGCCCAGGCACCCAGCAATGCGGCCGTGATCACGGAATCTGGGGCGCGCGGGAGATCGACCGGCTGGTCGAGACTGTGGCTGCTCGCCCACGGCCGGTATACCGAAGTGAGGAGCTCCGGGAACGTCTCCGGCACAAGCTGGTCCTTGGAGAGCGGTCCATTGTCGAGCGACGAGGTAGACGCATCTTCCAGGGTCTCGTCGTCGCTGACGGTGGCCGAGCTCGAGTCGGTGATGACGGGTTCGACGGTCGTCATGACGGCTTTTTCCTGGCGCTCCGGCAGCGACATGTCGATTACTGTAGCCATCTTGGGTATAGCAACAATATGGGGAGGGATGGGAGGTATCGCAATAGAATTCTATCCTAGCCGGGCGCCGTCAAAGACAACGTGCCTCTATTCAAGCCCTCTTGCTCGACATCCGAATCGTTCCCGTTCAGCATCACCAATGCCCCCCGTTGCTGTGTGCTCGTACGGAGAGTGGCACCACCGCTACGGCCAGTTGATAGTGGCTCCATCTCGTTCGTTCCTGACTCTTAGGCCCCCAAATGAGTGAGCAGTGGTTCCCCACCTGTAAGTTGGAGGTCGCGTTCTCGGGTCATTCTGAACTGGGTACTGGAGTGTGTGTCGTGTCCACCAAAGGTTCCAAAGGTTCCGAAGGTTGCCCGGCGGCCACAGGCAGCCAGCTGATGGGCCGGCTCGTCTCCATCGGCCCTAACTCGTCTTGTCCCACGTGGCTTGGAACTCACATCAGCCCTAGCCTATATAAAGCTTAGTTATAGTCTAGAGCGGTTAGCACTTGGTAAATTATCCGGTTTTCATCGTGTTTTGAAAATTTGGGAAAACTAGATCCCTGGACCTTGCGAAGGGATACGTGGAGCCATAGAGACCATGTGTGCAGTCCTTTCGACGTATCGCATCTGGATGGAAGCAATTAACACGTTAGGTGATAGCCTCATGAATCTGGGATGGAACAGAGTTCATCGTTATTTGAGAGGACAATAAAGGGTCCTTCGATTCGTAGGGTACGACGAATACTATATGAGCGAAGAACTACAGTTGATCTACTTGGGCGATATATATTTCCACATCCATCCGGCGTGGAACGTGTTTAGAACCTTACTGGCTCGTCAGCTTTCACCATAAGGCATTACTACTCTTTCTTCGTCCAACCAGAATTTGAGATAAGATAATAAATCATAAATAAATAAAAATCAAGAGTGTAGTGGTATCTCTTATCTATGGTAGTCACCGCTCCTCTATCGGTTCGAGAAAGCCGCACGCAAGATATTTGGTTTCGAGTTGTCTGACGCGGGACTAAAATCGTAAAGCGGTATTTAAAACGGGTTGAGAAGTAGATACGCCAACCTTTTGCTAAGCATTCTACCGGTCGACATCTGAAACGTGGGCGTGTCGGCGATGAATGGTAATATTGGTCATATGGTAATTGTATGGAAACGGGTAAGTTGGGGAAGTGGAGGTGTGGCCCGGGAGAAGGCTGAGCTTGGCTCCCGTAGTGGCTCCCGTAGTGGCTCCCGTACTGTACTGTACTGTACTCCGTAGTGGGGCCTCGAAAGTCCCGAGCTAGTCCCCCGTAGATTCGGGTTCGCGCCAAACCTTGTTGGTCTCATTAATCTCCTAGGGCTGTTGCTGCTGCCCCTCTCCAATCGGTAGCTCTCCTGCAGGGGGGTAATTCATTCCCCCCTAGTCCCCTCCCTGCTCTCTCTACTTCGGGTTAGTGTTGCGCACGCCGCCTTGATTGAGACTATTGATACTCTAGATTCCGCCCGGCAACAATAGTAGAGAGAACCGTTTGTCCACTCCGAGACGAGCTTTTGGCCCTGCGCTAATAGAGATAAGTGTTGGTGCACCCCATGAGACGAGATTTTGGCCCCGACGCAGCTTATGCACCGGCACTCCACTCCAACTGAAACCTGCGTTGTCATCAGGCGGGCCAAGATGCCCATCCTGTGCCAGGGCGACTGCCAAATGCCCGCCGCGGGTTCGATTACCGATGTATATATCCACAGGTGCCGAAGAGTTCTGACGCCACGAGGATGGCCTATGTCGAATTCCATTACTGCAGATCCTTTGCGCCATGTCTATGTCCTACGCTCCTGACCCCCTCTCTCCCTCCGCATCCCAGCAGACGCGACGAGATCGCATGGCGTCGGCCCTGCGCACTCTAATGACCAATGATGATATCGATCCGGATATCCTACGGGCAGGCACCCCGTGGATGACTGCCCTCGACACCGAAACCATTCAGACTTCTACATTGCTGGCCACATTCCAACCAGCTTCTGCGCAGGTCTCCGACCTCCCCTCGGACCTGAATGCGATGCCCATCGATCCTGCCCTGTGCAACGAGTCTACTTTTCCTGTGGAAGGCGGGACAAGCTCCGCCAACCTTCCGCAGAGCTGGCTAGGCGATGTCTATTCCCGCCCCAGCCCGTCCAACAACCTCCAAGCCGACCCAATGCCCTGCGATTTCACGTTAGGTGAGCACCGCGGACCCGAGACTGCAGTGTTTGCCTTATCCAGACTGATACTGACTGGTCCCCATTCCAGACTTTGCCTGGATCTCCAACGAGTGGGACGTCTTGCTGAACTCAGCGGAGATTGACCACGGTGGCAGCGCCGGCACCAGCAGCAGTATCAGTATCAGTAGCAGCAGCGTCGGGACTAGCAGCTTGACCGGCCCTATTGTACAAACTCCCCAAACGAGCCCTGCGGCTCTGCCATCGGTCAACGAGATCTCGATGCGAGCGCCCCCACAGCTCCCCTTCGCCGCTAATCGACGATCCTCGGAAAAGAACTCTCCACCACGGCCGTCAAAGCACCAGCGCGCACACTATATCATTGAGAAACGGTACCGGGCGGGGCTCCATGAGCGATTTGAGGCCTTACGGGACTGCGTGGAGAGCTGGAAGCACCAGCAGCAGCAAAAGGAACAGCAGCATCAACAGCAATCCGATTGTCCCCTCTCGCCAGGGGCGACTACGGATGGGACCAATGAAGGTGCGAATCGGGGCACCACACGACTCAACAAGTCGGAGGTGCTGTGCGAAGCAGTGACCTACATCAAGCTACTGCAGGAGGAGAACGAAGTTGTGATGGAACACATGAAGCTGCTGATTCGGCGATTTCGAGCGACCAAACAAGCCTTGCAGCAGGGCTAGCGGCTTACTTGTAAATAGTTGGCAGAACAAGATCAATAGTTGGCTGGTAGTCACAACAATACCCACATCGCCTCTTGGGGGCCGTTTTGAGTTAAATGCATTTATTCCGTCAAGCGGGGCCCCCGGTCCCACCACTGGCCACGTCGAAGATCTGGCCTAAGATACCATGCTCGGGCAGTGCCAGATCGTCGTGATTCATGTTGGGGACCTCGTGGATCTCTGCGTAGATAACGGAGTCGCTGCTTTCCCACATTTTGCGGAAGTACTGCACACCCCCTTTCCCCACGTACCCATCCTTCTCGCCAAAGTAGCCGGCCACGCGGAGCGAGCTAAATCGCGCATCTTCGGCGACTTTCCGCGCCAGCTCTCCTACGAATTCCTCGTAGTCATCACAGACCCCCCACGACACCTGGGATCCACTCGTCCTCAGCCCTAGCTTGGCCTCTTCAGCGACTCCGCTAGTATCTTCCTCAAAGAACATCTTGACAAAGTAGTCCCGCGTGGGCTGTTTGGTGGCCGGTGTCAGCCCGCATGTCTCAAGTAGCGTCGCCTCGTCGGTGTCTAAGTCATTGCCTGCCGCGTTCTCCCCCTTTGCGTTCTTCTTCGACTTGGCCTTCTCCTTCAATGTAGGCGCCGACGAGGGCATGAGCCGGTTCACGAGAAAGGAGGTCATCTTGTTCCAGCCGCTGACCAGGCCCGCGGGCATCGCGCTGACAATGGTGAGCATTTTGGCACCCGATTTGGACGGGTGGACCCAGGGCGAGATGAGATGAACCGTCGGGGCCGGCGCTGCCAGGGTATGCGGGAGATGGTATAGCGTGTTAAACAGATAGATGGCCCCGCTGCTGTGCGCAACTAGTGTCACGGTCTCCACCTCGAGGTGCTGGAGCAGGACTGGAACCATCTCCAACCAAACGGGGATGCGCTGCCTTAGTGCGACTGGAGTCGAACCCCCTAGCCCCGGCCGATCGGGAATAACGACACGAACGCGCTTCTGCTGGCAAAGATGATCGATCCAAAGCGCATTCCAGCGTCCGCCGTAAAGTCCGCCTGCGAAAAGGATAGTCGGGGTTCCGGGCTCTTGACAGCCCGCAGTCGCGAACGTGACGCGGATTGATTTCTGCACGGTCTCGCTGTGGAAGCAGAGGCTATTGTGGAAGCGCTTCGCGCCGACAAAGGCACAGACGTCCTCTGCTGCAGTTTCCGTATGCGACATGGCGCGGTGAGAGGGCGAAGGATTCGATCAGCCACTAGAAGCGCTTGGGAAACGGAGAGGAATAAGCAGTGGCAATTGAGAGACTGTAATGGGGGCCAGATTCATCTTTCAAGTTTCTTGAGTAATCATACCTGCTAGAAGAAGACATGCTTTCCGTTTTTGGGAGGGTCGTACCACGCACAACGTGCCACCGACAGGCAGATCTACAGGCCCAGCCAGTGGGTCATGTTTCTGATGGTGGAGCTGGAGCTTGGTAATGGCTGTACACTGTTTACCGGATCTTCGAAATAGCTACAGAAATCCAGCCCCGAGCAGAGCATAGAGCCAGTCACCATGCATCCCGATATTGAGCGAGAACTCACATATTTGCTGCTCATCGAGCTGCTGGCGTAGGTGCCCCTTGAGATTATGCTCTGTATTGCCTCTGCTAAGCAATTACCCGTAGATACCAGTTCGCGTCGCCAGTAAAATGGATCCAGACGCAGGACGTCCTTCTCAAGGACCTCAAGATCCAGAACCTCCTCGAGGTGGGCCCGGTCAGCACACTGGTCAACATGCTGAGTCGCACTCTGCAGAATGAGGACTACGTGATCCACGACAGTGCGCTGGGCGTACGGCGAAAGCTGCTCAGCTACCGCGACCATGCAGCCGATATCCATCGCGGATTTACCTCGACAACAGATCTCAAGGCTGAGACCGTAGAGGCACCACGGGCTCCTCCGCCACCCATGGCGCCTCCGGTGCCTTCTCTTCCTCTTCCTCCTCCTGCCATAGCCGTGGAGGCTCCCATTCAACCGAGCATCCCAGATGCTTCCCCTTCTGCCCAAGAAATTGCCCTCGCAATCATCTCTCAAAAGCTTGAACGTGCGCTGGGAGCCGATGAGCTGCGCAAATCTGTCAAGCAGCTCTGCGGCGGCCGGTCGACGATGCAGAATGAGATTATTGGTGATTTGGAGGGTGAATTTGGAAGCCTGCCCGAAGACGCGGAAGGCGTTGAGGTTCAAACCCTCTGCAACAGGCTGCAGGCTTCGCCGGCGTTCTCGGGACGGCTGCGCCGTACGGCGACGGCCATGATTTCCAAAATGGTCTCGCTCAAGATGCCTGCAAGCTTCCGAACGGCACAAATGCGCACGTATCTGGAGCGCCGCTGGGGCTTTGGTCCAGGGCGCCAGGACACCATCCTCCTTTTAGCAAGCAGTCATCTGCCGGCGCAGCGATTAGCCACGCCGGCTGAAGCCGAGACGTTTTTGGATGACATTGTGCAGCCATATCTTAAAGAGAAGGGATTAACTGCTTCTACTGGGGCCTGTGATCGTGATCCACCTCCTGAGGTTGCTGGGCCCCCGAGTACTCAGGCACTCCCGCAGCAGGAGCCAGAGCCTCAGCACCTGTCAGTGAAGGAACTCTATCCAGGCACTGACGCCGACCTCGAACGCGACAAGCGCATTGAGACCCTGCAGGGAGAGATCGACTCGCTTGTGGCCGAGCTGGGTGACGAGCTGATCGCCGGCGTGCAACCGCAGTGGTCGGCATCCCACGTCCGCCACTACGACTCATACTGGAATTGGAGTATCCAGGATCTCTATCACACCATGGGCGAGATCCTCCGGGGTAGCGTTGGGGTCGGTGACCCATGGACGCGCCAGCAGGGACGACTCATTGCCAATCGTGCCTGTCCCCGGCTGCTCAGCGTCGCAGAGTACCTGCATCGCCAGGTTCTCGACGGAGCAATCGAGGGCAACGTCGATGCGGCAGCGGCGTTTCTGAAAACGGTGATCGCTTCCAGCGCTGACTGGCAGTGCCCTCCAACAATTCAGCCCTTTGCGCTCCATGTGTGTGAGCGGCTAACCGCACCTCGCACCATTATCAACTCTAACGGGGATCTTGAATATAACGAGGTCCTTCGCGCGGCGGCGGACAGCGGATATCACCACGTCTCGCTCAGCGTGAAGAATGGGCAGGGCTGGGTTGTTGACGAGCATCTCACCACGACCTTTGCACAGGAGCTTAAGGAAGCAAGCAATAGCAATGCTAAAGCGCCTGGCTTTGCTTCCAAAGTCGTCCTCCTCATCGGGGCCAGCCGTGCCTCGATTGGGTCAGAGATCCTGCGTGGCCTCCTGGTCGGCGGCGCCCATGTCATCGTCACGACCAGCCGCTTCACCCCGGAGACAATTTCCTTCTTCCGTGACATTTATGTTTCGCACGGAGCGCGCGGGGCCCAGCTGCATCTCGTCTCATTTAACCAGGCCAGCCAGCAGGATGTACATGCTCTTGTGGACTGGGTCTATGACAAGCTCGGGCTGGATCTCGATCACATCGTCCCCTTCGCCGCCATGTCGGTATCGGGCCGTGAGGTCGACGGGATTGACGCGCGTGCGGAACTAGCGCATCGCATGATGCTGGTTAACGTGATTCGGCTCATTGGCCAGGTCGCGGAGCAGAAGCGGAAGCGCGGGTTCAGCACGAACATCACCCAGGTTCTCCTGCCTTTGTCACCGAACCACGGCGTCTTTGGCGGTGATGGTCTATACGCAGAGTCAAAGGTTGGGCTGGAGCCGCTACTCGCCAAGTGGGCGTCGGAAAGCTGGGGCGCGTATCTCTCTGTGTGCGGGGCGTCGATTGGATGGACACGGGGCACGGGGTTGATGAAAGCAAACGACCTCGTCGCGCAGGGGATAGAGGAGAGAATGGGAATTCGGACATTTGGAGTAGAGGAGATGGCGCTACAGCTGCTGTTGCTCATGGCCGCACCCGTTGCAGAGCGGTGCGAGACTGCGGTAGTGTATGCAGATCTCACGGGGGGACTGGGTCAGCGACCCAATCTCAAGGATGAACTGGTGGCACTGAGGGAGGAGATGCAGCAGGCGAGTGCCGTGCGGAAGGCTGTTTTGGAGGATCAAAGGCTAGATGATGAAGCGGAGAATACCGTAGCAGCTGATGACCGAGGTGCTGCGCCGGCGCCTCTCGCCAACCTGCAGCTGCAGTTCCCCGAGCTCCCAGACTACGAGACGGAGATCCGTCCACTGGCGGCCAATCTGCACGGGATGGTTGATCTCGACCGTATCGTGGTGGTTGCTGGTATTGCAGAACTGGGACCATCTGGCAGTGCGCGGACACGGTGGGAGATGGAGGCAGAAGGCCGATTCAGTCTGGAAGGCTGCATTGAAATGGCGTGGCTGATGGGAATGATCCAGCACACTGCAGGCGAGGTCGATGGAAAATACTACAATGGGTGGGCAGACGCAACGACTGGCGAACCCGTGGCTGACATCGAGGTCAAGAGTCGCTACGAGCAGCGCATCCTGGCGCACTCGGGAATTCGTCTCGTCGAGCCAGAGCTGGATATTGGCTGGGGGTCTGACCCCACACGCCGCCAGCTGCTGCAGGAGGTAAACTTGACGGAGGATCTGCCTCTCATTGCGACGTCCAAAGAGCTCGCACAGCATTTCCAGGCCGAGCACGGTGATCACGTTGACATCTTCTACCCCGTCGGCGCCAAGGATGGTGCAGACGAGGAGGAGGATGTGCGCATCCGTCTCAAGAAAGGGGCCACGATCCTGGTTCCCAAGGGGTTGCGAGTTGCCCATGCCGTCGCTGGGCAGATACCAACGGGCTGGAATCCAAAGACGTACGGCTTGTCAGATGAGATCATCTCGCTAGTCGATCGAGTCGCGCTGTTCACGCTTGTCTGTGTGGCAGAAGCCCTATTCTCCAGCGGCCTGACGGACGCATACGAGCTCTACCGCTACATCCATGTTTCGGAGTTGGGCAACTGCATCGGGTCCGGCTTGGGAGGTATCAATGCCTTGAAACGCGTCTTCCGCACGCGTCACCATGACCTCCCCGTCGCCTCGGACGTGCTCCAGGAGACCTTCATCAACACGGCTCCCGCCTGGGTCAATATGCTGCTGATCTCGGGGTCGGGACCTCTGCGCACCCCTGTCGGTGCCTGTGCAACGGCACTCGAGTCACTTGAGTCTGGCTACGAGCTGATCTCCACTGGTAAAGCCAAGGCATGTCTAGTGGGAGGCGTTGACGACCTAGACCACGATATCGCGGTGGAGTTTGCGAACATGGGTGCGACCTCGAATCCGGCCAAGGAACGGGCGCAGGCTCGCAAACCTGCAGAAGCATCACGCCCCGCCAGCGCAACTCGTGCAGGCTTTGTCGAAGCACATGGAGCAGGTGTCCAGCTCCTCACCACTGCTCGGCTTGCCCTTGACATGGGCCTGCCGGTGCACGGCGTCATTGCGTGGGCAAGTACAGCCAGCGACAAGGCCGGCCGTTCCGTTCCTGCGCCAGGGCAGGGTCTCCTCACCAACGCGCGTGAGACCAGTGACAGTCCATTTCGAACGCCACTACTCAACATCTCCTACCGACGGCGCCGCCTCGAGCAGCGCCTGCGCCAGATCCGCGACTGGGAAGACTCCGAAAAAGAGGCCGAGCAGCAAGACGAAGCCACGGACGACACCGTGACACGACGACTCCTGGCCGATGAACGACGCCACTGGATCGCCAGCGAGGGCACACGGCAGCGCAAGGACGCTCTTGCCACCTTCGGCCACCAGTTCTGGCACGGCGAGCCGCGCATTTCTCCCATCCGGGGATCACTCGCTGTATGGGGACTGACAATCAACGACCTAGATTTTGCGTCCTTCCACGGCACCTCGACTGTGCGCAACGACTTGAACGAGACGGACGTAATCCAGAAGCAGCTGGCCCACCTGGGTCGCGAGGACGGACACCTGCTCTACTGCATTTTTCAGAAATACCTCACTGGCCACTCCAAGGGAGCGTCGGCCGCCTGGATGCTAAACGGCTGTCTGCAAACCCTTACCTCGGGTGTGATTCCAGGCCAGCGCAACGCGGATAACATTGACGAGCGACTGCGGGAACGTCAATCCTTGTTTTATCCCAGTCGAACGCTGTACAAGCGCGGCCTAAAGGCATTCTCAATTACCTCGTTTGGGTTCGGGCAGAAGGGAGCCCAGGCTATTGGATTGCATCCGCGATATATGTTTGCGGTGGCAACTGAAGGGGAGTACCATGATTATTGTGTCCGGGTTCGAGAGAGACAGCAGAGAGCTTCGCAGGCGTGGGCAAAGGCTGTCGCGATGCAGACCGTCTGTGATGTGAAGGATCTGCCGCCGTGGGGAGAAGGGAACGAATCGGCGGTTATGTTGGATCCCCTCGCCAGATTTTGATTGCATCTTAGGTACTTTAATTCTGCGTAATATTAGGGGTGACATAATGACACCAAAGCTCAGTTCATGGCCCGCCGAGCGGAGTTCTACTTAGGAAACGCCCCCTTTAATACGAAATGCTACATTCGAGATTTACATAATACCTGCCAAGCCCTTGTGCATGCATAGTGCTTCACAGCAGCGCGTAACGCCTGTACCACGTGATCTCTATATACCCTAGAACACCATACTGAACACGATTGTTCAGATTACAATATATCGATAACGAGAACATCGGATCACTGGATCTGTTGCATACTATAAAATCAATGGCTTTTAAGCCAGTTTAGACGAACTAATATATTCAGGAAAATGTGTCTGCTTACGGGTGCTAAAATGAGCCTTTGATCGAGGATGTAGATATATATTTTGGAACTTCTGTGCCTATAAATACTTCTCGAGCCAATGGAATTACCTAGTCTGATATTTGTAACACCAGGATAATTAAGGACCTCATAATTAGCAATGGGTGTCAAACTACGAAGTCGTGAAATACTGCATTTCACATGTTGTTTTAGGGTGGCCCCCTCAACTAAGTGGCCCGGCTTTGGATAGCAGAACGTTACTAGAACTAGCCTTGTCGCGCCACCAGCTTTCTGTCTTGCCATTCATGTCACCTCATACAATATTTACTTTGTCCACCTATCTGATTCTGGAATTTGTCTCTAGCGTGCACCAACTTCTAGCACTTCATGTACCGCCACGCCATAATGATCAACTAACATATTGTGATACCTTGAACTGATGCTTGAGATAAACGACAAGGAGTGGAGATAAATCATTGCCATATGGATTCCCGGAAATAGTCACCGATGTATTGACAGGTTCGGTAGCAGACATCAAGGGCAGCTGCTTCACAAATAATTCCAGGTAGTGAGGCCTAAATGTACTGATGGATTCGAGTATATGTCTCTACAATGTCGCCCGTACGATCAAATAAGTATTTACCAAAATGATTCGGTTCTAGAAAGACCTATATTGGTATGAGAACCTCTATCTATTCGGCGCAGCGAACATCCGCTCCACCAGGCTGGTCACTTAGACGGGACACCGTCTTACCCATCGTCCCGGTCGCCTGTGTGGTCGCCCTGATCGCAGCCAAAAATGAATCCTCTACACCGTGCGTCTTGAGAATGTGCAGACCAGCCTCCGTGGAGCCTCCTCGAGTGGCGACCTTGTCAATGATCGCATCAGGGGACTCGCCCGCAAGTACCAGGGCAGCTGTACCCAGCATTGCTCGGGCACAGAGCCTTATTGCATCCGCCGAGGACATTTCCGACAAACTACCTGCGACAGCCCTGAGAATGATCGCGTGGAAGGCCAGTGATGAAGCACCAAGGGCCGAAGCCGCGAACATCTGCTCCTCCGCAACCCACTCCGTATGACCTATGAGATCAAAAACGCGTTGGACTGCTTCGCGGCCGTCTTCTGTCCAACTAGAAAGGACCGTTGCAGATTGCCGTACGGACGCGGCGATGTTAGGAATCGCACGCACGATAAATGCCCTATGTTCTTGACCACCGCGTACTGATCGGTACATGCGGGCAAGGTCGACCAGCGTCACTCCACCAGCGAGATTGACGAGGATAGTTCGCTTCTCATTCTGCTCGATGGCTCGCACCACCTTCGGAGTCAGGATCTCCGAGAGAGCATTGGGTTTGCATCCTAGTATCACCACGACTGCATCCTGCACAGCAAGAGAGTTCTCATCACCCGTGTGGATTTCTACTCGGAGAGAGTCTTGCGTCGTCGCAAAACCGTTGATGGATTTTTGTATGCGTTTTGCTCCTGCGGAGGTTTTGGCCGTGACGACAACGTGACCGAGATTGTGGGAGTTCTTCGAATACGACTTCGCTAGCCCTTGTAGTATTGCAATCCCGAGCTTGCCTAAACCCCGTGTTAGTCACTCCCTAATTCCCGATCCACCAGCGCCTTTGTCGCTTACCGCAGCCAAGAATCGCTATTTTCCCACCATTGTCAGTGTGCTCCGCCATCGTGTATTCCTGCTCTAGAATTATTCAGAAACGGAGAAGGCTGCTGCTCTCGCTGCACTCTGTTCCTTAGCCGCTCCCGGTGTGGTTGGCACCATCACCAGTGGCACCACCATGCCCCATCCGCCGGAAACACCCACCATCCTAGGGAGCATGGGGCCAAAGGATGCGTTGTATTAGAACCCCTCTCTTGCCTTTATCCCTTATCAATCAGTCGTACTCTTGTTCTGCCAACCAATTGTAGCCGCAATGCCGTCCGCAATACGCCCTATTTCTATCCCCACCATCGATTTCGGCAAGTTCACCCAAGGGTCAGCGAACGAGAAGGCAGAATGCTGCGATTTACTTCGAGACTCCTTGTCAACACATGGCTTTGCCAGGATCATCAATTCAGGAATTCCTGACGAGGATATTGATCGATGCTTCCAGTTCGTGGGTAGTTCTTGCGCCGAATCACGCCTATTTTCCTGCTAACGGACATCTCCAAGGCCGACGAGTTCTTCCAAATGCCATCAGAGGCTAAACAGAGCGTTGCGAACATGGCTGGTCCAACGCCCCAGCGGGGCTGGAGCCACTTGGGGGCTGAAAACTCGTCTTCATTGTACAGCAGTCTAGTGAAGACTCAAGTAAATAAACAGCGATCAGATTCGCGAGTGAGTATATCGACTCCAATGCTGCCTGTCCCCTTGACAAACATCACCGTGCTAATCGAAGTTTTGGGTACCGCAGGAGCACTGGGATCAAGGCCACGAAGAAGACAAGTATTTCCCCAATAAATGGCCCTCCGAAAGCGACATCACCGGATTCCGCCCCTTCATGCAGTCGTTCTACAAAAGCTGCGAACGCATCAGCTTCCAGCTACTCGAAGCCCTCGAACTAGCCATGGAAGTTCCCCCCGCGACATTCCAGAGTCGCATCCACAACGCCAGCGAATTGCGCATGAACCACTACCCACCCATCAACGTCGAGTCGCTCCGCGAAGGCAGCATCAGCCGGATCTGGCCGCACTTTGATCTCGGCGTGCTGACTATGCTCTGGACAGCGGGCGCCTCGGGGCTGGAATTCCAGAACCGGCTCGACGCGGACGGCAAGTCGTTCATTCCCGTCGTTCCAGTCTCGCAGTACGAGATGATTCTTAATATCTCGGAGACGCTGCAGCGGTGGACGAACGATGTGCTCCCGGCGGGGCTGCACCAGGTGACGACGCCGCCGAATCTCAAGGGGGCCAATGAGGGCGTTATTCCGGAGAGATTCTCTATTGCGTACTTTTGCAAGGCGAACCGGGAGACCTCCGTTGGGACGCTACCCCCGTTTGTGCACCCGGTCAAGGGCGCAAAGTACGAGGATATCACGGCGCTAGAGTATCATCAGTCGCGATTGAAGACGGCGTACTAGGACTGATAGTCGGCAAGAGAGGTGATATTACATTTCATACAGATAGATAGTTGGTAAACCGAGTCGAGCTTGGTTCTCAGCACACTTTAAAATACATAAAACCATCAAAATAGTAATTCCCCCCACGAGTTAACTCAGAACCTTCCCAGCCACAGATTCCCGAGCTCGAGAACTGAGGCATTAGACATTCTAAACTGCGGATTAAATAGCCTTTTCTTTTCCAAAGTGATGGAATAAAGTCTAGTAAAACGTCATATTGATCACTATATGATGTCGCGATTGTCCCCAGAGTGGCATTTTAAAACGTGTTCATATCTAAATCAAAACCTCTCTCACAGGAACACTCCAGCCCTCGGGTCCCTCCGCTCGACCTCGGAGAATGTCATCAATTGCGTTCCGGAGGGCCTCACAACAGGGACCACCTTGCGAACTCTCGTTGTTGAAAGTGATCTTCTCGTCTTTCGACGTGTATGTAATGGACTTGATGGGCAGCAACAGTGTCGCAGTTCCCACCGCCATGACCTCGTCGAAGAACCGGACTTCGTCAAATTTGACCTGAAGGCACGATTAGTACAATCACATTACTCGGTTTGATTGTTAGTAGTATGAATTTACTGACAGCTCGTTTCTCAACCTTCCAGCCAAACCGCTCGGCCATTTGCACACAACTATCTGCGGTGACACTAGGAAGCACATTCCGACTCTGGGGCACAATCAGCGTATGCTGTTTCTCCCCATGCTTGACGCCGAGGAAGCCCGAAGTCGAAAACTCGTCAATCTCCGTGTGCGTCAGACTATCTAGATGCAGAAGCAAGGGGAAGCCATCGCGATACGCGCGGTCCGTGTACTTCATGGCAGGGGCATAGTTGCCGCCGACCTTGGCACTTCCAACGCCGAGCGGAGCGGTGCGGTCAAAATCCTCGCAGACGAGGGCATTCTGCGCGGTCACTCCGTGGTAAGCCGAGCCGGGGAGGGTGAAGACCGCAAAGGTGAACTCGCTGGGCGAGGTAAGGGCGAGTTGCGGACCCGAGCCGAACGCGAGTGGGCGGATGTATAACAGGGCATTGCTGTCGTGCGGCGGGACGTAGGCGGAATTGGCCGCGACGACGAGATTGACGCAGGCGAGGAAGTGGTCTTCGGGGATGTTGGGTATGGAGACGGTACTGGTCGAATGCAGCATGCGGTGGGCGTGCCGATCGGGGCGAAAGAGGAGGATCCGATTATCTTCGGTGCGGCAGGCTAAATAGGCAATTTTATTAGATATCATTGGTCTGACTCTTGACTGGGGATAGAGTGCTCTTTACCTTTCAGTCCTTCGTAGCATTGCTGTCCGTAGTTCAACGCTGGCGACAGGCCGTGGACCTTGAGATACGGCGACGCTACCACTTCCGGGGCAGACCACTGGCCGGTCTCTACACTATAGTGCGACTCGACATGAGACGTTTGATCGAGACCTTTGAGACTGAGTTTGGTCCAGTCTGCCCGATGGGGTTGTTAGTTGTGCGCGGACGCTTTTGGTTGGGTGTTAGCACACGCACCGATTTCCGTGGAGGGGGCCTTGGGGAACATGATGCCTCTGTGTTTTGAGTCTAGTAATGTCATGAGTGGATACGAGCGGTATATTGAGCTTTTCTAGTACGTTTATTTCCTCCGAATTGGCGTGCATGTTAACTGCATATTTGCGGAGCAACTCAGGGCCAAGTGGCACGACGGTCGGTGGGCACACCATACATACTATAGCCCGTCTCGGACGCCCGTATCGGTATAGATCAGATCTGGAGCACGGAAACTAGGGTGAGATGTACAAAGTGCACGGGTACAGTCCGTGAGTCCATAGCAACCGATGAGTCTAGCGGGGTGAAGGATATAAAAACTAAGCACTAGCACTAGGGCCCATATGTACTCGACGACCGTGTGGTGATGCCACCCCCGCCCATAACTGATCTCTGCTCCAGCGTCACCCACTTTCTGACTATACGCAGTCACCCGACTCAAGATGCCCTCGTGTGGTAGGTTTCATCTCTTCAAACGCTTTGCTTCGCTTTCGTGCTTCCTTGACGTTTATCATTGACCTTACGTCCTTCAGATCCGTCGGTGTTCGACAACCCGAATGTCTACTGGTCGTACTGTCCTTCCAAGCCCGCTGCCATTCTTTTCGCAATCCTCTACGGTCTCGCAACATGTGTCCATATCACCCAGACCGTCCAATACCGCATGCGCAATGCTGTCATTATCAGCATGGGCGCTGGGCTAGAAACTCTGGCATTCATCCTCCGACTAGTCGTGATTTACAAAATGGATTTATCCGCGGTCTACGAGGCACAGTTTATACTGATTCTGATTGCCCCTATGTGGATGAATGCGTTCGACTTTCTCCTGCTTGGAAAGCTCGTCAACTACTGCCTGCCTGATAAGCAGATATGTGGATTCCCCGCTCGGCGCGTTGGGATTACTTTTGTAGGCTTAGATATCGGGTGAGAACAGTCAAATCCGTGTGATGGCGATCATTTCCACGTTTTGGCTTGGCTGACAAGTTGCCTAGTATGTTCATTCTGCAGCTGGCGGGCGCTGCAATCACCACATCGGACGACAACGCTACAGTCAATACCGGCCTCCATATATACACAGCTGGGGTTGTTCTCCAGCAGTTCTTCATTTTCTGTTTCTTTGGTCTGTCCATCGTCTTCAAAAGCCGCCTGGCTCGCGAGTGCGATAGCGAGAAGCAAAAACGCGTACGGCCACTGCTTTACACGATATACCTCTCTCTGGCCTTAATTTCGGTATTACTACCCCGAAATGTCTTCACACAAAGGGCCTTCACTAACTGGCCCTTTTTGTTTTCCTTTTCGCAATAGTTCCGTGTCATTTTCCGCATCATTGAATTCGCAGGCGATAACACGAGCAAGCTCAGCAGGACGATCGACGGGCATGAGGTTTACGTGTACGTTTTCGACTCAATGCCCATGTTTCTCGCACTCATTATATTCAACCTGGTTCATCCGGGCAAAATCCTGGTTGGCCCAGATGCGGAGTGGCCGAAAGTGAGCAAAGAGGAGAAGGCGGCGAAGAAGAGGGCAAAGAAGGAAGCCAAGTTGGCAGCGAGCAACAGGGACACCGAGCTACTCGGATCAACATCAAGTGATGCTTAGTGTATAATCTTTTCTACAGAGCGAAAGGAAAGAGCTCCGAATGTTTGCCCAAACGGGTTGAATGTCAACCGTGGTGCAGCAATATGTGGTATCACCGAACGGATGAAACAGGCTCAGAAAAGCCCCCCAAAAAAGACGCTCAATTCGCGTGCAATCTTTTCTTGTCCGAGTGGCCTATAGTCCCCAGCATGCAAAATAAAGGAGAATCATGCATTTAGGTTAATGGATAACCGGCCAGTCTCAAAAGTAGTCATTTCCGTTCTTCCGACTACATGTCCTCGTCGCCGAAAATTTGACAATTAATTGGGCGGGCTTCCATGATGCTATTATAAGACGGAATGCGGCGTTGGGTAGGAATAATATTCTCCTCTACTCTGACAGTAAGCTTTCTGGGCGCGTGGATTCTAAATCGCGAGACAACAGTTTTCTTTTTTTTTTTTTTCTATATATTGTTTATACTGTATTTCCTCCGTATGGGTAATGCCAAGACATTAAATATGGATTGCCTGCCAACTTAATCGGGGTCATCTCGTCACCACTTGTATTGTATGGTAACTTTCGGTAAAGGAGCCACTGGCCGAGTATTTGCTCTCAAAAGAACAAAGAATCAACCCGGTAGAAGTGAGCAGATACCTACCGCTTGCTTTTTGGATTCAGCGACAACGACAATACGCACGGAGGCGTATGCGGGGGTGGCACCACCCGTGGTGGACACACTCTGTTTGGTGCTCTGAAACGCATATGCCTAAAAACGAGGTAAACAAGGTAAACCTGGTTAGCAGCTGGGGGCCGGATTCGGGCACAAGACGATGGAGGGGCAGCGACTCCGCAGCTTCTCACCATCATGTCTCTCTCGCCCGGAAACGAGGATGCTCCCTCTGACCTTTCTTTTACGACCTTCAACCCGACGGGCAGCACTACCGTTGTCCTGATCCACGGGGCGCTGGTCTCCGGCCTCTACTGGGACCTGGTCTGCTCCCATCTTTCCAGCTCGTACCATCTCCTGGTCCCCGATCTCCCCGGCCATGGCAGGTCCCGCGCGATTACCCCGTTCACGGTGGATGATTCGGCGCGTCTGATTGCGAACCTGATCCGCGCCCACGCCGTCAACGGCGTCGCCCATATCATCGGCCATAGCCTCGGGGCCCAGGTCGCCATCCGCCTCGCCGTCACGGAACCCGACCTGGTCAGCTCTGTCTTTGTCTCGGGCTTTGAGATCTTTCCCCGCACGGCACTCACCCCGTACATACCGTACGCGGCATGGACCGTACCCCGACTGGAAAATGGCCTCCCCCGATCCTGGATCCGCTGGGCAATGGATGGGGCGGACATACCTCGCATTGACCCTGAAACGTGCACCCTCGACTTGTGCCGACAGATCGTCTCCCCCGAGCGTCCGACACAGTGGCCGGCGCCATGGCCCGCACGCACCCTCATTATAGCCGCAGGAAAAGGCGGGTTCATCCCCACGAGTGATCACCCGCATGATGCTGCCCACCTGATGCAGATCGGGCGAGAGCTAAACCCGGATACGATTGCCTATACGCATCCTCAAATGCGGCATCCGTGGAATCGGCAGGCACCGCAGCTTTTTGCACAGACGGCCGAGGCTTGGTTTGAGGGGAGAGAGCTGCCAGAGGGGTTTATCAAGCTATAAGCAACTTGTACTTATACTGCTACTACCCCTAGACATAATTAGACCTGATTTGGTAGTGACTATTTGACGTTCAGCCAGTTGAGCTTGCAGAATTGTTGATGGCTTGACCAATAAGGGTTTCAAAAGAAGACTCTCAATGGAACCTGGCTGAAAGAGATCCCTCGTTGAGACCTGGAAATCCCTACACCTCCATTTATAGAGGCCACGGCCCAGCTCCATCCCCTCGTCTCCACAAATTGGCTAGTGCGTGTGGCCAGCCAGCAGTGGCACCACCATGAACCGCCCAACCAAATGTCACATAACTGGTTATCTAACATAAGATATTGTCAAATTCCACCGAACAACTACGACGTAGAATCTCATATCGCACATTGACCGAGTCTAGACCTGTCTATGAGCTTGCTGCGATGGGGCTAGGTGCTGGGTATTATCCGAGAGACGTTGCCGACTCGGTGCCATCCTTCCACGGTTACAACGCCGTAGTTGGTAATCTGCAGCTCCTATTCGGAAACGTCGCTTTGACAATAGCCCTATCCAGTTTCGGAATCTTCGGCCTTTCGATCTGGTCAATCACCAAATTATGGACTCGGCCGGAGAAGAAGATTACAGTTCTCGGCGGACCCTTAGCGATTACAAAATTGGTAACCTCTCTTTCTTGTACTATATGTTGCTTTGCCATACTAGCCATTGACCTCTGCATAGGTCCTCTATACACTGCTCGTCATTTTCTATTTAGCATTCCTCATCACCACCACCCAGCTCGATATCGGTAGCGCCTCCACTCGACGTTATTCGATCTCCGCCGCGGCGGTGCAACTGTGTTGTTCAGTATCGCTGGGCCTCAGCGCGCTAGTGAGCCATGTATGGGGGATCCGATCATCGTCCTTTGCGCAGTTATTTCTCGTCGCTTGGACCACCACAGACATTGCCCGGATCGTCCTTCTGACAGAGGAGCCGCTGAACGCAGACGGTCATGCATCCTATCTCGGCCTTGCATCCGCGATCATAGCGGTCAAGATAGTCTTGCTCACTGTCGAGGAACTGAGCAGGAGGTCGCTACTAAAAGATCCCTACAGTAAATACCCAACCGAGGCGTTGAGTGGAATCATCAATCGCGCCTTCATGTTCTGGCTTAACCCGCTGATGTGGCGTGGCGTTGCCGGAGAGCCGCTATCGCTGTCCGAGATGGTCGACTGCGAACATGAATTCAAGAGCGAGGGACTTTCGGCGACGCTGAATATAATCTGGGAGAAACATGTTACCCCGAAAAGCAAGCACAACCTCTTCCTGACCCTGGCGTGGCAGTTCCGATGGCTATTTATTGTTCCGACCCCAACACGATTTGCGCAGGCCGCTTTCCAATTCCTACAGCCGTTTTTGATTGAGCGGACATTGGCCTGGTATCAGAACCAAGGGGATGGCAATGAACCCCGGAGCGTGGGAGGGGGCCTCATCCTTGCGTATGGCCTGGTATACCTCGGAGTGGCAGTGGGTTCTCTCCTTAACCCCTCCCTATGGACCACACTCCGTGAGCCATGGATGTTTGTCTAACTGAAAATTATCTAGATCTCCACGGCGTACAGTCAGTATCAGATAGTGCGCTTCATCACTGCTATTCGAGGCAGCCTTGTCTCGCTCATCTTTCGGAAATCGCTAGAGCTTCCCAAGTCCGACATGGCACCACTCACTCTGATGAGTACCGACGTAGAGCGCATCGTGCAAGGAATGCAGTATGTGCACGAGGTATTCGTCAGCTTCTTCACCTTGGGTGTGGCGCTGTGGCTGCTTGAGCGGCAGCTAGGGGTTGGTGCCATTGCGCCGATTGTGGTCACGGTTGGTAAGTCCCACCCATCGGTGAACCAGGAAATGGAACAATGAGTATTCTTACACACGACCAGGTAGCATGCTAGTAATCGGAGCCTTTGGCAAAAAGATTGGCAGTGCGCAGAAGCGCTGGGTTGAATCAGTCGAGAAGCGTGTCGGGGTCACAACCCAGATCCTGACATCAATGAAGAGTATCAAGATGTCTGGACTTGCCAGATACTCGGGAGCACTTATGCAATCTCTTCGAGAGGCTGAATTGGTGATTTCCCTAAGCATGCGACGCTTTTTGACCGTTGGAATAGGTCTTTGTATGTCGCTCTGCTATCTTTTTCTTCCGGGGGGATGAATCTGACTGTTTCCAATCATATCAGCGTTCGCAACACCTGCCTTGGCTCCCGTCGTGGGGTACGCAGTGTACATCGCAGTGGCGTCGCACCATGGAGACACACTTCTGGCTTCAAAGGCGTTCCAGGCGCTTGCGATATTCACCCTCCTGAGCAACCCACTTGGAATTCTCATCCAGACATTACCAGATGTGATTGGAATGCTTGCCTGCTTTGATCGTATTGGAAAGTTTCTTCAGAGCGAGGCCCGAAGCGACAATAGACGCTTGATCGACTCGCCCTCGATGTCGACGGAAAAGATGCCATTCGGTGACAGTAGGGCCGAGTAAGTGCATCGTCCCCAGCTCGTTCCGCAGACCACATGATATACTGACTCGTGATCGTCGTGGTAGCAGTGACGGGCGCTCTTCGTTGACACTGGGCAGTGAATTAATCACGATCGTAGAGGGCAAATTCTGGCGCGAGGCAGAGAGCGAACCCGTATTACAAGACATCAACCTGCACATCAAGAGCGGAACTCTGACTCTGGTTGAAGGCCCCTCTGGTTCGGGAAAAACAACCCTTCTAGAGGCCCTTCTCAGGGAATTACCACCTCCCTCGAGCCCCATTCAGGTTGCTTCTGGGTTTGATATTCAGAACGGTATTGCGTACTGCTCGCAACAACCGTGGCTGCGTAATGACACGGTGCGAGGCAATATTGTGGGCAACATGCCGTACAACGAAGCATGGTATAGGTCGGTCCTCTATGCATGCGCGCTGGACGGGGTCATCCACAAACTAAACCCGGGGCTCGTTGGAAATGGAGGCACAACGCTCAGCGGTGGCCAGAAGCAGCGCATTGTGAGTCCGGACCAAGTCCGAGTCGCGTATCATCCTGCTAATGTTGTTCTCGTTGTTGTTGCAGGCGTTGGCCCGTGGGGTCTACTCCCGACGGCCACTACTTCTTCTGGATGACTCCCTCGCTGGACTAGACCATCTCTCCGAACAGCATATCGTTGATCGACTACTGGGGCCCATGGGTTTACTGAGACAATTGGGGACAACTGTCGTCTTCGCCTCACAAACAGGTATCTAGTCGGAGAAAAATTCCCGAGGGGGAAGATAGACCATCTTTCTAATGAGCCTATAATGTAGCCAAGCACCAAAGCCTCACCGATCAGGTCATATCCCTGCGTGGTGACGGCAGAATGCTCGACCGCGAATCCCCAATCAGTCCAGACAGAGACTCGTGCGAGGAGATTGTGGCATCTAACAAGCCTCCGAATACGGGTAGCATCCCGCTGGCGCAAAACCCCGTTGCCTTCGCTCTGGAGGCTAGATTCGAGACCGCAGCCACTGATCCTCGCGACCGTCGGAAGGGCGAACTGGACGCATATCTCTACTATTTCGCTTCGCTGGGTCGGAGAAAGCTCAGCCTGTCGATTGGCTTGGTCCTCTCGTTTGTCTTCTTCAGCAATTTCCCTCGTCAGTCATCCTATCTCGCCCGAGCGATGGTCAAACCAATGCTGACTCGGTCTGGATGGTAGAAATATGGCTGGAGTGGTGGACGGAGTCCAACGTTGATCATCCCAACAACAGGCTCGGATATTGGATTGGAGTGTATGCCCTCTTTGGGGCCCTGGCAATTCTGTCGATAATTCTTGCCTGCTGGTATGTGAAACTGGTTGTTTTGAGGCACTACATTTTCTCACATGTACAGGCTCATGATATGCAACATGGTCAAGGATTCTGCAGAATCTCTGCATTTGACCCTGGTTCAAACAGTGGAACGGTTGGTCATTTCTCCTCCCCTCTCCCAAATGGGGGTGTTAATATTCGCAGGGCCGTGGTGTCCGTATTCTCGTCGACTGATCCGGGACTTATGATCAACCGGTATGCTCGCTTCCCTTCTATGATTCATTTTTACGGCTGCTGATCCCCTTACTAGCTTCAGCCAGGATATGTCCCTGGTCGACATGGAACTACCTATGGCGTTTGCTAACACCGTCATCAGTGAGCGTGCCTGATTCTGAATTTGTGATTTATAGCTTATATTTGGGATAGCTTTCATGACCTGCATCACACAGATCATTATCATCGCCGTCTCCTCGCGGTACCTGGGTGCTACGATTCCCTTCGTCCTTGCCGTGTTCATCTTCACTCAGCGGCTCTACATCCGAACCTCCCGACAACTGCGATTTCTCGACATTGAAGCCAAAGGTCCTCTATACACCGAGTTTATCGAGCTCCTGAATGGGCTTCCTGTGGTCAGGGCATTCAACATGCAAGACGCTTTCAAGCGACGCCTCGCTGCGGCACTCGATACTTCTCAGAAGCCATTCTACCTCCTCTTCTGCGTACAGCGATGGCTCGGCCTAGTGCTCAATCTGGTTAATCTGGGCCTGGCGCTGTTCCTAATCGGAGTTACGACTGCCACGCGTGGCATCTCGGGGGGATTTCTCGGCGTGGCACTGATTAACCTGATGAATTTTGGACCTAGCTTGGCCGATCTCGTCAATGTGTGGTCCACACTAGAGACCAGTCTTGCTGCCGTGGAGCGTGTCAAGTTTTTCGCTGAGGAGACTCCGACGGAGTCAACAGAGACCCCTGTGCAGCTGGAGCAAGAGTGGCCACGAGCCGGAGATATCCAGTTTCTGGACGTGTCTCTGCGTTATAGGTCAGGCTTTGCACACCAACCCTTTCGCTATGCCGTAGAACCAACAACGAAGACGAGATGCTGACTTGAGAAAATTTAGCCCCGACTCAGATCCAGCTGTGAATTCATTGACACTCTCCATTCCGGCCGGAACAAAACTTGCCATTTGTGGCCAAAGCGGCAGGTATGTCTTCTAGACCTCACACAAGCAATTCACCGAAGGGCAGGTTTGATGATAGAAACCTCTAGCGGAAAATCCACCCTTTGCATGGCCCTTCTCCGCATGCTAGATCCTGTTGGTGGCGCGATCCTGATCGACGGACAAGATATATCGCGTGTACCGCACCAGACACTACGCGCCGCCTTATCCGTTGTGCCCCAAGAGCCGGCGATCCTGGAGGGCTCAATCCGCACGAACGTTGATCCAGACAACATCCACTCTGATGAGGAGGTGGTCTCTGCACTCAAAATGGCGGGACTCTGGGGGGCAGTCGAGGAACGATTCTCCGTGGAGGACAATACGTGTGCGGCGGGTCTGTCAGGCGGACAGAAACAGTTGCTTTGTCTTGCTCGAGCACTTGTGAAGGAGAGCCGGATCCTGGTACTGGACGAGGCCACTGCTAGGTACGTTACATGGTGCCGTACTGGTACACGAGGGAAAGAAAAACACGAGCAGTCTGTAGTCTTGGATGAGGAGACGCTTTACTGACCTTGTTTTTGCACAGTGTTGACCACGCGACTGACAAGATGGTCCATGAGCTGGTGGAAAAGAATCTGACTAACACCACTGTGATTTCAGTGATGCATCGATTGGATCACATGGCCGTATATGATTTAGTTGCGGTGCTTGATGACGGGGAACTGGTGGAGGTGGGAAGTCCAGAGCGTTTATTCGAAGATCCAGCGTCCAGGTTGTCACGGCTGGCGTTGGGCGGACTGTAGAAGGAAGAAACGTTTGTATGTGCCAATAGAGTCGAGATAGTACACCAATTGGCATGCATTTCATTGCTGCTAGTTGCCCCGGCGAAAATATCCGCAATTGAATGTACACAGCTCTGTTGTGGCACTTGAAAATTGTCCTGCTACGATCTTTGCCCTCCGCGTACAAATATCCGGACTCGTCGGGAAGGCGGAATCGGTATGAGTTCAGTTTAATGGAGATGCGGGATTAGATTATGTAAAATATCCTGATATAACTAAATCTAATCTAGTATCCCGACATTCGATATATAAACAACATACAAACAATATCAGAGCTTCGCCTCTTCAATCTACATCTTCCCAACAGATCTCATTTATTTCTCCTGGAAAGTTTTCATCATCTGAACAATACTTGTCGGATTATCTGTATCCGCATGGATCTCATCCCACTGTGTCTGGTAAACCGCCGGACATATATCAAGCACTGGAGGGATTATCGTGCACATACCTGATCCAGAACCCTCTTCAGCACCGGCGACCTAGTTAATGACTCCGTCACTTCAAAATATGTCTTGTCAATATCAAACAGCCGTGCCGTCAGGTTAGGCACATATCGCTTGATCAATCGTTGGGGGTCGACGTGTTGACACTGTATATGAGCGTACAGGAACTGACGGAATGCAGGGATCCCGTGCTTCATGAAACTGGAATGAAACGGGACGTCAATTCCGGTAAGAGGCGTGGTTGCGGTGCCACGTGGCAGGTCCTCCGCGCTCAGAGGGGTTTTGGGAATAGATGGCAGGATCTGCGCCAGAGCCTCGCCGACAGATGAGTTGTTGTCGTGATGAGACTCGGGCTGGGAGTCGAGGAGGCGAGTGAGGCATAGGAGAGCGCGGACCTGAGTAGATTAGTAAAGATAGAGATTCGACACATCCTATGGATGGAGGGTAGTGGGGCAGTTCTCACATCGCCAGCACAGACGTACTGTTGCCCATGGATATTGTAATTGACAATCTCGATGAGCAGGCCTGTCATCTCTGACACCGTCTTTACAATCCGGTTCAACTGATCCGCGTTCATTGCTAAAAATAGACAGTCTGTCAGAATATTCAAAACACGCCCGTGAGAGGAACCTACCTTGAGAAAGCTTGGATGGATTCAGCGCGCACATGGCAAACGCCGAACGTCCGGCGGAATCGCGCTGCACAGCAACCTGCATTGAAAGTCCACGATAGAAAGCAATCGCCATCAGTGTCTCAAGAGGCACCAGTCCTCCAAACGCGGCAATGGCGGCGTACTCGCCGAGCGAGTGACCGGCAAACGCAGTCGTTGGAGAAACAAGCCCACGCGACTTTAGATCTTCGTAGATGGCGACTTCGGTCAGCGTGAGAGCGGGCTGCGTGAATTGTGTCGCAAACAGCAAGCCGGTATCAGACGAAAAAGTGTACGAGACGGTGTTGTGGTCCAGTTCCGGAAAAATCTGGGTCGGCTTGAACCCGTCTTCGTCGGGGGCCAGGTATCGAAGGGCCCGGTAGTTGTCGCGCAATTTGCGTCCCAGCGGACCGCCAAAGCGGACGGTGAGCTTCTTCGGGTTTTTGATGACAATATCCGAGATGCGGAATCCTGTAGGCCGGCCGCTGTTAGTAGCTCATTGAGTAGTCCCAGTGGAGTAGATGCCTCCTACCATATGTTTTCACAAAATAGGCATCTGCGCGATCCCACAGCTGGCGAGCCACGGGGCTTGACTGGCGCAGCTCCATGCCCATACCCTGACGTTGACTGCCTTGGCCAGTGAACAGCATAGCAGTGGGGGCGTTACGTATCTCAGCTTCTCCCTTGGCTATTGTTCGCCCGGCCTGATCTCGCGCTGTATATTCGATGACCCTAGCTCCGTCCACCATCCCAATGTGCCGGGCGCTCAGCTGCAGCTGCTCGTCTGGAAGAACCATGTCGGTGAAGAAGACGGTAAACCGGTCAAAGAGAGACTCATCTCCACTGCACAGCTGTGTACAGAGAAGGGCTCGCACCCGAGCGCTTGTATTCATGCCGTGGGTGATGGTTCCAGGGAGGTCGGCATACGCTGCCATTGACTTGGACAGATGAATAGGATTGAGGTCTTTGGAAGCATAGGCATACATGGAATTATCTGTCGGCGCAGAAAAGGTATCCGGTGTGAGGGCGAGCTCTAGAGGGCTGTCAAACAGCACCCGGGATGTTGAAGGACGGCCGTGGCGAGTGAGATACCCGGTGACAATGTTGGCTGGCGTCGTCGAGTGCCAATGAATAGCACCGATCTGAACTAGGTCTCCCCTGACATCGCTTTCAACCTGGACAGTACCGGTCACTTCCACCTTGATCACTTCACCTTTGGCACTGTAGTGGTAGCGTGACTGCAGTTGGAAGAGCAGCGTTGCGCCAACCAACTCAGTCGATGGATCATGGCGCTGAAACCATGGCTTAGACTCGAGTACCGCGACCGCACCGGCGCTGTCAAGAGTTACTTTATAAGGGTTTTCTTCGACAGTCTTGAATGGAATCGCTCCTGGAGGAACACTCTTCGCGTCGCGCAGCATGAATTGGCTGGTGACGGTCACAATCGGCCGGCTAGATCTGGATATGATGGCCTTCACCTCAACAACGGTGCCAGACTCTTGCACAATGAGGGAAGAAACATGGGACTTTGTTGACAGTATATCATTATCGCGAATGGGACTCATCCATTCAAAAGAATTCTGAAGATGAACGAGACGGAGTAGGTTCACGTCGAGAGCAAACAGGGGCTTGGTGAGAGCTTTCCATGCCACCACGACGGCATAGTCCAGCGGAGCTATGCTAGCATTGTGATATCGCTGGCTGCATTTGCGGCTTCCAATGCTCGTGGAAAAATGTCGAAGGCTTGCTGCTGTCACGGTGAACTCTCCTTCATCGAATTCAGAGAAATTCGATACCGAGCGAGAGGGTATTGGCTCGTCGCCAAACCAGATGTGGTGGTACAAAGTTTGGACTCGCTTATTGAGGTTGGGGGTGAGGTCTCGCAGTGGATGCTGAGTGCTCCCTGGTCCAAATTGAAGCGCAAGAACGGCCGGCTCTCCAGTCACTGTCTCGTAGTTGATTAGCTCGAGGTCGATCAATCCGGATGAGCGCACTGTCATCCTCGCGACCATTCGCTCATCCCCGGTATTTTGACGCTCCCAGAGGGAGACCACTTCGACTTGGCCAGCCGAGCCATCAACAACGACTCTTATCTCTGCTCGTGGCTTGAAAATTGCCCGAACCGGGTTCATCGATACCTGGCGGTCTCGCATGACTGTCTGGGAGAGAAACGCAAGCTGAAAATAGGAGGATCTTCCGGCAGCGAGTCTCTGATACCACAAGTCTTCGTTGGCAAGGCAGTTATCATTAACCTCGAATCGTTCATCCTTGGGCTTTCCCTTGCCACGAGCATCGGCCCCGCCTGAGCTATTACGCAGACAGACTGGTCCAGATTGTTCTAGGAAGCCAATATACCCGTAGTAAATCTCGTCCAGGAGCTCTTTGATCGTTTGATCCGCCCGCTGTGTGTAGCGCGCCGCAACGGGGCCATGCAGGACACAGGTTCGCTGGATATCCTCACCCTGAACGGCATTGAGATCTTCAGACTGCCACAGTGAATCTTTCTTGAAGTAATACTCGAAGTCGTTGTCGAGCGCCGTGATGAACTGGACCGGCTTGCGGCCTCTTCTGCGACACATCATCGTGAAGATAGCTTCGTCTTGGTGGCTGAGAAGCTGACCTTCTAGTCCGGGGTACTGAAGCTTCAAGCGCTGAAGAGCTTTGTACGGGTCCTCCCTGATCTTCTGAATAGATTTGATAAGCCTTACCCCTTCCGTACGTGGTGCAAAGCGGCTTTCCACATGGGTCAAGAATTCGTAAGCTAGCTCGCAGTATGAAGAATGTATCCATCTCTGACGCGGCTGCAAATACGTCAAGTCAATCAGTCGTGCTGCTACCTCCACGTAGGTCATCTCGGTGAGATCCACGACAGTCCCGGAATCTGTGCGACCAAACCAGACTTTTGCAAAGTCCTCATTGAGCTGCGCGATGATTTGTGGTTTTTCCTTCTGCAGCATCTGTAGCCTGACGGCCTTGTCCTGGACGGAAAAGAACTTGCGATCCAAGTGCGACCACAATTTCACAGCCCGTGTCGCGATCATATGGATCGGCTCACCCATTTCTGAGATCACCGTCAGGATACCCCCAGTCGGTTGAGTATAAGTTCCTTCCCACTTGTCATCTGCAACGCCCGGGGTAGCCACAATAAGCTCCTTGGCCGCGTCACTGGTGCGAGTCTCCCGCGCAACCATCACTCGGCTACCGAGCAAAATGCCGTCAAATGGCATGGGTGAGGAACCCAACCTGACGGACCACTCGCCTGTGAGATATGGATACGAGTCTGCTGCATCACCAAAGCCACTGCCCGCGACCAGCACAACGTTTGCACAGGCGCGGATGCGATGATAGCTCTGCAGGATGGGCTCGTGAAAGTCTTCGAACGAGTGATGTCCGCCCGCACGGCCGCCGGTCCACTGCAGCATGATGGGAAAATGCGTATGCATCTTTGCGATGGCGATGACCTCTCCTATTGCCTGCAGGGAGCCCGGCTTGAACGAGATGTACTTGAGGACCGGCATGTCGCGGATGTACCCGGCGACGGTGTCGGGTGAGGGAATGCCCGCGCCGATTGTTAGGCCATCGATGGGCAGGTGTCTTGCCTGCAGCTTCTGAATGGTGTCAAGCTGCCAGCGGAGAGCGCGGGGGTTAGCGTAAATGACGTTGCAGCAGACTCCACGGCCGGCCGGCGTGTGGGCCACGACGGCGCGAATTGCAGCCTCAAAGCTTGCAGCGTCATGGAATCCGCCAGCCGCAAGCTCAATATGATACCCTGCGTTCATGGTCGCGGCAACAAACTCCCAGGAAGAGGTTGTAGGGGTCATTCCAGCCACCATGAGCGGAGGGAGGCCTAGGAGTGTGGTCATTTTGGTTTCAATGACCGGTGCAGCGGTCGATAAGACGAGGTGCGGCCCGTATTCCTTTCTCCAGTCGCGGCCAGGCATGATGGTAGACCCATCGAGCAACTCATTTCGGTTGCCAAATTCTGGTGGCGACGATGATGAGGATATATTGTTTTGACCGAAGATGATGGTGCGCACACCGGTCCCTCGCTTGAGCCGGTCTGTCAACGCACCAATGCCATCTTGATGAATGCCCGGTCCGAGATCTACTATGTGCGTAGCCCCGAGGAATCGGGCAGTGGCTGGCCAGTCTAGACGCCGGGTCATGATCATGCGCACTAAGTCTGGGACGAGGTCTCGTCCAGTGCCGTCTTCCAGGTCGGATCCATCACTAGTGTCGTAGACGGAAATTCTCAAATCCCCGCGGGCCAGGTACATATCGCGGAGATCGTGGAGCACGAGCGAGCAGGCCGTAGATAGATGTGAAGTATGAAATGGGACGGTGATCGGCAGGAAGCTGATCGTTGCTTCTGGCTTGCGCTGGCTGTACGGAACGCGCGCTTGCGACACGTCAGTCGGGGCTGCAATGCGACGCAGGCATCGAGAGATGGCGTACAGAGTCGTTGGGGGCCCGCCTAGGACGAAGTTCCGGGGCCCATTGATAAGAGCCAGCTCTGCTTGGTCGCATTGGGAAAGCTGATGATTGACCTTGTCCACAACCTTGGTGAGAACGTCGAGTGAGAGGCCATGCACTCGCAGCATACACGATGGGTCGCCCTCGCCGTGCGTTTGACAATCTTGCAGCACTTCCTCGTTTACGGGTGCAGGATCAAAGACTGACTGGGCCCGACAACCAATGTAGAAGAGGATTGTAAGCGCAGTGAGCGACAGCCTGTCGAGTGACTCCCAGTCGCGAGCGGCAGACGCGATGACCGCGGACACCACGCCTTGCGAATGGCCGCCGATGCCGCGAAAGAAAGTCCCCATATCGCCAGGACCCAAGTCAAGTGAATGAGTCAAAACATAATAATTGGTAAGCTGCAGTAACCCGACCAGCAAGAGGCTGATGGGGGCTCTGCTGAGCGTGTGTGGCAGAGGTTGCAGTTCTGGATCGAGAATCCACGACATGATATCGAGTCCAGTAGGATAATGGACGGAGAAAGAAGGATTGTCATCAAGAAGACGCTGGAGATGCGCAGATGCCCGCTCAAGCGGTCCTTCGACGATCGTGGGGTTCTGTGTGTAGAGGTCCTTGAGCTCGCGCAGGGGGTTCAACACCCCCTGGCCGCCAAAGATGGCATATATCGTCGCACTTGCATTTCTCGCTGCATGCAGTAAAGCTGGCGCGGAGGAACCAGGTATTTGCAGATGTGATTTTGACTGATAGTACTTGGCTGCGTCGTCGTCGTTCAGCGAGGTAATAGACGAGCCGCTTGAGGGCAGCGTCTCTGGGGTCGTGCACTGCTCCTCGCTGGTTGTTTTGGACATGACGGCGCTCTGGACATGAATCTCGAATAGATTTCCGGGCGAAATTGCTGAAAGAGTACTCCATACGGCTCAATTAGCGTATTCTGTGGCTGGCCTTGTGCAAGGATCTGTGTCAGACCCACAAATCGTGGGCTCAACACGGTGGCACCACCGGTTTTGACCAATAAATGTTGAGCGTTCAGCTCGATAACGGGTACTCCGTGCATATTGAATCTGCATAGTATTATAACATTTTAATATATACAGTTGTAGGGGTTGTAGTGAGCGCGAACTCGCCATGCCCATTGAGTCGCCATGTCGGCCAGTCCAACTTGGAGCTCGCCCGGCCATGCGCAGCATGATTTCCGCAGTATGTCCATTGCTCATCAGTGATATTGCAGAACCTGAAAGAATAGTCTATCTAACAAAGATGAGCAGCTGATTCCCACACCACCCCAACAACGCACATGCTTGATGCCCTGCTCCATGCCACGTTTGATGACGACGTCTTCCGCGAGGACTCCTCCACCGCGCAGCTGGAGGCTGCCATGGCCCAAATGTCCGGCTGTGAGGACGCTTGCTTCGCGCTCACGGGCACAATGGCGAATCAGATCGCCCTCCGCGTGCTCTTTGAGCAACCGCCATTCGCGCTCCTCACAGACAAGCGCGCCCACATCCTCAACTACGAAGCCGGGGGCACCGCCTACCTGACAGGCGCAATGATGCAACCCGTCGCACCCTCCAACAACCTTTATCTCACCCTCGAGGACATCAAGCCGCGCAGCGTCATCACCGATGACGTGCAAAAGGCGCCGACGAAGGTGATTTCGCTGGAAAACACCGCGCATGGGGCCATCACGCCACTGGCGGAGATGCGACGCATCAGCATCTGGGCACGACAGCACGGGATCAAGCTGCACCTGGACGGGGCCAGGCTCTTCGAGAGTATCGCTGCGGGGGCTGGCAGCATGCGCGACTTTTGCGCACTCTTCGATACCATTCATCTCGACTTCTCGAAGAACCTGGGCGCCCCCATCGGAACGATGGTCCTCGGATCGCGCGACCTCATTACCCGGGCGCGGCGAGTACGAAAGGCCTTAGGTGGTGGACTGCGCCCCACGGGACTGATCTGTGTGATGATGCGTACGGCGATTGAGGAGAATTTTGGGTGGGAGGGTCGGGGAGAGCGGGCACACGGGATGCGCAGGTCGCATGCGATGGCCAAACGCCTGGGCACCGAGTGGCAGCGGCGTGGGGGCAGACTGGTACGACCCGTGGAGACGAATATCGTCTGGCTGAACATTCGGGCGGCCGGCTATACGGCCGATGCTTTTGCGGGCGTTGGAACGAGATACGCGGTCAAGCTGGATGGAGGGAGGCTAGTTGTGCACTATCAAATGACCGAGGAATCGGTGCAGCGGATGCTACGAGTGTTTGATGAGTGTTTGGCGACTAGCAAGGCTCGGCTCTAGTTTATGTGTGTGGGGGTGTTCTTTTCTTCGTTTGATTTGCAAGTGGATATAGGTATATATTGTGACACTAGAGCAGGCTTCTCTCTCATATGACTGCATTCATGACCTTGATGACCCGTCCTATCTCGCTACGCGGCCGCCACGGTTCGCTCGTGCATGTAGTTGTAATATTCTTGTGCCGTCCGGGTCTCGGTATCCCTCGCAGTCTGCGACAACCGGGAAGCAAATTTGGGCAGCGCAGCCATCGAGGCCGACATGTCAGCCTTGCCAAAGAAGCCCACGGAATACCGGGCAGGAATCACCACGTCCGTATCCTCCTTCAGTCCTTGCGGATATGTGACTCGGTGATTGGCCGACCGCAGGTAGTTGGCTGTCCATCTCTGGAGCGTGTCACCACAGTTGACAATCATTTCATTGACGCTGGAGCTTTCCACGGGGATAAATTCGCCAGAGTGATCCTGTCGCTCGACCTCCAAACCACCCACGCTGTCCTGAAACAGCAGCGTCAGGATACCGACGTCGGTGTGTTCGGAGATGCGATACGTTGACCCGGTCTTCAGCCGTGCGACGGGCACTGGAGGGTAATGGGTGATGCGGACCTCGCCATTGCCTGCCGAGCACCGCGAGATCAGCTCGTGATGGCTCAGGTCCATGGCCTCTTCGAGCAGGTGCAGTAGCTCATGATGCACCATGAGACACTCCTCCAAAAAGTCCTCCATGAAGTCCCGGAACTCATGGCAGCGAGGCCCGACGGGCCATGGGGTGGGGTGGACTTGGTCGTACGCAGGCCCGGCGTCGAACGATTCCTTGACGTCGTTGTGCATGACCGGGTCGCGAACGCCTTTCATGTACCCCGAAATGCCAGAGAGTTTCTCTCCTCCCACTGCAATATACCCTCTATTCGGCCCGGTGAGTGGGCGCGGTGCCGTTTGCTTGACAGCAGCAGGAAAGTCGAAAAACTCCCTCGTCTGTTCACATCACGATGAACATTCAGATGACACCACTCTCGAACGGGGGTCGAATGCAACTTACCCAGCGAAACAGCTCTTTCAATTGCGCCGCGGGGATCCCATGGCCAGTCACCTTGACGAAGCCCTGGGAGGCGCACGATTCGACGAACGTGCGAAGGATGCGTTCGCGTTCTGCAGGGCCCGCGCGTTCAAGACGGCGGAGATCTACCGCTGCGACCGCCATTGTGTTCGAGATTTCGATTCTCCGAGTTCGATGTGCAATTAGACAGTAGACAGAATACACGGGTGCTTCTTTTTTTTTTTTTTTTTGAGTTCCCTAGTCGGCTGGGGTTGATCGACGCACTGGGGCCATCGAGGGTGGTACCACCCGGTCTCTTTGCCCCATCGTACGCGCGCTGTGGGCACACACTTGTCACCGTCCTGGCATGGATCCCACGGCAGGTCCCACAGTATTATAGGTTAGTTAAAGAAAGAATCGTAGATGGTGGCTCCTCGAGGCCCTTCACCAGACGGCCGCAGTACTCATCATGGACCTGCTTGATACGCTCGACTTGTCACACTTTCACTCCGGGGATGAGCTGCAGCGTGTCGAGTTTTGCAAGTCGCTGTTTCTTTCCTTCCAGCAAAACGGGTTCGTCAAGCTCATCAACCACGGCTTGAGCGCGGAATACGTGACGGAAGGACTGCGATATGTAAGAACGTGGTTTGCTACCCGTAGAAATAGCGCCCTACTAATGTACGGAGCAGAACAAAGCCCTCTTTGCCTTGAGTAAGGAGAAGAAAGCGGGTTTTGCCCACCCGCCACGGCCAAACCCGCACAGAGGATACAGCTATGTTGGACAGGAAAACATCTCGGGGGTCACCGGATTCGAGCGCGGTGAGCAAAGTGGCCAGAGAGTCGTTGACTTGAAGGTAATAACCCCCCTCCCGACTATGAAGTTAGACGTGGCTCTCATTCTGCACGCAGGAATCGTTCGACCATGGTGCCCCCGACAACACCATGTACCCCAATATCTGGCCGGATGAGGACGATCTCCCAGGTTTCCGGCAGTATATGCTCGGCTACTACGAGAAATGCTACAAACTACATCTCGAGATCATGAGCGCGCTGGCCTTGTCGCTCGGGCAGGATGCGCACTTCTTTGACCCCCTGCACGATGCTCGTGCAAGCGAGTTACGACTGCTCCACTACCTCGAAGTCCCCAAAGCCCAAATCGGCCAATGCGACCAGACCCGCATCGCGGAGCACACCGACTTTGGCTCCCTCACCCTCCTCATGCAGGACGGCTCCAACGGTCTCGAGGTGCAGGACCCAGCAACGGGCTCCTTCTTTCCCGTGCAATGCACTTTCCCGACGTTGATTGTCAATGTGGGCGACTCGATGATGCGCTGGATGAATAAACGTATCCACTCGGCATGTCATCGCGTCCCGATCAACGCCGACAGGATATCTCCCGAGACGGGCTCCGTGCCTGCCCGACACTGCATCGCGTACTTTGGAAAGCCGAACCCGGGTGCATCGCTGAAGCCTCTCGACGCGCTGGTCAACGAGGAGTATCCTGCTGTCTTCGAAGATATCAAGGCGCATGACTATGACCAGAGTAAGCTGCGTCGTATCTATGCCGCAGCGTAAGAAAGCGTAGGATGACTGCTCCTCGGCGTCCCATTGTGCACCCTTTTCCGTGCTTCTGGGAGTTGATTGAGGCGATGCGTGTCAAATTGTCTTTCTATTCATAGTTGGAAGTGCTATTATGCTCGGTTACTAATTATGACCTTTCTTCTCTATGACTTGTATATGTATCATATAAGTCTTGATTGGGAACCAGACAATTGTTGCATAATCTTGGCTCCGGGGTTGCTCTCATAACGCGCGATAACCGTTGATACAGTCGCTATGATCAATGCATGTTCCCACCCTCTTCAGGGAACCTGCCAGATCAATGCTTCCGGATTCAAGTGCAACAAGGGCCTCGTGCGTATTCGCTGCAGTTTTCATGACGATTGGTCTGCCTCGTTTGTTGAGTCTTGATTTTGAACTCTTGGACTGGCTACCTGTCTGGCCCTTAAATGAGAGAAGTTTTTTCGCCTGTTACTATGTTCATCTAATAGAGCCATAAACAAAGATAGCAAATCAATTCCCCATCAATTCTCGTTTCAAAATAGAAATCACCATGCCCAAGAATTGCTCGACCATCTCCGCCTCGTAGTAATTCTCATTGTAGTACGCCGCTAACCTGATGCGATCGCGCCAGGTGTACAGGAAGATATCGATTGCCGGAGTGAGGACCTCACACCCGATCTCAAACCCCAACACCTCCACAGAGGAATAATTGTGGTGAATCACGCTCTCAACCAGGCCGAGACTACTCAATAAGGCATCGGCGCCGGACGACGGCGCTGATCCGGAGAGTAACGGCATGACCTGTATAATTAAGCCATCGACCACGTTTGGAAGCCGCCGGTCCCGTTGGAATTTGGTATATTCAGTCTTGAAGGCTTCCGCAGTAGACTCGAAGCTGGATACTTGCACAGTTGGAAACCATCCGGTACAGGAGAGTGAAGCTGGGTGCTTTACACAACTCCTCTCATCCCCGTAGACACTGCGTCCGTCCAGAACCAATGCGCCTGCATATATATTGGAGAAGGGATTGATGTTGAACCGCTGTGTTGTGCAGGCGATTGCTGCATGGACAGCATGTGTGACCGTAAGCCCCCTCTGCTTAAGCCGAGACAGTAGAGACTGTGTGTCGTGCTCCGAGATTTCTCGGGAAACGTGCTTTGTCCGCGCTGGGCGTCGTTTACTGACAGCGGCAGTCGTCGTCTTCGTGGGTAAGATCATCGCAGGCAGTGCCGACAGAAATCGTTCTAGGTCGGATGCAGCGCGGCGCATGTCGTCTTCGTTGACTGGCGGAAGACCGACAGCTACAGAAAATGGAGGAGAGAGATTGATAGCGTCATAGCTAGGCGGAGCCTTGGGCGACGCCGTAGCGATCCGGAGCAGCTCACTGGCGATCAGCATAAGACCCTTGCCATCGGTCACCGTATGAGGGGCTTGGAAGACGATTTCGCTTGTAGCCGGCAACACCAGGAGCCTCGGTCGCTTTGGGGGATGCGCTTGCGATGGCATTGGGCCGGTCGCTGTTGCAGAGGGGCCAATAATGAATGTCTCGGTAAACCAGGATTCAACATCGTCCGGCGTGGGAACGACGTATTGCCAGATCCCGGCCTTACGATCTAACAAGCTCGCGATTGAGGAATGTTGCTGGCGCAAAATACCCCACGCATGCCGTAAGTCTGGCACAAACGCTGAGAGCCCTTCTTGCACCTGGAGCTGCAGTGTCACCGAGATCACAAAATGCTCTTGATCGAGTTCGTGGCCAGTTTGAGTGATCATCGCCATCCAGCGCTCCATCGGGGTTGCTATTCGCTGGTACGACCCCGGTGCTGCCTCGCGCCATTGACCATCCATCCTTACCGTTGGCTTGTTCTAGGGTTTGGTAGAATCCGGTAAGAAGCATAGGTATATCCGGCGATTTTCAAAAACCGTAAATGTATTTATCTGAGGATCCACAGTGCCACTACTTGAAAGCTTATTGAGTGGTGGTGCCACCCTCTGTCTCCACGTGTCAGTTGTATGTCGGAGGCCCTTCTTCCCTCATGTACCATGATGAAAGAAGAAAAAAAAAACAACTCTATGCGAACCACAGATCCCACGTCCCCGCTAATCAAACTAGCGAAGCTTTCCCTAGTGCATGGTTGGCCAAAGTTTTTCTTCCAGCAATACCAGTGCCCATGTATTTAATTGAATCATGCATTCCTTGGAGCTCTATACTTGATCACTAACATGATGCCGAGATCCGTTCAACACTGGCCAGGGGGGATCCCCACTTGCATCCAACCGCACCCAGAACCAGATCTGCCTGGGGATTAGATCAACTGGGAAGTTACGGGCTGGCTACTCTTTGTACAGGTATACATCTTCCTAGCATTCAAATTTCCAATTACCACTTCCAATACCGTGCTAATATGCAATCAGGAAAATTGGGTTTCTGCAGCAAACGCAGGTTCCTTCGATGAGAAGAAATATGAGTTAACCCACCGGCGGGAACTAGTGGAAAAATGGGCTTCGGCTACACAAGAATTTCGTGATGTGAATTCACTTCGGTCAAACTAGGTCCAGCTCTTTCAAATCTCTGAGATCCATTGTACTAACTAGTTCTTCTTTGCTCTTCATCTAGGCTTACCAATCGCGTGCACTTGTGGGTCTTCCAGGCACGGAGGGGCCAAGGAAAAATGATGACATTGAAGGTCTTCGATACCCAGACGAAGCATTGGAACGTCTCTACGAAACTTCTCAGCCCAAGCTATAGCACCACTCCGATTTATCTCGCCCCTACAGGGTATGTAATGCCGACAACTCTTATATCTAAGCGCTCGATAAAGGTCTTATCCCTCTCTAATAACCTAGAATTACCTTCCAGTAAGATAACGCACTAATTCATAAAGCGACCGTCATAAAAGATTAGTTTAAAACTTATAGTGCTAAGTTAGTTAATTAGCCGGCATATTCGCCTAATATAAACCTAATTTAAACCGGTCTAGTATACATTAAAGGTTAAGGTCTTTAGTATGTTTCCAGAGCTAATGAGTATAGGAAGGTCTAACGCAGATTAGTAGTATTTTATAGAGTGGCTTAAAGCTATATAGAATGCACTAGATTAGGCTAAAACCAATAGCCTAATTCTTGGTATGCCTAGGCGATTAGAGGCACGCAGGGCTAAGGAGGAACACACTAGATATTAGAGGTTTCTAGTTAAATCTATTGAATTCGCTATATTTTAATACTAAAATTATAGTAGTAGGCTGTTTAGTTAGTATAGAAATATGTATTTAAAGTTACTGGACGGTAGGTGGTGAAGTGATATAATCGAGCAGTATAGGGAGACTTATGATAATGGTATGTATGTAGAGGCCTTATAATTTTAAGATGATACGCCACCATAATAAATCCCGAATCAACCTATATGAACCTATCTCTTCCAATCACGGATCGTTATGAATACACTAGGTAATTTAAATATTTTGTTGAAGAGGTATATAAGAAAGTAAGTGTTTACAGTAATAACGAAACGTGAAGATAATGAGCATGAATTCAAGTGATTCAAGTGAGTGTCAGCAACATAGATATCACCTAATAGTCCGAATTCAGGTAAATTAGCGACTTCAATAATAGTGCGGATAGTCAGCACATATCCAACTCTCCAACTAACTATCCGCAAGATGTGGATGACTATACATAATAGTCGAATATCGTCATCCCCCATTATGCCACAGTCTATGTAGGTAGTATGACCGTTCCGTTATCCACCAGTTTTCCTGCTCCGACATCTTGGCCACTATCGGCGGCGGCGTCCTAAGCTGCACGGGGCGCCAGAAACACCGGCGCCACAATTTTCAGCCGGTCATATCTTAGAATTCATCACTTCGTTTGCGTGTCTGTTCTCTGCACTTCTCAATCGATTTGCAAATCCAGGAGAAGTCCTAACTACGATCGTGCCATACCAGTCATTATATGTCACGATAGTTTGGAAGAAAGAGTGCCATTCTATTCCCGAACCTTACTACATGGTCGGGCGGTGCCCTACTGGATGGCATGCGAGAAGGTCCAAGTGGAGCCAGGGCCCATGAACCCCCAGGGAAAGAAAAGAGAAGTTGGCTGATCGTGCCCGACCCAGGCGGCCAAATCATCGGCTACGCCGACTAGCGCATTTCTGGCATGGACTCGAGCCAAAATGGAATCACAAGGGAGATTGGACCACTCATGACGTGGGCGCTCCGGAACAACTTGGATGATCAACCTGGCGCTTTGCCTGGTCTGTGCAGCGGGTGGAGCGTGCGCGGGTAGGGCCGATGGATAAAACTTTTTAAGGACTTGGGAATTCCTAGCAAAGAAGGAATGCCCTGATTATAATTGTTCTGCGACATCTTCATTATGCCAAGTGGATTGACTGACTACGGTTGAGATTATGAGCCCGCTATCTTCTGTGAATTCCTCGATAGTGATTAAGACAGTTGCGAATTGAAAATGCTGCAAACGCGTGTAAAGGGACTGGATTTGATTCGGGTCCCACGCCCGCCCCCTTTTCCTTGCCCCACCCAAACACCGAAAGAGGAAGGGTGATTCCCACTCTTCATGGTGCGAACAAGGGCTGGAGATGGCCCAGATCGATCATATCAATCAGATAACACGGATCAGTGGATCTAAGTGGGTCCACATCATGTGCGTGCCTCAAATTCCTTTTCCTTCCTTCCTCATTAAGCATAGTAGCCTAATCACTGTCACGCTTTCCATTACGCATTAGGCAGAACGTGGACTAGTTTTGTATTCAACGAATCATGGGATACCGACAATCATCGGCTTTGATACCTGAAGGAGGTAAGAAGTATTCTGGATTGAACGGATTTCCGTCTAGCTTGCAGTCTAGTCACATCCCAGTAAAATTTCCGTCGGTTGTTTGGTGCGGGTTGTTTGGTGCGGTTTAAGAAAAATTTTTGCTTTGCCCCAGGCCAGTCCGTGAAAAATTCAAACATAAAATGAGCCGCTTCCCAGAACTTTCAAAACATCCTACGGCGGTTTTTGCTGAATGTATCTTCAATCGCCCGGACTTTTGTTTCATCCCATTCAAAGTTGCGAGTCGAGAAGTTCTTTATCAGGGACTGTTGCATTCAACATATACCTTGAACTTAGTGACCCCTGGTATCATGACGGTCAGAAAGCGCTTCCTGAACCTCTTTACGAAAGGAGAATCTGTTCAAGAACCTTCTTCAACCAGCGCTATCAACATCGAGACCGCTGCTGACTCAAAAAGCCCCGTTGACCGGTCATACGATGCCGACCGCGCCTCATCGGATGAGGAGATCATTGACGGAAAGGCACAGGCTGGTACCCAGAAAGCTCAAGCTAGTACTCAAGCTTGGACGCAAAATACCCTGATAGTGGCTTATATCCTGTACGTCGTTTTTCCCTGAAATTGAGGAGTGTTCTCTAATTGAAAATACTAAGTATTTGGGTCGTCAACTTCTTAGAGTACTTTAGCTCTGGCCTGCTCGGCTCACTATCGCCATACATCTACAGTGACTTCGAGATGCATTCCTTGACAGGCCTTACCAGTGTCATCGCCTCATTGATCGCCGCCCTGGTCAAGTTCCCATATGCAAAGGTCATGGATATCTGGGGTCGACCTCAGGCCTTCGGGCTAGGCGTCGGTTTCTTGACTCTTGGGCTCATCATGATGGCCGCCTGTACAAATGTACAGACTTATTGTGCTGCACAGCTGTTTTATCAAACTGGATTTAGCATGATCGATTTCTCCATGACGATTTTCATTGCTGATACAACGGCTTTGAAGAACCGCGCGTTCTGGATTGCTTATGTGGCTTCTCCATACCTTATCACACCGTGGATCTACGGTTATGCGGCCGAACAGATCGTTGCTCCGGGGGGCATCGGATACCGATGGGGCTTCGGCATTTTCGCAATCATCATGCCTGTTGTCAGTACTCCACTCTGGGGTCTGTGGTATCACATTCAGAGAAAGGCCGAAAAGCTGGATTTCACGGAAAAGCAAAGCAGCAGACGAAACATCTTACAACGCATCATCTATTATGGTGTCGAGTTTGATGTGATCGGCCTTCTCATTATCGCAACAGGCTTCTCCCTGTTTCTGCTGGCATTCAACATATACTCGTATCAACCTGGCGAGTGGCACTCTCCGATGATTATATGCTTTGTTGTGATTGGGTTTTGCTTGATCATCTGCTTCACACTTTGGGAGAAATACTTTGCACCAGTGAAATTCATGCCGTGGGGGCTGATCAAAAACCGGACTGTGTTTTTCACTTTCTCCATGGTCGTTTCGCTCTATTTTGCCTGGTATATCTGGGATAACTATTTTTATTCCCTCTTGCAGGTAATGTTTGACCAAAGTGTTACCCAAGCAACATATATCTCAAACATTTATACCATCGGCTCTTGCTTCTGGTGTCTTGTCTTCGGCGCTATTCTGCGCAAGTATGGCCATCTGAAATGGTGGGCTATTTGTTTTGGCGTTCCTTTGACTATTCTTGGGGTTGGTCTCATGATCAAGTTCCGACAGCCAGAGTCGAACATTGGGTATATTGTTATGTGCCAGATTTTGTCGCTTTCGGAGGTGGCACCCTGGTGATTTGTGAGCAAATGACTGTTATGACGGTTTCTGCCCAAAGAAACATCCCAGCTATTCTAGCTATTGAGGGAGTCGTGGCAAGCGTTGGCAGCGCGCTTGGAAGCACTGTTGCTGTAGCAATGTGGACTGGAATCTTTCCCGCGAAGCTGAAGGAATTTCTTCCTGAGTCTTCTCAAGGTGACCTTTTGTCAATTTATGGGTTATTTTCTACACAGCTATCTTACCCCAAAGGAACAGCTACTCGAACTGGGATTGATCATGCCTATGGAGAGACTCAAAAACTCATGCTTATCACTGCTACATGCCTGTATTTAATCACGTGGAGTTCCTGCTTCTTTTGGAAGGATCTCAATGTGAAGAAGGCGAAGCAGCAGGTGCATGGTGTTCATTTTTGAGTGAAGGCTGCCTACAGTACGGTCACTTTAAAGCAGGGGTCAGTTTGTTAGTCAAGTCCAAGAAAGCACATCCAACAATATACAGTTACTTTGTCAAATGGAATCAATTTCAACAAGCTGTGAAGGTGAACTTGGTTGAAGCCACATTGCAGCAAATCAGGAGTATCAACAATGAGCCATAGGCTATGACCTTGCGCAAGACTTGGAGCAATTTGATACACATTTACGGAAGGAGAAGCTGATAGGCTTGTCTGCCATTGTTTATCAATAATCTCCAGATGTTGGACGTATGTCTTCAAGGATCTCATTATAGTATTGGGTACTTCGGATACCCAAGGCTTCGGTTCGTAGATAATTCACTCCTCTCCCAATACTACCTTCGCTCCTTCTCTTTGGACACACGATTCTATCCAGCATTCGATCTCCTGAATTCTTTGTTCGGCGTCCTGCATAAGTTCATGATCCATTCCAATCGATTTATTTCCGAAAGCCAGAACTCTCTTGAACCAGATCAGATTCTCCTCGTATTCGCCCAGTCTCGCATGGCTCTGTTCAATATCCACCCAAGACCCTAGCGTTTGTTTATGAGTTGATTGACCGGACTACGGGTACATTTAATCATTGAAAGAGACCATGAAGTGAATGATGGAGCTCTGGCCTGACTGATTGTGGGTGTCGCAATGGAGCTCTGCCTCGTGTTGCAAATTATGGTTGCACTCTGCGAATGACCAACCTCCGTTATGCTGCACTATCTAACCACGTTGAGATCATCACCCAGAGCGCAGGTGGGGGTGGTGCCCTATTGGTCTAGAAAGTAAACAGACCCATCTCTCTGGATGCTGACTCGTGCCATTTACCAGCCCTTCTGTACCACTTATATCAAGGTTCAGCGAGGGTTGTGTGAAGAGCTAGGCATGATTGGAGGACTAACGAAGCTGAAAAAGCTTGGTTGGTCGCAGGACACGGTGTGCAGAGGTGTCAGAGATAGCTGATGGTTGAAAATAAGCTCTGTCCAATTCACCTATGTGGGCATCTGCCTTGAGCCTTGAGCAAATTCTCTCACTCTACGCAAATTTAATGCTAGGCCGCATCCTGAAATTTCAGCTCGGGGACAGTTCAACCCCTGCGTGTACAGATTCAGAGAACCAGAGATGATAGTGGTTGCCCTTCATGGGAAACTGACGGATTATATATTAATGATCGTAATAAGGAATATGAAAAATAAGGTAATCCCAGCTAAAGTCCGTGGTATATAAATGCTGGATGCTGAACTAGCATCAGAATGGTGTGTCCTGTTGCTTTCTGCTTTTACTCACCGACGGCCCTGAAAATGGTAGTGCAAAACTTGAACTTGACTTTACGTGGGAATTAATTAAATTTCATCGCCAGAATATGCCTTTTCGGATTATGAAGCACCCAAAAGAGCACACCGCCGATAACCGCTACGCCGATAAAGTAGGATAACCGAGGATTTATTCCTCTAAATTATATTCTTCTAATTTTCTAAGGTCTAGTATTTATTCTTCAGGCACTAGGTAAGATGTTTAGCACGTATCTTTTTCATTAATCTAGGTTTCCTCGTTAGTTTCGTCTTCCAAAAACCCACCTTCTTTAGGATTCGCTAGATCGTAGTAGTACGGAGTAGAGACTTCGAGACGGTCAGTGGGTCGACGCAGAACTTTTGAAATAGACCTCCCTAGCGATCAACGAAAAGTCAAACCTAACCTTTATACTAAATTACCACAAAATTTTCTATAACTCTTGAAAAGAGGTAGATAAAAGTCTTCGGAAAAGGTTTTGCATAAAAAATATTACGTAACCTAGGGGGTTAGGTCCTAGTTAGTGAGAGCTGGCACCTTAACTAACGTATTTCCTGTCCGATCTGCCACCCCCAAACACCATACTAAATGCGATATTTCACGACTCAAATTCCAACACTCAAAACTGATTACTTTCTCTTTAGATATAGTCCCCTTAGGAAGCTTATAGTCTACGAAGAAGACTACGAGTTAAGTTACTAGGAAAGATATTATCTAAAATCGTTTTATTTATATAGTAGAAGATAGGAAAACGGGTAAATTATACTCTACTAGGGCTATTTTGGCTATAAGCGGGAAAAACGGGTAAGATTCACTAATAATTACTATAGAAGGGGTTATTATTATCCTCCTCCTCCTTAATCTGCTCCGGAAGCTCACTATTATCCCGGGCGTACGTATATAGCGACTAGGAATTAGCCTTAACACGAGAAGTAGTCTCCGGCAGGACGCGAAGGGCCTTACGTATAAGGTGCTAATCGGTCTTCTTCTTACTAAAACGTTTATCGTCTAGAGGCGAAGAGTACTAATCGTTAGCGTACTAGCTAAAAGGGGCGGTAACGGTGGGGAGCTCGACCTTATCGGGGCCGGTAACTTCCTTATCTTCCTCCTCCTTTCCGTTATGGGCCTTCTTAACCGAACGGTCGGAGGCGGCGGCGGTAGGGGAGCTTATAGGAGTGCTTAGATCACGACGCTTACTAGAACGGGGGTTTACGGCCTTATTCGGCTCGCGTAGGAACGGATGGCTAGTATTCTAGGCTTCTAGCTCCGAATGGACCTATTCGGGCAGTAAAACGGTCTTAGAACCTATAAGGTAGTTAGTAATCCTACCTAGAAGGTTCGTAGGAGGGAGATTACTTACGGAAGGAATATCCTCTACTACCCGTATTGAACGAGTAGTAGGCACACCCGCCTTAGAACTAAGGTTCCCCACTAATAACTAGGACCCAGTAACTTACAAATAGACTGAAACCCTTACTATAGGGTACGTACGCCTCCCTATTAGGAGCGGTAGTAGCAACGCGCTATACCTAAGTAGCTCGTAACTAGCTAGGGCCCTAATAATCCTTAGCCTTTTAGCTACGCTAGTCCACGTCGATGACCGGGGTTAAGGCTGCTAGCTTACGGTCCCTTTCGGTGGTGAACCGGTCTAGTAGGGGGTTACCGGAAGTATCTAGATTGACCTTCGCGGTAGTAGGAGCGGCAGCAGGAGTGGTAGTAGGAGCGGTAGTAGGAGCGGTAGTAGGAGCGGCAGGAGGAGCGGTGATAGGGTCGTATAGGGTGGCCTGCGAAAGGCTCCGGAGGTTTCGCGCTATAGTGGAGCGTAGGGGGACGAAAAGCTCGTTATCGGCTATATTAAGCGAGTTAGTACGGCTAAATCTATCAAATTCGGGCCGTGTTCGACCGAATAAAGGCGAGAAACCACTTACATATGCCTAGGGTGTGAAGGGCTGAAGTAAGACTTGATTCAATCTAACTAGGCCAACATGCTGTTTACAAAAAGCTTAAGGAGGGGAAGTTCGTTCCGCGCGTTCTCCACGTTAATATGCTAAGGTCTCGTGATATACGTGACCTATATCGGGCACTGGCCCGTGACAATGCCCCCCTCCTAGTCTTAAGCTCGCTAGGGGCGCGACGACGTGGGTTTCGGTGTCGATTTACTGGCGAATCACACCCGAAACGGGGCCGTACTAATCTTTAAAGGCGTCTAAGACGCTATAATCCTACACTAAGTCTAGTGTTTGCCACGTCTGTTCTGCCTATCCTCTCTATTTCACTAACGCTTCGTCACGATATCCTCGCCTAATCTTCCTCCGCCGTACGGCTAGGATTTACTCTATATCGTATTCCTCCTCTCCGTTAACTAGTAGTAGTAGTGGCTACGAATCGTCCACTAGCTAAGATAGGAATAGGTCCGTTACTACTAAGCGAACTAACTTAATATAGAACACTAGGTATATATTAGTAGGTATATTAAGTCGGACGGTAAACGGTGACGGAACGTCTACTACTCGGTATCGAGTATATAGCTAATCTAACTTCTTTAACGGTCGTTACGTACGTACGTTCCGAAGGTTTAGCCAAACCTAGTTATCTTTTTTATAGATAGGCGTAGCCTATCGACGTCGGTTCGCTTACTCTTCTTAAAGGGCTTATGCCGAAGCGATAGCGGCCTAGGCCTAATCGGTGGCTTCTCGTAGGCGATTCACGAACGTTTCGCTTACTTTTCGTGGTAGGGTTAGGGCGTCTTCTAGCTACCCTACTTCGTTAATACTAATCGGGTTAACGTAGTAGCCGTATATAAAGAAGAATAGCGAGATTCTAGTTAAAGCGGTATTACGATTATTAATTAATATAGCGACTATTAGTAGTAGATCCTTTTAGTTATCCTATACGTACGTAGTAAATATACGTAGAATTCGTTTAATCTCCTAATTAGTACGCTCTATTATACCGTCGGTCTAAGGGTGGAAAGTAGTAGATAATCGGCGTTAAATCGATAGCCTTTTATATACCTTTTCCTAGAAAGAACTTACGAATTAGGGGCTACGGTCGCTTATAATTACTAGTGATACCCTATAATATATATAGAAGTATATAAGGAACACTTCCGCTATATCCTCTACCGTCGTATTCTTTATTCCGATTAGGACTACGCTCTTTATTAACTAGTTAGTTATAACTATATAATTCGTTACTCCTATAGTGCCGGAGGGTAGTAGCCCGGTAATAAAGTCTACTAATATTTCGGCCTAGATTCGCTAGGGAATCGGTAGTAGCTTTAGTA